GCACATCCCACTCTTTCAGCTATTTTAGAACCATTGGTATATATGTATGTGCAGTTTGGGTTATTATGTAGTATTTCAAGAAATTTCTGTCTATATTCTACATCACTTGTATCTTGCTTTACATTTTTATGTAATGAATAGTTGAATTTTACTTCAGGGAAAGTCCAGGGGGGGATTTTTTGGTATGATTCTTTTATCTATTCGTTTAATAACATAATCTAAATGACTTTCCGTGCGATACCTATGTGCTCTATATGCCTGTGGTTTAGTGACTCTAGAGTGATTTTCATAGTAAAGAGCTATTTGAGTTTCAAAGTTTTCTTCGAACATGGGGTGTTTAGGGTTTGATTTTATATTGACATAGTAGGAAACTACAAGTTGCTGTCGTCTTATTGAGAGATTTGGTTCCCCACTTTCTGCGAGTATACTGATTATTGGGCTGGATTTAAAAGCTCCTATTCTCATTCTAACCTCTATGATGGATGGGGTCAAGGGACTGGAGGGTAAATTTGTTTGCCGAGTCGTAAGCTATAGCTCCATAGTCCAAGCGGGCACGGATAAGTGCCTTGTAGAACCTTAGCATTGTATTTCTATCCGCTCCCCATTTGGAGTTACTTAAAATGGCTATCATATCAACAACTGTATTTCAGTTCTCTAATATAAGGAAGCCATTTTAGTCTTCTGTCAAAAGAAACCCCCAAGAACTTTACTATGGCGTAATGATTGCCAATTTGCACTTTAAAAGTTCGTTTATTCATGAAGTTGCTGATAAAATTTAGAATTCTACCCCTAACACCCCATTCATATATGGTCTTTAGTATACCACGCCTCCAGGTGGTGTTGAAAGCTTTTTCGAGGTCGAGGAAGGTAGCAACAAGGTATTTTCTTTTCCTGAAAGCCTCCTGGATTTCAGTTTCAAGTATAGCAATATGGTCCCAACAGGAGTGTCCCTTTCTACATCCAGATTGCTGTTTTATTACGAGGTTGTTTTTTTCTATGAACCATTCTCTGTCACCTTGCATCAGGCAACTGGTGAGTGAGATTGGTCGATAACTTTTACCACACATTTTGTCTTTTCTTTTTTTTAAGACCGGTATAACCTCTGCTTCACCCCAAGAGGAGGGAAAGGAACGCTCACATAAGATTCGATTAAACAGTCTCAACAGGCACTGATTCAAGGGAGGAGTACGATTTTTAATCATTGTGTAGTGGATATCATCTGGCCCAGGGGTAGACCCATGGACATTTGAAATAGTGTATTCTAATTCCTTCATTGTGAAGGGTAAGTTTAGGGGGTGATTGTCATCGCCTGTAAGATCCAGTTCAAAACTTTCATTTCGTATTTTTTGGATGAGGAATTCAGGATCGTAGTGGTTGTCATCCGAATTTGAGGAAAAAACACCCAACTGATTAGCTATGTCCGTAGGGTCAGTCAGGATCTTATCATCTACAGACAATCCAGCAATCTGGCTGGGAGAGTTTCTGCCACGAACGGATCTCAATTTTTTCCAGACCTTGGTGTGTGTCTGGACAAGGTCTCAGTAAAATTTGCCCATGAGGTTCGGCGAGCGTTTTTGAAGATCCATTTTGCTCTTGCCTTTTGTCTCTTGTAATTTATTAAATTTTCTCCCGTTGGTGACCTTTGTGGTGACGTTGAATTGTCTTAGGGCTTGTCTTCTATTTATTAGAGCTGATTTGCACTCAGCGTTCCGCCAAGGTACCGGGGAGCGAGGGCTAAGACCAGTTGATTTCGGGATTGTTTGATTTGCTGCCGCGAGTAATGAGTTGGTAAGATTTTTAATTGCTAATTCGATGTCAGTAGGAGGGTCCACTGTTGGGAGGGTAAGTTTATTCCTAAATAAGTTCCAGTTGACATTTTCCAACACCCACCTAGGTTTTTCCTCAAGAGAAAGTTTTCAAAGTGTTTTTCGATAATGATGGGGGCTTGGTCACTTCCATAGTAATTTTCGGACACAGACCAATTGAAAAGGCCAAAAATTTGGGGGCTACTAAAGGTCAAGTCTAAATTTGAAAAGGTGCCAGTCGCGCCACATATATGTGTGTGGGGGTTAAATCGTTTAAGAAAATTAGGTTATAATCACTTCTAATTCGTTCGAGTATGTTTCCACGTGAGTTTGTAGTTGACAATCCCCATGCCATACTATGGTATTAAAATCCCCGACAATTATTGCAGGCTGTGGTAATTGTGAAAATAATTCTTCATTATCTTGTGAGGCTATATGTTGATTAGGGGGTAGATATATTGAGGAAATAGTGCATTTAAATGGGGTCTGAAGTGAAATAGCATCGGCCTGTAAATTTGTATTTAGTTGAATTATTGTAGAGTTGAGGGATGAGTCCACAAATATTGCTACCCCCCCCCAGATGCTATAGAGTTTGAAATGTTGTCTTTTCTANAAATATTGCCCCCCCCCCGAAGATGCTATAGAGTTTGAAATGTTGTCTTTTCTAAAAACATCAAAATTTTTAAATGTGATTTTGTGATTGTCTTTAAAATGTGTTTCTTGAAGGTAAAGAATTTTAAGTTGAAAATCTCTGAGAAAGATCTTTAAATCGTCTTGACGCGAATGGAAGCCATTTATATTCCACTGCACAATTGTGAAAGGTTGATTTGCTGTCATTTTGATCGGGATTGGGGTCTGCTTCCAGTGGGCTTAGAGGTTAGTTTCGGAGCAAGAGGAGTAGTTATGCTGTTGGTAGATTTATTGGTGTCATTACTAAGATAGGGAATAGTGTCCTTGTTTGGTTTTGATGTGGAGGGTGTTTTGGTATGCTTTTGCCCTGGTTGTTGTGTGGGTTGGGGGGAGTGGGGTTTTTAGTGATTGGAAGGATTTTTTTTTTTTGGTGAACTGCATCAAAGTTTCTGTCAGGAATGATATCTGCGCTGTTAAGTTGGCAACTGTAGTTTTTAACTCAGAGCAAGATGTACATTCTGAAGAGGGTTTATGTTGAACTATGTTTCTGAAACTAATCGAGGGTTTCGGGAGAGGTGGTGGTTGCAATTGTTTATATTCTTTTTTGCATCTACAAAACTTATTTTCTTTTCAATGAATGCTTTTAGGATACCCTTTTCTTCAATGTATTTCGGGCACATGCGCGAGGTAGCTGAGTGGTTTCCATTGCAATTTACAGTTTTGCAAACAGTCATCAGCATTTTGATGCACTGGCTTGCCACAATTTGCACATAACTCCTCATTTGGACAATTATTAGTAGCATGTCCAAATTTATGACAGTGTTTACATTGTCTTGGGTTTGGCACATAAGGACGGACTTTTATAAACAGAAGAATATAGGTGCCTGTTGGTATTTTCCCATTATTTTCCATTTTGTAGATTCGAATACATTTGTGACGAATTGATCAGATAATTCCCTGTTTATTTCTTCAATAGACAAACAGGACAATTCAGGAGTATAAATCACATCTTTTGAAAAAATTAGGGATTTATGTCCTACAGTTATCGGGGTTGTGTGGAGCAAGTTCATACTTAGTAAGAATTTGCTTTGTTGTTCATTATTTGGTTCAATTAAGAAAGTTCCGTTTCTTAGTTTTTTAATTGACTTTGGTGATCCAGCTGCTGCGACAATGGATCGATTGACTACAAAGGGAGAGATCCCAGACAACTTGGATTCTTCATTCTGATGACGAATGACCACAAAAATTGGAAGCGGCTGTTTTTTGTTCCGTATTACCTTTTGAGTCGTTGATTCTTTTTTGATTTTGATTTTCATGTTCATTGGATGCTGGGAGGGGTCGTTTATAAGATTGAGTTGGACATTTTAGTGTTTCCATTGGGCTTGGGGGATCTTTTCCTGTGCTAGATTCAGCCATGACTCTTGTATAATTTTTTCAATTTATAAATAAAAAGAATTGTATTTTAAAATGGAAATTAAGATAAATTAATTGTAAATTAAAAGAGAGATGGTTAAATGTTAACAGCGATTGAGGCCAGGATAGAAAGTAAAGTCTAAAAATGTTTGTACTTACGTGGTTGCTGGACATAAATACACATACACACAAAAAAAATTATTACTTCCTTAATAACTGAGAAATTAAATGGAAAAAAAAATTTTTTTTTATAAAGGTAACCAAAGGGGAACAAAGGTAAGTACTAATACTCGGTTTGGGATTATCTACGTAAACAGTAGAGTTGTTCACTCGACGAAAGTCAGATTAGAACTGAAATAAATAGTTGAATTCATTCTATCAATATTCAGTGGTATTCCGGTGTTTTGTTCAATTTTCTGCCAAACCATTATAAATAAATAGTTTTTATAAAAAGTGATGAATTTTTGATCTCGTTTAATTTGGTTTTCATTAAAAATAAGCTTGTTGTAAGTAATATGATGACAATAATTCAAACAGTTTGAAATAAAACGCATCTGGTTCTGCAGTCTTCGACAGTACTCAAAGAAAATCTGGACAGTGGGGAACATGGTTGCATTGTGTAGTGTAGAGTACGGTTGCGTGGCATCGGGCAGATGTGCACTGGGTATACAAGCTTATAGAAAATTGGACATGAATGTTCGTCGGGTGGCTTTGGGTCATGTCGATTTGTGTTACATTGTGTTCCTTGCTTAACTCTAGATTTCTCGATGAAGCTTTTCCTACCTTATACTTTCCACTTTGTTTACAGATGTATTAAGTATAGTATACTCACTGGGTAGTTTGAAGCTTAAACGTCTAATGAATTGTTTACCACCTTTTACCATTGGCTCCAGACTTGAATTGGTTACAACCCTTCTACCATAATCTTCTGCATCATGGGCACTTAATGGACGAGTGGTTAGGGCGTCTGACTCGTATTTGCCTCCTCCAGCGGTTCTGGGTTTGAATTTTGACAGAATGTATTAAAAAGAGGTTTGACCCCTCATAACACCAAGCCCTCCTGATAGAAAGTACATGTTTATTTGTTTTGTTTTTCTTTCTTTCTTCTTCTTCTTCATTCATAAATTATTTATCGTACATTAAATATTACAGGCAATTAAGAGAGGGGACCATACAAGAAAATCAGCTCATCAACGGTAGCCGGTTGACTCTCTTGCCCAGTGTTGAAACCGGTCTGTTGGTATGTAACTATTATTGGTTTTAGTGATTTTTGTAACAATTTTACATTTTTTAATTTGGTTGTTGTATTTTTAGGCTCAGCGTCCCGAGCAGAGTGTTATGCAAGCGTTGGAAAGTCTTAATGACTCACAGGTGAGGTCCACATTGAGTGATTATTTTATTTGATGTCAATTTTGTTTATAATTTTTTTTTTATTGTATCAAGGTGAACGATTTCCTTTCTGGTAAGGCACCGTTGAACTTAACGATGCGCCTCGGTGACCACATGATGCTCATACAGCTGCAACTGTCAACGGTGGCACCTTCGGGGAGCGCGGGCGGTAAGAAGAGGCGCGTGGCCGGATTCCCAGGGATGTCAAGCTTGAAACCACCTCCTCAACCTCCTCCGCCTCAGCCACAGGCGGCCACCTCGCAAGCGCAGACGCAGACTCAAAATGTCGCTACAAATACTGACTGTGCGTGCGACGTCAAACCCGTCCTAGACACGAAAGCGCTGGCCGAAGCGTCTCGCAACCTGACGCAGACGCTTAAACAGCTTTCTTCGGAAGTGCTCACGTCGAAGAGCGACTCTGTCGAAGTACTAAAATATTTCATACTTAAAAAAACAAATAACTTATATACATTTAATTTATAGGAATTAAACAACGCCAAAAGGAGGCAGGGTGCCATAATAGAAAGCATGCACCACCATGGCAAAGGCGTCTATTCAGGAACGTTTTCAGGTGAGTCAAACACTTATACGACTCCCCTCAAAAATGGTTCTAACCTTTCCCTTTATATTCAACTATGCAGGCACTCTGAACCCGGCACTCCAGGACAGGTTTGGAAGGCCGAAAAGGGACATTTCGACCATCATACACATCCTTAACGATCTCCTATGTGCAACGCCGCAATACCGAGCGGCGGCGCAAGAAGCAGCCAAGCCCCAACCGCAAGCCGCTTCTAGCTCTTCCCAAAGTGAGTATTTTCATAGTATTATTTTATTTTTATTGAAGAAACTTTTTGTTGTTATGTCTGATGTGGCTTATCCAAAGAATATTTTACAGTTGGTAAAGTTTGGATTTTTGTTGAATAGGCCGTATCCTTCCTTATCAGCAGTCTGGTTTGATGTAGGTTTAGAAAAACTTTTTTGTTTATCGTGCCAAGGTATTTCCTACTCCCATCAAAAACAACTTAAATTTCACAAATGCCACATTAACCCAATTGACATTGTTATTACCACAATTCATTGAAATCACTACTAGTATTAAAAACATTAAAACACTAAAAGAAAAATTACACAAGTTAAAACTTAGTGCTACTAACATAATACAAATGTACACCTCAAAGAAATTCTATAAATGTCAAAAAATTGCATACAATATCCACTTTGATTAAATTAAAAACAAACACACAATAAAACTAATCAAATTAATCAACAAACAGACACTCGATTACACAAACAATTGGTTTCTAAATCTAACAAAACTAACATTTCTCCAGATATCCAAAACTTCCTATCACTTGGTCCCAAACATTCCATTCCTTACAACAAAACAGATTTTCCAACAGCTAAATTAATTACTGATTATTATGCAATCTAAAAGTCAACAAAAACAAGAAGAACATTTTCAAAATGCATTAGCACAATAACAAATCACATCTCACTACAAATCGAGACAACATATCTCAACAAACATACACTAACAAACAAAAATTCTCAAAAATAATTCAGACATACTCATTCTTTCTGCTGATCGAACAAAACAAACAGTAGGAATCAGCAAAAAAGAATAGAATGAAAAAATTAACAGTATCAGTGACACAAAACACATACAGCACAATTAAATCCGACCCTACCTCATCTCTCATCAAACAGACCAACAAAATTCTTCAAGAAACTCTTTAAAAAAAAAAGAAATTGACAGATACACCTACATTTTATTTCAAAACAATTCTCCAACGCCCCTTAAACTATACGAATCTATCAAAACTCATATACCTCAACACCCTCTAAGACAATGATTTCATTTGTAAATTCCCCTACGTACAACATGACAAAATACCTAACTAATAACTCAAAAACATCACAAATAACACATATAACATAAAAGATTCGTTTCATTTCATTAACAATATCAATAATTACAATTAATTAAGGTTTTTTGGTTGAGATAGAAAAGTCAATGGCACGAGCGGGATTCGAACCCACGATCTTCGGCTAGATACGCCGCTGCTCTACCACTTGAGCTATCGTGACCTCGATCCACTCTGACACTAACTTCCCATCTCAACCCCACCTTTTGAATTTTCCCTCCTTTTTGCCATTTTTCAAATGTCGTGTAATCGGATTGGATTCTCGACGGCAAATGAAACGCTCGTGCCATTGACTTTTTTATCTCAACCAAAAACCTTAATTAATTGTAATATATTAATTCGTCAAGCGGACCACAAAATTAGTGAATAAAATTAATAATTTTCATATCCCTTCAAACTACTCTATAGGCGCATTTATACGCTCATGCAATTTGCATAAGTCAATGTGTTACCAGTCTGGAAATGTCTCTTTGCTAGAGGTTAGCTCATTCTTCACGAATTGCCCTTTCAAGATCGCGGAGTGTGTCAAGAAGGGATGGATGTACTCTTATTCGTCTTTTGAGATTATCCCATAAATGTTCGATGGGGTTCAAGTCTGGAGAATGGACTGGCCAGGCTGAGACCCTGATGTTATACTGTTGAAATTTGTACTATGCGAGCGACGCGTGGCATTATCGTGGATTAGAATAAGATTGTCGCTGATTTCATCGAGTATAGGCATCACATGATGTTCCAAATGAAATTCCATAGTTCAAAATTTCATCAACATAGCAAGTGGCTGTCAAAGACCCTCCACGAACAACAACCAACTTTTTTAAAAGGACCACTCACTCCACCATTCATCATTTCTACAACCAACTCTCTATGACTCCATTGAAATTCCCGCCTACACCATCATTGATTGGATTTGCCTTATCCATACTTTTCACGCCCATCTGGAATTTGTAGAGGAAATCTACACTCATCTGTAAAAAGTACAGCAGACCAATCGTCCAAAGACCAATGGCTGTGTTCTCGAGCAAATGCAACTCGTGTGTTTTCTGGTAAATTCTGGTCCCCTTATGGGGCAACAATCCATCAGCCCATACAGATTTAATCTTTGAGCAGTGCCTTCAGAAATTTGGACACTTCCTGGAGGTGATGAATCGCTTGACCATCAAGATCAGTTTCGAAAAATTCTTAAAGTCAAAAAACGGTCATCCTGTGTTTCTGTTTCAACTGGGCCTTCTACGGTAGGGCCCAGTTTCTCGAAAACCGTTGAATAGTTTGGAAGAACTTTCTTGCAAATCACACGCTGAGCTTTACCCACATCAGCCTCTATAAGTCCCAAATATATGAAGCTGTCTTGTACTAACCCTTTTTAGATATTCCGCATACACTGGATGTTTGGCCCGCACCTATTCTCGAGATGTGTAGACGTTGAGCATGCTGGATCCAAAATCCAGAAAAAAATAAACATAGAATGAATGAATAAAAAAAAAAAAAAAAAAATCGTACCCAGAACTCATTATTTTTAATTTTATTTATTCGTTTTACTTTGTTTTTGTAATTTATTAATTTTTCTCGAAGTTTGCCCCCCTAATTAGGGTTGGCGGGCCACTGTTTGGGAAGCCCATAAAGTTCTAGATATCTCGAATAGGTCGTATCGGACTTACACCAGATGCAATCCCTAGATCCTACTGAAATCCTTCGATATGCTTTAAATCTCAAAATGAATATAATCGTGTTTACTAAATAAAACTGTCGTGATCTCTCACCGTTGATCTAGGATAAGCCATGTCAGTTTTACTTTTGCCAACTATTTTTATTTATTTTTTTTATTTTTTAAATTCCTATTTCTCTTTTTGCACAGGCTGCAGTTCGGAGAGTTCGACCAGTGCCGACCGAGCAGCCGAGAGCGACGAGAATAGGGCAACGCGAGGTAAAATGGAACGCCTCCGTCTCGTCCTGGGCCAGAGGAGAGAGCGTAGGAGGGCGATGCGTTCGCAGCCGTACCCAACGGGGCACGACCACGTGACGGCATAACACGTAATAAATTGCGACGTAATGACTCATCCAGAGAAATTTAATTTTGATGTAATAATGTTTTTTCAACATTATAGTTGACCAGGGAGGCCGTCTTCGCCGAGTCGCACCGCCAGACCTGAATGGAAACGAGTAAAGTAAAAAAAAAATTACATTTAAAAAACTAGCAGAAGATTAAGAAGAATATGGAATCTTCCCCTTAAAACCTCATGTTATAATGGATTAAAAAAAAAAAAAAAAACTATATAGATGATTTGATTTAAATATATATATAAAAAGCAAAAAGAACCAGACTGTCAAGTTTAAAGTGTTATTTGAACAAATAATAATAAGGCTAATTAGTTTATTTACTTTTTTAATTATTATTATTGGTTTTTTTTAGATTTATTTATTGTCATAACAGTTTTTTTTCTTCTTATTTTTTATTAAGCATTTTCTTTTCTCATTATTTCTTCTTTTCTATTAAGTCCTTCTGCCGAGTAAATGTTATTTTGATTTGTTTTCTAATATATTAAATAATAATGATTCTCTCTGAAGAAACAGTTATATATATTATGCATTATTATTATTATTTTTGTTTTATTATTATTATTTTTTAAGTCATATTCTCTTCTTCTATATATTGCGTATATATATTTTACATGTCTAAATTGTGAATTAATTGTAAATAATTTCTCTCCTAAGAGCTTTGATTCCACCAGAATAGTTTTTAAGGGAAACCAAAAAATCGCACTTTCCTTAATTTTTTTATGTATTTAATATATGTGTTATTACATATATATAAAAGGGCAGAGAAATTTTTAGAAAATTAGAGGTTTATCGCTTTGTACATTTTTCCTTTTAATTTTTTGTTGTAATTTTTTTTTTTAATTTGTCTGTTATGGTTTCATTGTCTACGCGTTCCCCCTTTTCTTCCGTTGGTGAGATTCGGCGCGCACCAGGGCGACGGCGAGCTCGGTTTCTCAGCAAGATGGGCTCGTGCCTCTCTGAAACCTCCCCCCACATTTTTCTCACCTTGATTACTTTTTATAAATATATAAATATTATAAATAAATATAACTTGTAAGTAATATATATTGTAAATATGATAAGAAGTTTTTTGGTTTTATTTTATTTTTTGTGGCAATACTGCAGAGTTTTTTTCTGGTGTAGCCCAGACTTTGTCCACACATCAAAGCTTTTTTTTTTAATTTGTATTGTTTATATATATGACAAATTTAAGGTATTACTATCTCTTTTTATTTGATATTTCATCTCCCTGTATTATATTTTAAATACCAGCCATGCCGAGTGCAATACTAAAAAAAAGAAAAAATGGCGCAGGGGCTGAAGTAAAGCACGGGGAATTTACACCTCCCCACAACCCAGATGGCGATGTTTAAAAACACAAAAAAATTGTATTGACTTCTTTTTTTGTTAATAATAATTTTAAATTATTTACCAGTAGTTAGAATAGAAAAAAATTTAGCCCTTTACTAACAAAGAAATGTACAAAAAGCAAAAAAAATAATAAACATTTTCCTTTCTCCCCTTGTCACCCACTGGTTTAATTTTTATAGTTAACGTTTTTTGTTTTTTTAAATAAATAATTTTAAATATTCCATAAATACGCCCTCTCCTTCTACCCCGTATATTTCCGTTGTATCCTATGGTGTAAGACATTGTGACGATTGTACACGTTTATTGAATTTGAGAAAGAGAAAAAGAGTTTTTTGTCAGAAATAAATTATTCCTGTGTGTTTTTCTTTTCTTCTTTTATTACTCTCATTCGAACCGTATTCTCTGCTGCAATTTTTTTTTTAAACTCTTAACTGAAGGTAAGTACAATAGCCTGCTTAAAAATTTGCATCATGCATTTAATTGATATATATTTGTCTTTTTATTCAGAAAAATAAAACCCACTTTGGATTTCGGTCGAAGAATCAGACGTCGGAATGTCCGGTAATATTTGACCGGTGGTGGAAAAAAAAAGGAAAACGCTCAAAGGCATTGGTGAAATCGGGTTTCGGAACGCATGGGAAAATGTAAGTCCGTTTTACCTGTTGCCACTTAATTTTACTCAATACTCTTACGACCACTCGTTTAATATTGACTTTTCCTCACCTTCCCCGACGTAATTTACTAAATTTCAGTTTCACGCGTACTTTTCATTGTGCATTTATCACATTTTATTGTTGGATTAAGACTCAACTTTTGAATGAATTATTGAATGGATTTTGGTGTAGCCCAAACCCAAGTAAAGTGAATAAAAAGTAGAGGTCAAGAGAATCTGAGACGAGCATGAATCAGTTTGTTTTTTATAATTCGGACACTGCGCCGGATTATAAAAGGTCAAAATGAATAGGAGCGTGTTCATTCCCAGGCCAAGGGTGACCTGAGATAATGTCTTGAGTTTATGCACCACATTAATTAATTCAGATTTTTTAAAAAATAATTAATTGTTGATATTTTTGATGATCAACAATAAGCTGTGATGCTTGTGATTTCAGTGCGATTTTGTCAATTTTTTTAATCCTGAGGGGGTGTTTTAAAAAAAAAATTGTAGCAAAAATGGTAGTGTGACCAGGGAATTGTGCAAGACAAAAGATACAGATTTCATCGATTAAACAAATTTTACCTGACTTCAACAGTATTGATTTCAGACTTAGGTCCAATCTGGAGAAGATAAGTCATTTCACCCTTCTGTGGCATAGGAACCTCCGTTATCAATGAATACCTCAAACAAAAGGATGAAAAGAAAATGAGGGAGCAATATAACAAACAAACCAAGAACCTCCTAGCAAATTTCAGAAGGAAAGATGTAATAGAATGTATCAAAGGAAGTGGGGAAAAACTGCGAATCATAATAGGATTCTTAACAGGGCCCTGTAAACTAAACGGACATTTAAAGAAGATTGGTATAACCCAAGACGTGATGCTGTAAAGAATCACAGGAGAAACCAACACCTATTAACACCTATTAGGTGTCAAGGAGGTCCTGAGGTCACTGTCGGCTGAAGCGACGTGGTGGGTTGTCAGGATTGGAATGAAGAAAGGGCTCGAGCAGTATGGTTAGAATGGTTCGATGGTTTGGAATCTGGATTGGATCAGTTCATCAACAAAAGGAATATTGAGGTCTTCGTGGATAGTGATGATAATAGTGTCAACACGTAATAAGGTGTCTAAGGATTTTCAACTGGAAGCGAAGGATAGTGGATGCGCTGGATGGATATTGGACGGCTTGGCAGTACTCCACAGTTCTATATGTCCATATTGGTCTTAGTAAAGTTGTACAGTGTTAGCTTTGTCTTAGTTGTCTTTTGGTCTTCATAGTAGTCTATATCAAGTTTTTTTTTTTAAGACGTGTGGGGATTAAACGTCAGTCTGCTGTCCCAGGTGACGAGTGGAAATGTATATCTTTGTCGTTGATGTACAATGGAACACAAGACTGCTTTTTCAGCGTAAAAGTGCATTTTTCTCCATACACCAGTCTTTGATAAGCTCAAGGTGTCCCTGGATGTCGGAGGTAGCTTGGACAGGATTTGAGTTAGAGGATTGCAGTGTCGTTCGCGAAGATGGTTATAATGTCAGGATATATTGGTAGGTCAGCGGTATAAACGATATATATAGGATAGGACCAAGGAAACTACCCTGCGGTACACCGGCCTGTATCTGACTTCAGAAAATTCATTGCTGCGCCTCACTCTGAATCAGCGATCAATTAGGTAGGATTTCAATAAAACGTAATAATGAGAAGGTGGAAAGTGCTTAAGTTTAAAAAGTGTGCCCGGATGCCAGACCCTGTGGAAAGCCTGCGCTACGTCTAAGAACGCGCCCAGGCAATACTTGTTTTTTTTCTACGTCCGATGAGATGGTGTGACTAAAACGTTTTGGATAATGGAATGTTAAGGACGGAAATCGAATTGGTGAGAGGGAATGATTTTATAGGGTGTCAAGGATTGGTATTAAGGAGTCATTCTACGATTTTGCGGGAAACAGTCTAATAGGTCTGTACGATGAAGTCAGGTTAGGGGGTTTGTTAGATTTAGGTATGAGAATAAAAAATTAATTTTAAAAAATTATAAAATTTAATGAATTGTGAAACCGGACATTTTTTTTTTAAATTGTACCTTGAAAATTTAACTTATTTAAATTTATGCTTACGAAACTTGTTCTACTGTTAGAATATTTTATTTATTAGTTAATTATTGAATAATGATTAATATTGTTATAATTGTTTTATTTTTAATTATTCGACGATTTTTTTTATGACGAATAATTTCGGCGGTGGGGGGCGCAGTTCCATATCGATCCGACCGGAACCCGTTCCAGACTCAGTCGTAGTGGTGGGAAGTTTGATTCTTTTAAGTGAGTCGATTCCCTTCGATTCAATCCCTGAAATGAGTCGATTCTTTTTATCGATTCTTTGATTCCCCCCCACTCCTGGTACCAGAGCTTTCGTTTATTGGTTTCTCCCTTTATCCAAATTTCCCGCCATAATTCAAATTAATTTTCAATTCTAGTATTTATTTACCACAACGAAAAAGGAAATATGGTATTAATGTTAAGTATATAAATTGTATCAAATCGTTGTATTTTTAGAAAGAAAAATATTGATGATAGTAATACTAACGAAAGCCTTATTTCTGAATAATATGCCGGGCAATTATGACCGCCGAACACGTAAGGATTAATATGATAATTGTTAGTATAATAGAGCACGAACTATTGCTCTCTTATNGAAATCCGACTCCGGGAGTTGAAGATTTTCTTAGAAGAATCAAAAAGAGTTGTTACAGGAAAAAGAATCGTCCGGAAACGTGTGACGTATCCGTCCCCTCCAGTTACCTGAACTGAACCGCAACTCACTTAAAGGAATCGATTGGGGGATCGATTCTTTTAGATGAGTCGATTCTTTGAATCGATTCTCGATTCTTTTGCCCATCTCTACTCAGTCGGCCGTCACTTCTCGGCGAGTGATCGTTCATCATGGACAAAGAACACCCACCGGCTAAAAAATCGGTTAGTGAATTAAAAATTAATTAATTTGATGAATTAAGACTCGATTGGGCTTTTTTTTATACGATGTGGTTTATTTAAAAAAAAGTTAGATCGGGTTAAAAATGAGTTTAAAAAAAGGCGATGTTAACACGTCGCGAGACGTGGTCGTTGTCGGTATTTTCAAAAAAATTATTGTTTATCCGTCAGACGGTTGTTCATGTATATTCAAAATTGTCGATTTTTGCTAGGTTCTTTTTTTGAAATTTTGTTTTTGGTTTTTTTTTTATTATGGCGTGGATGGAGTTGGATTTATTGTGCAATTTGCTTCTCCCGCCATTTCTCATCAGTCCGGAGTTAATTGGGAAAATTTTTGAATTTGTAACGGTGTTTGACAGGACAAGAAGAGCAAGGACAAGTGGAGTTTTTTTTTCTTCTTCCTTTCTTTTCTTTGCTCCAATCCATACACAAAAAACCCACTGACTCACGTCACAGCCGATTGTTCAAGACGTTCATCAAAATACCTTAAAAATGCTTTTTTAGAAAATAGTAGAAATGGTGTACGTTGCGATTAAGAGTTATCTGAAAGTAAGTTGATTTGAATTTCGACGATATAGATAACAAAACACACCCACTTCCTAGTCCTAATAGTTAGTTCAGTTCTCTTTCTACGCCTTGACTCGTTCGTTGACTTCTTGTTACTATTCGATACGATCTATTGTATTTAACAGTTTGTAAGAAAGAACAAAATCGATGTTTAGGGCGATAGAGAGTGAGAAACTTGATAGCCGGTGTCGAGGTGAGAACAAGAGAGAATGAGTGAGAAAGGGCGTGTATATGCCGGATGATGTATGTAAGAAACTGGTTTTCCTTGTCTAAGAGTGACAGCGATGTGAGTGATAAAGAGAGTGAAAACAGCTCATCGATGAGTGAATGAGACAGAAGGATAGAGAGTGAGTCAAGGACAGAGAGAGTGAGGAAGCGTCAGAAAAAGCGAGTATGATTGATAGCATTTTATTTAGCCACGCAGAATTGATCTCATGGATGTCCGTACATCCGACGCACTCCAGAGAGAGAGAGGAAGAATTAAATAGAGTGAGAGTCAGTGAGAGAGGGAGAAAGCGCGAGCCAGAGAGATATGAAGAAAGAGGTGAGAGTCAAAGACAGAAAGAGGGAGGCAGAGAGAAAAAGATAGTGAGACAGTGAAAGATATCCACGACTTCGTTTTTTATTTGTACTATGAGTACATATCTAGATTTTTGTCCTTTCCTTTTTGAGAGAGATTGATTGATTGATTTCCGTTTTATTTATACATCACTCAGGAGAGAGAGTGGGAGGGAAAGTCAGGGAGCGTAAAACATCCAACGCACTCCAGAGAGAGAGAAAGAGAGAGAGTCAGAGAGGAAGAGTCAAATAGAGTGAGAGTCGGTGAGAAAGATCGAGTCAGAGAGAAAGAGGAGAGAGTCAAAGACAGAGAAAGAGGGAGGCAGAAAATCAAAGAGAAATAATAAAAGAGAAAAGAAAATATCTTTTAAATTAAGTTGAATCATTTTTAGTTATGATGTTTTATTACTATTAATTTAAACATTTATTTTTTTTAAGTGTTGATTTTTTTTGTAAACAAATTAATATATTTATTTTCTTGTTAATATGATTTTCTTTTTGTTTTTGAACTTCATTTAATTTTTAAAAAAAAAATAATATGTACTCTTTGTTTTTAATGATTTAGCAATTTTTTTAAATACTCTTGTAGACGTCTTTTTAAAAATATTTTTGATTATTAATTACAAAAGAAACATGTATATATATATTTATTTAGAAATCGTGAGATGCGGTCTGGTGTGATGTAGGTTTCAGGAAAACATTTTCTTTATCGTGCCAACGTTTCGATCTTTATTGAGATCATCTTCAGGGCCTGGGATTTACAAACATTGTTTACATATTACAATTACATTTTGGATGTGGAAAAGTGAATTTATACAATGCAAAATATATTTTATGTATTCAATCAAAGTATTTCTACTCACTCAACGTGTTTGTCTTCTGTGTAAAGATGTATATCTACGTATTTTCTGTATTAATTATATGAATTATTTTTTCTTTTAAACAATTTTTTAAAATTATAACTATTGAGAGAGGGAGAAAGAGTCGGTGAGAAATCTCGAGTCAGAGAGATAGGGAGAAAGAGGAGAAAGAGTCAAAGGCAGACAAAGAGAGGGAGGCAGAGAATCAGGGAGATATAATAAAAGAGAAAAGAAAATATCTTTTTTAAACTAAGTCGAATCATTTTTAATTATTACGATTTTTTATTATTTTTCTTGTTTTTATATGACTTTATGAAAATAATATTTAATTATTGTTTTTCCTCAGTGAATGTGGTGCTAAGTTCAAGAGGTTTTTTATTTATTTATTTTTTTAAATTTAGAGGGAGTGATAGATTGTCGGAATAGATGAGTGAACAACTGAGAGATAACGTATAGGAGAGTTGGAGTGTATATGATAGTTTATATGAGTGAGAGTGTCCGAACGTTTGAGTTAACGATATATTATGGGAATCTCTTTTTTCGATCAATTGCGGCAGTTTTATTTTAAGTATAAATATAATTAGACGTAGTTGTACATTTATGTGTATATAGGCTAAGTGGACAGACGATAGCAAACGTCAGAGGATCAATATCTCTTTGTTCTGGAGGACAATCTTCAATTTTTCTTTCTTGCTTACTCCTGCAACTATATCAAATTAAGCCTTATTAAAAAAGTAAAAAAGTCTTCTATAGATCCGTCTCTTATTCCTTTCCTTTTTTTTCTCTCATTCGATAACACTTTTACTTTTGAGATAATTTAGGAAAAGGAAAAAAAAGTATTCGAAATTGGGTTGAGGTCATTAAGCTGGAGGTGAAAAAAGGTCTGGTGGAGCCCAGGGGGCGAAACCGGTTCTGATTCACCGGGCATTACATCTCATGGGGGGAGCGACATTCCAACACGGCCCGGAATTATAATAGTACCGACAGTACTTTCAATTTTTATATCAAGGTTGTTTTTGTTTATCGTATCACAAGTATTATCACGTAAATTAGAACTCAGGGTGTGAAAGAGTGAATGCGCAGTGCGCTCGGAGATCATCAGGCTGATGGAGTTAGACTCCTCACCGACACAGAGAGAAAGAGAAAGATAACAGGATGTGTGAGATATGGAGAGAGAAAAAAATAAACGTACGTAATAATTTTAAAAATGACTGACAACTGGCGATAGTACAAATGAGCTGTTGATAAAATCAATTACCCGTCTATGGACAATCTGGCCAGCAGTGCGAGCGAGCGGGGAGAGAGGGAGGTAGATATAGTTTATTTATATGAGTCATGTGAAAGAAAGACAAAATGAGCGAGGTACAGGAGTCAGCTTGTCATAGAACGGGCAGATCGAGAGCGAGCGGGAGGAGATAATTCATTTATATTAATCAGATGAATTAGAGAGTGAGCGGGTCTGAGAGACCGATCTGATCTCTTTCCCGGTCGCTCTCTGACATGCTCGCTTTCACTTTCTCCTGACTGAATAAATAATCTCTCTCTCTTCTGTCTCTTTTTTTCTTTCCCTCTCCCTCCTTCCTCCCTCGCCTAGGTCTTTATCCCGCTCGCTCTGAGACGTGACCGCGCCCTTACAGGCGGTACAGGCAGCGAACAGAAAAGAGGGAGGGCGATCGTAAAAAAGTGCGGACAAGTCTGAGAGACCGTTCTGGCCTGTTTCCCGGTCACTCCCTGACACGCTCGCTTTCACTATCTCCTGACTAAATAAATAATCTCTCTCTCTTTCTTTCTCTCTCCCTCTTTCCTCGCTCGCCTAGGTCTTTATCACGCTCGCTTTTAGACGTGACTGCTACGTTACAGCAATCGCTTTCTCTCACTTTCTCCAGAATATAAAATTAATCTCTCTTTCTCCTCCCTCTCTTTGTCTCTCTTCCTCTCTCCCTCCCTCCCTCCCACTATCCCTGCTCTCAGACAGTCAGACCTGACGGTTCCGGCGAGCAGATAAGAGGGAGAGTGTTAAAACGTTCGGTCAGGTCAGAGGGCGTTATAATTTTAAGAGGAGTTATGACAACCAGAGATAGTGCTAATGGGCACTTGATAAAATGTACTTCCCGTCTACGGCCAATCGTAATAAAATAAATAAATAACCCCGAGTATATTGCATCTGCTGGCGTGACCCGTGGCGTGGAACGTGCCACAGGAGTGGGCGTCGGCCACACCCCCGTCCGACAAAAGGCCGGAGGCTCGCCTCGGACCAATTGACTCCCCGAAGGTCAATTGGCCCGAGTGAGGAATCGTCCCGTTTTTGGGTAATCTTGGGGAGGGGGAACTAGACTTAGAAATAAACAAACCTATTAGTGTAGTATTCAACACAAATCGCTTCGAAGACTGCTCTAATAAAAAAAATAAACAAAACTAAAAGCTGAGTCCTTTTTACACCGCTGTGTTATCTCACCCTACAAAGAAAAAAATCAATAATAAACTAGGCTAAATATTCAAATTTGCCATCGTTTGGAAAGAAATACTATCTTTATCTAAATCTCTCTCGCGCTGGCACTGTCTGTAAGGGAGAGAAAAAGGATTTACGTAAACAAACGTTGGGCTTACAAATACATTAAGTATCTATGACTTAGTTAAGATGAGATTTGTGATAGAATACCAACCCCATGTTCGCCCTTATGAACAAACATAACTGTTTAAACTAGAAGTTATATTAGTTATCAACTGTCTGATGGGCCTGAAGTAGGTGTCTGGAGGTGGGTCTTGAATTTGTGAAATAATCCTCGAATCCGGATAAGATCTTACATCGCATCGCAGGCAGTGGGTAAATACACACTAAGTGAGAGTAAGCCAATGGGGGAGAGAGAGAGAGTGAGTGCGACCGAGTCAGAGAGTGACCGGGCAAAAGATACAGATTATACAGCTTTCGTATTTAATCCTCCAATTGAGCGGGAAAAAGATCAAGCGAATTAGAGAGCTAGCATAAAAAAGAGTGGGCAGGTGTGAGAGCGAGTTGTTGGTCCAGAGGGTGAACGTGAAAGAAAGCGAGCAGGTAAGAGAGTGGGTGAGCAAGAGAGAGAGTGAGAAAGAAAGAGAAAGAGTTTATTTCTATGAGTCAGATATAGAGAGAAAAAGAGCGATTTGGTCCAGAGGACAAGCGGGTCTGAGTGCTAGTCGACCCAGAGAGTGAAAAAGAGAGGGCAGGTCTGAGACCGCTTGAAAAAGAGCGGGCAGGTCAGAGAACGACGAGTGGATCTGAGAGCTAGCTGATCCAGAGAGTGGGAGGGTAAAAGAGCGACACGTTAGAGAGCTAGCTGGTCCCAGAGAGGGCATGAAAAAGAGAGGGCAGGTCTGAGACCGCTTGAAAAAGAGCGGGCAGGTCAGAGAACGACGAGTGGATCTGAGAGCTAGCTGATCAAGAGAGTGGGAGGGTAAAAGAGCGACACGTTAGAGAGCTAGCTGGTCCCAGAGAGGGCATGAAAAAGAGGAGGCAGGTCTGAGACCGCTTGAAAAAGAGCGGGCAGGTCAGAGAACGAGTGGGTAGAAAGAGAGAGTTTGAGAGCAAGGTTTTTGTATTTGCAGTTTGGACTTGACCTCCAAAGTCGTTCTCGTTTGTATTCGATATCTCACAAACATAAAGTTTCGTTTTGTACGCGATGCATATTGTGATTTAGAAGCTCGGCCTAGTCGATAAGAAATCCAAAACTGAACGTTAACTTAAGTTAGTACTTTTTGCCGTGAAAGAAAATTTGACTTTTCAAAATTAACTCCGTTTTGGCCCGGTTAGGGTGATCGGTAATGGCTATCCACGCCATAATTTTTCCGTTTTTACCTATGTCCCCAGAGGGTGAACAGCCAGCTGGCCTTCGCAATACTCTCGGCAGCTTTCGGCTCAGCTTTCCAGCACGGGTACAACACGGGCGTACTCAACGCCCCTAAAGAGGTGAGTGTCCGTCTTTATAATGGTATTTTCCTTTTCAGTCAATTGTCTCTTCACGATGAGGACCGGTTCAATGGCCCCTCGGGTGACACGAGGCCAGCCAATTGATCAATGACCCAATGAAGGACCGTCGAAGAAGGCCATATCACAATCTTGGACAGATACGATTTATCTTTGACTTCGCCCTTTTTCTTACCACAATCATTAAACGAAATATGCCGTACATCAACTGTACACTTAAAACATATTCCCTACTGATTATTGCGTTTGTGATTTTCCTTTTCAGCTGATTGAAAAATGGATTCATGGGATCAAAGTCAACAGGTCCCTCGCTATGGGAGAAACGGGTGATGTTAGCGAAGAATCGGTGAGTAGAGGAAAGGGGGTCTGGTTCAGTTTATCCTTCCTTTCCTGACCTTTTTTTCAGGTGACGTTGATCTTCTCCTTGGCCGTATCGCTCTTTTGCGTCGGCGGGATGGTCGGCGGCTGCAGCGTTGGTTTCGTCGCAGAGAGGTTTGGCCGCAAGATGGGCATATTGCTCAACAACATATTGGTCCTCGTCGCCGTCCTGGCCCAGTGTGAGTAGCCCTCTTTGATAATCTTCAAATTGATTTATCTGAATGTTTATTGTCTTTTAGCGTTTGCCAAGGCCGCCGGGAGCTATGAGCTCCTACTCATCGGACGATTCGTCATCGGCGTCAACGCTGGCCTCAGCGCGGGTCTGGTGCCGCTCTACATCACCGAGATATCACCGGTCGACCTGAGAGGGGCCGTAAGTCGTACGAGGCCAGTGGTTTGCACACGGTTTGATACTTTTCTATTTTTTACAGGTCGGGACCGTATACCAGCTGGTGATAACTGTGAGCATCCTCCTGAGCCAGATCTGCGGTCTTGAGGTTGCCCTCGGGACGGAGGACCACTGGCCTCTAGTATTCGCCGTGACGGCCGTACCGGCCCTGATGCAGGTCGTGATGCTTCCGATCTGCCCGGAAAGCCCGAAGCACCTCTTAACGCGGGGGCAAGACGAGAAATCTAACGAAGGTAAGACAGTGCAATTGTCCATACCTAATATTTATGCGATTTTTTTCTTTTTCTTTTTAAGCGCTGGTCTGGTTGCGAGGCACACTCTCCGTTGAGGACGAATTCGACGTCATGAAGGCCCAGGAGGAGGCGGAAAATATGACGAAGAAGGTGACCCTTTTCGAGCTGACGAGGAACCCGAGCCTGAGGATGCCGCTAATCATCGCGTCCGTCGTCATGGTCGCACAGCAGTTCTCCGGCATAAACGCGGTGAGTTGGCTCATGACTCGTGACGTAAACAAATCTGATCTTTTCGTACCCAGGCGATATACTTCTCGACTGACATCTTCATGAAGGCCCATCTCTCGGAAAAGGAGGCCCAGTTTGCAACCATGGGCATGGGAACGCTCAACGTACTCATGACGATCGTCTCACTGTTCCTTGTCGAACGGGCCGGAAGGAAGACCCTACTAATCACCGGCTTCCTCGGCATGTTCTCCTCGACGCTGTTCCTCTTCGTCTGTTTGTTCAACTCCGTAAGTGTCTCCTACTTCTACTGTCATCTCAAGCCCCCGTCATATTTACCCCTCGACCTTCACTCATCTTAACCCCTCCACTCAACATAGATCTCCACTACTTTCCCTCTATAATCCGCACCTTCTCTTACATGTCCCTCCACTTAGATTGATCCCAATTTTCCCTCACTATTTATCCTTCCACATAGCTTACATCCCCACTACTTTCCCCATACTCCTACTTACTCCTCCACCTAAGTTGTTCCCCACTACTTTTCCCTACTCCTACTTACTCCTCCACCTAAGTTAATCCCCACTACTTTCCCCTACTCCTACTTATTCTTCCACCTAAGTTGATCCCCACTATTTTCCTATACAATCACTATCTTCACTCATCTTAACCCCTCGACTTATCACAGATCTCCACTACTTTCCCCTACAATTACTACCTTTATTTCTCATTAACCGTCCACGTGATGTTGATCCCCTACTACTTTTTCCTATCATCCGTATCCGTCCAACTTCTAATTATTTTTGCTCCACTTAACATAGATTCCCAACATTTCCTCTCTATTTATGCTTCCACATAACACACATCTTCACTATTTTCCCTCTACTCCTGCTTACCCCTCCACCTAAGTTCTCTTAGGTCTCTACTCAATACTATTTTATTTTAAACTGTTCCACAACATCGAAGCCTCCACTACTTTCCTGTATAATCCCCACCCCTACGACTTTTTATTTTTCCACATGTATGGATCCCCGCTGTTTTTATTTACAAACACTGCCCCTAACTCTTATTCATGCTTTTCTTAAAGATAGATCTCCCCTCTATAACCCACGCATGCTTCTATTTCCCCTCCAATTCTCATCGAAATCATACACTTTTCTTTACAATAATCCGACTCCTCTTAACTCCTCAGCTTACCATGGATTTCCCCACCACTTTGCTCTATCATCCTCACCTCTGCTCCTCTTGACCTCTCGTCATAACATAGATGTTACTATTACTTTTTCCTACAACTTTCTTTTCCCCCAATGCTATTTCCTATTTTATGGAACCCCGCCCGACCTGACCGGTTTTTTACTTCTCTTACCCTCTTCTACCGGGCAAAGCGATAACCGTCTTTCCTTTTCAGGAGATCGTTGGTTTCTCCTACATGAGCATAGCCGCCGTCTTCCTGGTCGTCTTGTTCTTCTCCATCGGCCCCGGGTCAATACCCTGGTTCCTCGTTGCCGAGCTGTTCTCACAGCAGGCCCGCCCTGCGGCTACAGGTGTCGCAGTCGTCGTCAACTGGACGGCCAACTTCATCGTCGGCATAGGATTCCTCCCTTTGGTGGTCTGTCAAGCGACAATTTCCCTCTAAGAAAACAGTGTTTTGTTCATGTTTTTGTTTTGTTTTGTTTGTAACAGGCCGAAATCGGCAGCTGGGTGTTCGTCATATTCGCCGCCATGCAGGTCTTGTTCGCTGTGTTTGTCTACCGAAAGGTCCCCGAGACAAAGAACAAGAGCCCCGAGGAGATCGCCGCCTACTTCAGACAGACGTCGTACCAATGAACTCAAGGCCTACCTCACTTATATACATTTTTTTTCTAAAATATTTATGTAAAAAGAAAAAGATATTTTTTACCCACAGACCAAACGTTTCACACCCGTGTCCTATTGAAAGACTGCATCTGATATTGTATTTTTCTATTTTTAACAATTGGACACTACCATTTATTTTCTTAATACATAAAATGTTGAAATAAGTGGAACTGTTTTAAGTTGTAATACAGGTTCTCCCATTTTTTAATCTTCTACCACTTTTCTTAGCGTTATATTCGATCCTTTATGGCCTATTTGATCAAGTCTTGTTCGACCATCAGCGTTTTTCTTCCCCTCTGCTGCTCCAATATTTTCCCTACCATTCCGTATTTCCACTACTTTCCCTATCACTATCTTCTTTACTCCCCCCATAAAAATTGTACCCCCACTACTATATTTCTCTTATTTTCTCTAACGGTTCACCTTCTTTCTTTTCCCTCTCCATCTGGTCTTCCACTCAAAATATCCGAACCGTTCCCCGTCAATATCTATTTCTCCTTCTTTTTCTATTCCTTTTCTTTCCCCTCCAACTGATTCTCTCCTCTAAATTCCGAATAATTCCCCTACCCCTCGAATTTCTCCTACTTTCTCTAGCACTTGATCTTCTTTCATTTCCCCTTCAAAAAAGTTTCCCCTCTCTTACATATTTTCCTGCTTTTTCTATAACTTTATCTTCTTTCATTTGCTCCGCAAAATAGTTCCCCTCTCCTACATATTTATTCTATTCCTTTACGTCCCCCTCCATCCTACTCCCCCCTAAAAATCTCCGAAAAGCTCCCCTCCCCTACATAATTTCCTGCTTTCTCAATAACTTTTTCTTCTTTCATTTCCTCCTCAAAATGGTTCCCCTTCACCATTTTATATTTCTCCTACTTTCACTATCCTTTACTTACTCTTCAAAATATCCTAATATTTCCTCCAAAATTTATATTCCTTCCATTTTCTCTATCATTTTATCTTTTTATTTTCTTAATTAAAATCGTTCTTCTACTTTCTCTATCACTTTATCTTCTTTCATTTCTCCCTCAAAATAGTTCCTCCTCACAATTTTATATTTCTCCTATTTTCTTTTATCCCTTCATTTCCCTCTCTACCTCAAAATCTCCGAATAGTTCCCCCTCCCTCATATATTTGTTTACAAAATATCCTGTGTTTCCCCCACCATTTTATATTTCTTCTATTTTCTCTACCACTTTTTTTAAATTTCCTTATCAAAATCGTTCCCCCACCACTTTACATTTCTCCTACCTTATCGTTCTTCATCTCTCTTTAAAATCAAAATTGTTTCTCCGCCATTCTATATTTACCATACTTTCTCTATTGTCGTATATCCCATTCTATCTTCTCGTTACCCTCCTAATTTTCATTCCTTTCCGTATTTTCAAATCTTTCTTTCTTTCTTTTCTCACCCCTCAACATATTTTTATAATCGAACCCAGTTCACCAATTGCGATCATACCTTCGAGTTCTCCCTGTTACTATCCCCCAAATCTCTCCAACTACTCTCTTAATGTTACAGTGATGCTGGATTGTTGGAATACTTTATTATCACGTTTTTTTGTTTTGTTTTTTTTCTGTGGTTGATTTTTCAATCGTCCTTCGTAGCAGGCGGTTCGTCGCAGGTCTCGGCCGGTCTCTTTTCTCTTTGTTGCGCCCTGGGACGTTTCGAATTCCCCCGAAGGCGTCGTCGGCCGCGTTTCTCGCCCAGGAGGCAGCCCACCTCTTCCTTCACCCGGAGGCGGTTCTGCCTCTTGACCATCAGGCCCATAAGGACGGCCTCTTTCACCGCTTCGCCCACCGCTTCCTTGTCTTCTTCCCCAATCATCCTGGAATTATTTTTTTTAATACAAAAAGAAAACAAAAAAAAAACCTCTCACCTTCTCAGCTCGTTTAGGTCGACGTCTTTCTTCTTGCTTTTCAACGCGGCTGTTATGAGACGCTGCAGTACGTCAGTCTTGGCGTAGACCCGATTCTTTTCGGCCACTTTCTCGGCGAACTCGTCGAAACGCTCAGACCCACTCCTGCTCCCAACTTTGTTGGTCTTGGGATTTTCCATTCCTCGTCAGAAACCTCAACAAGACCTCGCCAACAATCCCTGCTAGGATGAATATGATGAAAAACGAGAGAAAAAATATTCTCTCGACCATGTGTGCGTTTTTCAAAAAGTCCCGGCCGGATAGAGACAAATTTACATTCAATAATAAACAAGGCAAATTTTTAGCGAACACTTTATTATTTTTAATATATTGACATGTAATAAAAACGTGGGGGGACGTTTTAGCGTGAGCGACATAGAGACTTTGTACTTCATAGTGAAATCATTTCGTAAATTTCTTTAAAATCTGATTTTGAACTCAATTCTACCTATAATAAATAATTTTAGTTACGGCTTCAAAACCGACAAGGGTACGTGAACGTCTTCAGGATGAAACCAAAGACCGAACTGACGGTAAACGTATGCATATATGCTACACTTTTCTAGTCTGAAATCACAGCGATTGAACAGTGCGCCAGGGAAATAAAAAGGCTAAGAATACATTCCGGGAAGATAGCCATCAGGCGGTACTAAAGGCCCCAGTCTCATGCGAGGTGAAGACAGAGACTGCATGGAGTCCTTGGTGGAAGCCAGCGATACTAACGATTTGATCCTGGTTCCCTGTGTATTCGGGCCCTTGAGGAAAAGGTTGACATGGCCAAAGAGCGATCCAACGTGGACTCTTTCGGTCCTGAACCCTACTGGCTTAGCATCTTGCCACAAAAGAGCACACATCTTAAAATGGAGTCCAAAACCTGTTGGAACAATACCACAGCCATGAGGCAAGTGAAGAGATTCGTAGAAGGGCCTTTGATAAAACTTACAAATTACTGGAAGTACCATAACCGAACCAGGATTCTGGTTGGACTTCTGACATGGCAGTGCCACTTAAGAAGCGCATGCACCGGATAGGAGTACAGAGAGAAGAAACACTTTGCAGATACTGCCAGGAAGAGAGGAGACCGCAGAACTTTATGTTTCTGTGAAATATAGGTGCAGTTCTTCCAACTCCACAAGCATGAACCTACACTAAGGAGACGTTGGCAAGGCTGTGGAGGTTGATTAACAACCTCAGGCTGGCCAGTGAGTTATAAAAAAATCAGAGGAGTGCAATAGATCTACTCAGGTCGAGGTGCAGGAGGTCTTGTGGCCGCCTTTTTTATCCCTATCCCAATATTTATAAAAACAAATCAATTAAATAAAGACATAGTTGTCAGACGCCATTTTGTTTTTGATTTATATTGGCAAAAAGCAATCATATCATCTCTACTGTTTATTTATTTTCCAAATTGTCTTTGTTTGAGGAAATTGAAGCTTTATTACATTACTAATAATAAAGGGAATTAGTCAATTTATAAATAATCAACTTTATTAGGGCATTGTTTGACTGACAGACACCATTTTGTTTTCGATTTACGTAGGTAAAAAATAAAATTTATTGCAAATATTGTCTTTTTTTTAAGTAATATTAAGACTTTATTACATTATTAATTGCAAAAAAAGGGGGGGAATGGTAATTTTCTAATTATTGGGGCACTGACAGACCCCATTTTCTTTTCAATTTACACTAGTAAGAAAAATCAAACCTTCTACACTGCTTATTTATTCTCAAAATTGTCTTTATTTATATTAATTAAAGCTCTATTAAATTGTTAATTTTATATTAATTAAAACGAGAAAAAGGTCAATTTCTGAACAATCAACTTTATTGGGGCATTTTTGACAGACGCCATTTTGTTGACAAAATTTGGCATTGGTAAAAAAACAATCAAACTAAATTTTGTCTTATTTGTTTATTCTCAATATTGCCTTTATTAATAGACATTAAGACTTTATTACATTATTAATTAAAAAAGGGGAAAATAGACAATTTCTAAAATAATAACTGTTCAGGCATTTGTCTTTTTTTTGTATTTAAATGATGCTGCTATCAACGCAGAGCAGTAGGGTAACTGTGGCAAGAGAGGAAATTTATTACCCTAAAATATAAAATAAATAAATATAAAAAACTAATGTAAAAGAAGCTTTTCAACCTTTTTATTGTTTATAACTGCTTATAAAATAAGTAACTTAGCGTACAGTAAATTCATTGTGGCACTGCTTGACAGACAGACGCCATTTTGTTTTAGATTTACATTTCTAAAAAATAAAATAAATCAAATTTTCTCCACTGTTTATTCTTAAATATTGCCTTTTAATAAATATTAAGGTTGTATTACATCATTAATCAAAAATAGGAGGAAATGGTTAATTTCTAAATGATCAAATTTATTATGGTATTGTTTGACAGGGTAGACCATTTAATTTTGTGAATGTTTCTATTCGCCCCATGTTTGTAATGTGGAACATGTAATTTAAAAATTTTTCGTTTATAACTTTTATACGACTTTAGTTCGGTAGTTATAATATACGGTGAAAAACGAATTATAAACCCCCTTACAAATATACAGTTGTGAGGGGATATTTCGCTCGTCTGTTGGCATCTCTGACGGTCAGGATGCGAGCGGGCCCGCCGCGCCGTTTTCCGTAGAGCAGGTTAGAACGCCGGCGAGAGATGAACTCACCGGAAAGGTCTTCGGGCCCGGATTCGCCCTCTTTCCTTCCCAACGACTGTTTTATAAGGTAAATTAAAAAACTCAATCAATTTGATGATTTAATCTTAGTTCGTTATTTGGAACAAAAAAATTGAACATTTTCTTAATATCAGCTTTGTTATGAATTGTCTGTTTCACCGAACGACACCTAAATGACTTACATTATTTATAAACAATCTGTATAACTTCTTTGTTCCAATGAGTGATTTGTATGGAAGAAATTTAATCGCGAATCAATATGTCTTTTCCACCATCCATCAATGTCAGTCGGTACCAGGGCCGTGCGGTTTGATAGCTCTGGTAAAGCTTTTGTCACATCCCATGTTCCTCACTGCCATTTTTGTTATTTATTACCTTACTGTTTTAATTTTAAGAAACAGGGGCGAAAGGGCTTCGCTCAACTTTGTCGAGGAATGCAACAGTTATACGTTTATGAAGAAGAGGAAGAGCGACATCAAGAAGTTCTCCTTTTACAACGCCATCGTGATTGGCACGGTCGTCGCTTTCGACTTGTAAGCCTAACTCGTTTAAAAAAAAGTTTTTTTTTCTTCTAAAATTAATCCAAACGTCCAGTTTTAAAATGTGCGGTGATGGTCACATCACCGAGTGGGCCAAGACAGTTGTCCTTGTCATCTGCATCTGCAACCTGCTCCATTTCATGTTCACCTACTTAAAACTGGCCAGGGCTTCGCAGGAGCAGAGGGTGAAAATCAAGAACCACTTCTGCGCCAACACAAGCCCAAAGCAAGAAGGTAAAATATAACAAATTATTAATCCATTTATGTTTAGCGGTCTAATCGACCATATTAAATATTTCAATTAATTATTATTTTTATATAAGGTCTTGGTTGAGACGAGAAAGTTAGTGTGATGAGTGAGATTCAAACCCATGACCTTCGGCTCAATATGTGGCTGCTCTAACCACTTGAGCTATCTTGACTTCGATCCACTTGGCCACCAACTCCTCATCTCAACCTACAACCTTTCGAATTCAATCTCTTTTTTGCCATTTTGCAATTTTTTTTGTTTTTGTTTTAAATATAAAATGGATACTCGGAACTGGAGGCCCCCTGTGCACTGCAGCTGTATACTACAGCTTATTTTGAAGGGGGTTGGGAACAGTTAAGGGGAAACAATATATACATTTTCTTTTAATTAATATTTCATTGCAGACGAAGGTCCGGTGGAAATGAACAATTTGGCAACGCCTTCGCCCCAGACTGATGTTTCAAAAACACCACCACACAATAACATGACAGGTGAGACATTTTTCAGGCTTCTGTCATATGTGAATTACCGATTTGTTTTTTCTTCTTTCTGTCCTCTTTTAGGACATTTTTTCCTTGAAGAATCTATTAAATAGCGTAATATTAGATCAGTTTATGTGAACAGGCAATTGTGATAAGTGGCAGACAAATTAAAAAAAAATGTCTCAAGAATGATTAATTATAGAGAAAGTGTGATAGTAAGTAGAAAATTGAAATTAAGATTTGTAACAAGTACAGCTTCAGTCCCCTTGCGGGGAATGGAGAAGAAGGGGAGTCGGATTGGCGCGGCTCTAGCCGCTTGAGGTGATTCGAAACGATGGCCACTCTACTGTATCCTGCACTGACTTCCCCACCACGATCTGGCACTATGATGGTAAAAATGTTATTAGAAGGTCCGGGCGAGAATCTTTGAGTATCAAGTGATGGTTGGCCCTCAGAAGACCTGACTCATCGAAGAAGGCTCCTCACCCAATTAAGAATAGATCATGTGAGGTGGACACATACATTTATGGGCCTGCTTTATGCGTCCGGCATGTAGAGTAAGATGGCTTAATGCGACCCGCCTAATTGAATAGTACAATGTACACATAGTGAATGTATTTATTAGTGTGAATGTGTAGTGTGAGGGTCGATGGCAGAATATTGAGTACCTAGTAACCCCTGGAGGCCAACTTCAACAGCTGAATGGACAAGACACCCTGGACTGCCAACACCCAGGGTGGCCGGTAATTCATTGAATGAATAATAGTATTTATTTACATAGAATATAGACAAATTCAAAACATTTTACAAAATACATTATGGCGTGGAGAACAGTGTGTCAGCCGGAGTTGATGTAAGCAAACACAGAATAATAATAAAAAAATATACAAAAAGAATACACGAAATAATTAAATTAACTTATGAAAATACTATAAAATACTGAAATTAAATTAAACCAAAAATAAATGAATAATTAAAAAAATAATGAAGCAATACTAGAGAAGAAAATCGACAAAATAGTAATAATAAAAGCTAACAAAATATTGTTTGATAAAAAGATAAAAAGAGAAGAGAAAGACTAGTAATTAAAATAAGGAAATGAAAGCATGATTACAATACATTAATAATTAAAGTGTTGGACCAGCTCGAATCTGTAAGTCCAAGCGTGGCGAGCAAATCTGATGAGAGGGCGTCATTTAACATTGCTATGAGTGCAGGTCTGGTCAGCCTCGCCAGGCCAACGTGTAAAATAATCAGAATTGAACATTTGGTGGCAAAATGAAATGTATTTTCCGCCGCCTTGGAATTAAATAGAGAGCACGATTCAACAGATTTTTCCCCCCATGGAGTTTAAGAATAGCAACTCGCACCTCAGTTTAAAAAACCAGTAGAGCTCGCTAAGCAATAGACCGCACAACCAGTCTGCAATCAAGCTTCATATGCCAGCAAGATGAAGTTCGGGATATACTGTAAAACGCGACTATAGATTTTTTTTTAAGTTCCTCGTGGTGAGATTTCATTTTACTCAATAAACTGGCCAATTGGCCACCCAATAGTGACATGTCATACACAGTCAATTCACAATCATATCTCTGAGCCATCCAATTCCTAACCCAGAAAGTTTTGGTTTTTATTATTTCTAAGGTAGAATTCTTGGCAATCTATGAGGAGGTTAATTCAATATCCTTAGCCACTAATCAAAGTGTAACTTCAAGGGGTACACTTTGAGTAGATCGACCTCCATTTCGAGATAAACCATATGGTTTGGAGTTACTGATGAAATACCAAATAATTTTTTAATAAAAAAGCTGAAATTTCTCAATAACTTCAAATCACTGAGAACCCCAAGCCTGAGCTCCATAACAGACTATGGAAAGACAGACTTAAAGAGACCAAATTTTAATGGAAGAGGCACTAGTTCCTGAGAAAGGAAACCAGCAGACCATACTCTATTAAAGCACGTTTAGCTATGGAGACCCTTTCAAGAAGATGCATGTTCATTGATAATCTTGGAAGGACACACCCAAATACTTATACTGAGATACTGTCTACTGGTTATCCCTAATCAATGGATACAAGCCGACCACCCAGATGACAAAACTAGACATTTGGTTTTATTTACATTAGCAGAAAGATTCCAGAGGTCACAATAAGCCACCAGTTGTAATTCATTGTACAGTACAAGTGCAAGAAGCGATGGTTCAACTTTGTACAAGAGCGTATGTACGGACTCGGGTTTGTACAAATCGGCAGCGGTGTTCACGACATCCGACAGTAATAACAATTTATTTTCACTAATTTTGTGGTCCGCTTGACCAATTAATAAATTACAATTAATTAAGGTTTTTAGTTGAGATGAAAAAAAGTTAATGGCACGAGTGGGATTCGAACCCACAATCTTCGGCTCTACCACTTGAGTTATCGTGACCTCGATCCACTCGGACATCAACTTCCTATCTCAACCCCACCTATGAGTTTTCCCTCCTTTTTGCCATTTTTCATATGTGTAATCGGCACTGCTCGTGCCATTAACTTTTTTCATCTCAACTAAAAACCTTAATTAATTCTAATGCATTAATTGGTCAAGCGGACCACGAAATTAGTGAAATTAATGAATTAAAATGAAGTACACTTCACTAAAGCTCGCTGTGGCCATTTCATTTGTCATCGAGAATCCAATCCGATTACACGACATTTGAAAAATGGCAAAAAAGAGGGAAAACTCATAAGGTGGGGTTGAGATAGGAAGTTGATGTCTGAGTGGATCGAGGTTATGATAGCTCAAGTGGTAGAGCCGAAGATCGTGGGTTCGAATCCCGCTAGTGCCATTAACTTTTTTTCATCTCAGCTAAAAACCTTAATCAATTGTAAAGTAATAACAATTTTCCACTCGTTTCCAGGTGAATTCTCCAGTTTTGAAACGCCGACGAACCATACCCTCACGAAATACAAGAACAAAATGTTCTCCCAGGCTAATGACTTGGTGAAATACCTCTGCGATTATAAACAGGCAATGAAAGACGAGCTAGTCCGTAAGTTTGAAAGACATTTTTCCCCCTTTAAGTATATTAGGTTTTTTTTATATTTTTTTTTTATTAGTGTTGAGTCGCGACAGCTCGATGCCTTCTGGCCCGTTTGATTTTTGGTCGCCAGAGAACCGTAAAGACACGAGCCCAAACTCGCTCGACGTCTCGCCTCTACTTCGTACGCTCCAGTACCAGACGGCTTGTAAAAAGATGTTGAACACGAGCGCCTTCTGGGGAGGGCAAGATTCGCCCGACGGCTGGAGTCAACCGAACGTCAAATGGATCTGCAACTTAAGATCGGCAAGTTTACAAGTTAAATTAAATAACAAAATAAATAAAAATCTGTTTTTAGTGGCTTTCGGAGATGGTACTTAAGAGGCTGGTCGAGGAGATCGAGACGGTTAACAGGGGCCTTCAAAAGGAAGGCATGGGGTCGTACCTCGTCGGCACTGTCGGTCTCGATGCTCTCGTCAACACAGCCAACAACCATGTCATAGTGCAGAAAATACCCAATATCAGTTTCCTGGTACCGTTTTTAGAAATATCTACTAACCAACAATACGTCGTACAAAGGATACGAGGTAAAGTGCACCATTCTCATTGTAAAGTGTGTTTTTTTTTCATGTTTTTATTAATTGTTGTTAGATCTCGCTAAAGGAAGCTCAATGAATTGCTTCAACTGGAGGTCAGGCGGTAATTACGAGGACAAACTCTGGGAGTCACACCTACTGACAGATGCTGAGGTATAAAAAATCATTAAAAAAATTTTGTCATTGATATTTTTTTTTTTAAATCCGCAGCTCGTGATGCATCTTTTCATGACATACCTCGACTCACGTCTCCCTCTGTTGGCTGAACGACCGTCGGCGAAGCCATTCTCATCGCAGTATTTCGCCCGTAGCCCCAATTCACCAAAGAAAACCAACCTCGCCATCGTTCAGGACAACGTATCACCGCCGCATTATCAGCTGATGATAAACAACAGCCTCAGGGATATACCGCATGTAATTTATCGGTCTTTTTTTCCCAACATATTTATATATTTCAATTAATCATTTTATTTTCCTCTTTTTGAAACAGGGTAGGAACAATCTTTTCTGGACTCTAGTCCAGTTTTTGTGCTGCGTCAAGAAATACGAGCACGGCAGCCTCGGAAACATTAACTGGGGACGAGGTGGGCTCAATATGCTGTCAATAATCGAAAACACAGATATTTAAAACATAAAGAAAAGACTTTTAAATATGTATTTAAAACGAAAAACAAATGGAAGTATTTATTATATTTTTTTAATGGATTTGAGACTTTTTTTATATGACAAATTAGTTTTGAAAAAAAAAATTGCTATTTTATGATTAAGTTGGCAACCATGTTGTGAAATAGTTGGCAGCCCTGACTAGGTTTGCAAATGTCTAGGTTAGGTCAGTGTAAAGACAACAGTGAATAAAGCACAAATTATTGTAAAATAACTGTTTATTGATATTTTGTAAGTTTTCATTTATAAAATGTATCCGAATTCTTTTATCCAACGCAGGCCACAGTCTGTTCCGGATCGTGGTTTGTACTCGAGGCCGATCCAGCCAGAGTAGCTGAGTTGGGTGAGCAGGTCAAAGAGGTAAGCGTAGTCGACCTCGCCAGGCGTATCCGGTTCGTTCCTGTTTGGCACCTGAGCGACCTGGATGTGTCCGACAAGCGGCAGCATCTCCTCAATGTTCCTAGTCAAGTTGCCCGTAATTGTCTGCATGTGGAAGACATCGAGCTGCAGTCTTAGATGCGGGCTGTCGACACGTCTCACGACTTCGCAAGCTGTGCCGTAATCATTAAGGAAATAGCCTGGCAGTGAGTACTTGTTTATCGGCTCGATCAGGCCGACCATTTCGTTCGATTTTAAAACAGCCGCCGCTTTTATCAAATTAGCCTCGAATGTTTTGAGAGTATCTGGGTCGCGTTTGACCACACCGGACATTACATGTATACGACGGCATCCGAGCCGTTTTGCGTACGAGATCGCCTTGTTGAGGCTCTTGTCGAACGCGTCCTCCCGGCCTGGTAGAGCGGCAAATCCGAGCTCACCCTTATTCGGATCACCTGTCGGCACATTGATGAGGACCTGCTCGAGACCGAGCTCCTCTTTCACCCGAACCAACTCATCTAGGTCGGAGTCATACGGAGAAGCGCATTCGACACCACGGAAGCCGGCCCGGCCAGCCAGGCGGTACCTCTCGACCAAGACCGCTGCCTCTTGATACATGAATGATAAATTGGCACAAAATTTCAATTTCATAGTCAAACAGGAAAGAAAACTTATATAATCCACCGAATTAAAATCTTACTTTTTAATCAATAGTTATAAAAAGACTAAATACAACAAAAAAGAGCTGTTATCAGTTTATCAAATAAATCGATTAAACAATCGATCTTGACATCGACAATCGATTATTTTAGTACTAAGCAATTTTTTTTAGTAATTTTTTAATTGATTTCTTTCATTATAAACTTATTTACTTAGCCTAGTTTAAACATTAAAATCTTAAAAATTACAGCAAATATTCAGTATTAATAAAAGGAGTAAATCTGCTAGTTCTCATTTTTTACTATCTGCGTGCCACAATTAGAATATAAAACAGTTATTTTATGTAAACATGTATGTGTGAATTTTATTGCATATAATTTTCGATTTACGGTTTTTGTTTAGATAATTGTCGTCAGTTGGCTTCATGGGACTATTTCACCGTTTTCATCTAGTCAGCATTAGGTATAAAAAGCATTTTATCTTAAAATATTCATTCAACATAAAATAATTTAGGGGGGAAATGTATTTTAAAAAAGGCCAATTTCCAATCCAATTCCATCAATCACTAACCATCTACATGGACTATCGACCTAACAAAGTCAATCGATAAATGTCGCATAGACCCATAATCGATTTTAAAAAAAACATTCGATATCTCGCCACAATTATCGATAGTTACTATATCTTTGAACAAAAACCACCTATAAATGTCGCATAGACCCATGATTGACCACAATATATTCGATATCTCGTCACAATAATCGATAATTACTATCGATAGAAATGATAAATGATGGAGTGAGTGTGGTGTTCAATCCTTTTAAAAAGATAATTCCTACTCACAGTAAATCTTCTCACTTACTGTGAGTAGGAACTATCTTTTTAAAAGGGTTATTATCGATGTCTTGGAACAAAAACCTCTAATAGTCCATCGATAAATGCCGAATAAGCTAACCTTAATTGCTAACAATATATTCGATATATCGCCACAATAATCGATACTTACTAACGATCTTCACCAGCAAATAATCGATACTGGCTATCGACCTCTAATAGTCCATCGATAAATGCCCAATAAGCTAACCTTAATTGCTAACAATATATTCGATATATTGCCACAATAATCGATACTTATTAACGATCTTCACCAGCAAATAATCGATACTGGCTATCGACCTTTAATAGTCCATCGATAAATGCCGAGTAGGCCAACCTTATTCGCTAACAATATATTCCATACCTCGCTGCTATAATCGATATTTGCTATCGATCTCCTTGAGAAAAACTCGATACTAGCTATCGACTTTAAACAAACGTACGATTGAAGTCGCATTGAGTATATATAATCGATACTTCGATATTTTACATATGTACCCCACATAAATCAGCAGACTCCAGTCCATATTCTGTCTATATATGAAAGATAAAAATAAAACGCTATTATTATTATTAAACTATATTGACAAATGAAAATAAAACATTAAACTTTTTAATTTAATATGATTTGTACACAGTTCATTATTGTTTATGTAAAGAGGTCCGATTGGGTTTTAATTTTGGCTGAGTCTTTCATGAAATCGCACCTAGTCTGGGGTGTTAGGAGTTCGAAACTCTTGGAAAGGACGACCCTGTCCCAGTTCTCTGACGCGAATTGGCAGCAGAGCTCTTTCAAATTATTCAAATTCGATTCCTGGGCGAAGTTGTAGGTGGTCGCGACCCCTTCTACCGTGAGCAGGATCTTTCCCAACGAAACGGCCAGCTCTTCTCTTCCTTCCAATCCCGTCCTGTCCAGCTGGAGGCTGGCGTACTCTGTGCAAATCTCGGCCAGCTCGTCCCATCCGGACCCTTTAGCGGCCTCATTCGCCACAAGTACGTTCTCGTTGGAAAGCTGAGTCTTGAACAGGTGCCGGGCGATGTTTTTAAGCTCGTCTTCCTCATAAGAGAAAGCAATTCCGTACAATTCGACCAGTTCTATTACATCTAAAGGTGGGATCGACCCCGTATAGATATACTTCAGAAACGCTCTGTAAGAGTTGGGATTGTAGACTTGTATGTCGATCGTATCGATGTCGTCCGAGATCATCCTTTGGAAATGCTGGCAGAATGTTTTCATGATGAGCTTATGCACGTAGACCTCGCCGTCTCTAAGCAGTATGGTCAAATCGCTCATGTCTTTATTGTCGTAGAGTTTATTTCCAATGTCCCTTTTCGGCATGGGAGGCAAGATCTCGACCGTCTTATATCTCTGCCTGATGAACTGAGGCGTGCACTTACCTCCGAAGACGTTCTGCCAGTTCTTCCCTTTCACAGAGACGGGCCGTACGCTGAACATTTTATCCGAGCTTATTACGGTGAAATAATGGAACCCGTCCACGGTCTGGACGCAGAGGATCTGTTCTCGGTTGGTCACCGTGAAGTCTTTGACTTGCGATTTGAACTTGCACAGGTCACCGACGCATCCTAAAGATCCTAGATCGCCGTTGTCGTAGAGGACGAAAGTCGCTGTCGAACCGCACCCTATGGTCTCGACTCTGAGGTCTTCTGTCGTAAAAAGAACGGGAATATCGTAAAACCCTTTACCGAAACCGTGTCCCAACTGTCCTTCCGAATTGTCACCCCATATGTAAACCTCACCGTTGATGCCGAGAGCTGCTGCATGATTACAACCGGATGCGATCTGTAATACGGTCGTACCAACGGATGTTCTATATTCGGGGAAATTAAGCACAGTGGGTATGGCTATGACTTCTTTCTCGGTTTTCAAAGTTCCCCAGTGCATGACCATTCCATTGTTGAGCAACACGAGGCTGTAATTGTCCCCAGTTGCAATGGATTTGATTTGATTTTTAAACTTTAAAAACGGCCTGTTGATCGTGCCAGTGTGGAAGTTTCCGAGCTGGTGGAGGTCGTTCTTTCCCCAGACCCAGAGGTCGCCGGTGGAGGAAAGGCCGAGGGTATGGTCGAGACCGGAGCTGAAGCAGATGATCCTGTTCCGGCTCAGTTCCCGTATCTCGACTGGTGTGCTGGTATGCACAGTCTGACCTATACCGAGAAAGCCGAACATGTCCGGTTTGATGCTGAACAGCTTGAATGCATCTATGGCTCTTATGTTGCTCCCGATACCGTACACGACGTCGTCTTCTGTGACGAAAATCGCGCTGCTGCCCCGTTCTCCGAACACGTGGAGGAGGACGACCCGTTCCAAAAGTGATTTGGACACTTTCGAGAATACGTTCCATAGTGAAAAATCAACCGGGGAGTAGACGCAGGGCATTTCGACATAACTGTACGCACGAAAGGCGATCGATGGTCGTCTTGCGCAGACACGGACTGCTTTCTTTTTCAAAATCGCCCGCCAGAATTTCAACACATCCACCGAGAAGTACACTCCTTGAGTGTCCATTCCCACGATGTACGTTCATAGTGTGGTGGCCATGGTACGCGCTAGGTGCCACTACCGGCTCTGGAATCACAGCCGAGGCCGAGCCAGAACGTATATTAGCAGAGGGCAGGGGCACTGACACACTAACTTCATTGTTCAGACTCGTCTCCCCAACGAGATCTCACTAATTCGACTACGACAGCAAGGGTATTCTAAGCATTACCTCGAACTCGTCTTCACAACACAACCGACTTGACTCCTAACCAACTGCTGCACCTGAGTCCCTTCAACCGCTGCAGAGTCAACCGACTCAGCCAACGGTTCTCTCGGACGGACTACTACCAACGGCACACAAACTCGGTCCCGGCCTTATTCATCGTCCCAATCCTACAATACAACTCCCACGCCCTTCTCAGGGCTACCAAAAAAACTCCCTGGCACTAAAACAGTTTTTGGTACCGCATTCGAGGATGAGACACTCGACTCCATGTCAAAGTAAACAGCATTTTAGTGACTCGGAGTTTCTTGATGTCGTTTTCTAGGGTTGAGAAGATAGGGCCGGGACCAAGTGTGAGTGCCGTTGGTAGTGGTCCGTGACCGAGAGAACTGTTGGCTAAGTCAGTTGACACTGCAGCGGTTGAAGGGACTCTGATGCAGCAGGTAACCTGTTGCAGTAGGTAGCCAGGTGCAGCTGGTAGCAGGGCGCAGTAGGTAGCCAAGTGCAGCAGTTGGTCAGTAGCCAAGTCAGCTATGTCGAGAGTACCCTTGCTGTTGTTGTCGATGCTCCATTAGTGATTGTAAAGACCTCGTCAGGTAGACGAGTCTCAAGGTGTGAAGTGAGGAGGTCTGAAGTCAGTGGGACAGTGCCCTTGCTTATATACGAAATGGCTCTACTCTGATTAGCTGCAGAGTGAAGGGCAAGACCATTCTAGGCCGGTAGTGGCACATAGTGGGTTCCGTGGTAGCTGCAGGTGTCCACCACAAGCATCTTTCCCAATCAATAACCTGTTATAGTCTAATAACCATTCATCCTTTTACCATCCTTCTGGCTTACCATTGCCACATAAGGATACATCTTAACATGGATCCAAAACCTGGTGGAACAATACCACAGGCACGAGGAACATAAAGGGTGTTCCTCAAAGGAATTTCTGTAAGGCAACCGCACCAGGATTGTTTAATTCCTGACAAGGCATTCTTTCCCACTGGGGGGTCGCAATATGTTCTTTGACGAGTGCACCTGGCACATGGCCTTATCACATGTTTAGATTGCTGGTGCTAATCCCGTGAGGTTTGGTGCAGAAGTCATCAGGTCCATAGACTAATCATACAGATATGCCGACTTCTCATGCTTGCTTCTTCCTAAGAGGTGGGTTAACATTTTGCACCGTGTGCCGCATGGTAAAGGGATAACCGATAGAGCTGAAATGCATCAGCCTCCCACCTCAATCAGATTCAGACAGGGAGTCGAGTCAGATTCAGAGTGGAGAATCAAAGAGTAGAGTTAAGAGTCAGATTCAGAGTGGAGAATCGGATAGTAGAGTTAAGAGTCAGATTCAGAGTGGAGAATCAGATAGAGTTGAGTCAGATTCAGAGTGGAGAATCAGATTCAGAGAGTTAAGAGTCAGATAGCAAGACAGAGAGTTGAGTCAGATTCAAAGCAAAGAATTTATAGTCAGAATCTGAGAGGATCTGAACTGTGGTATTTTTAGCATGAGCGGGTTCAAATCATGTCATCATTTTTAGATCGTGGATCAAATGGTGAAAAATAGAAAATACATAACAAGAATTTATTGCCAAATTCAAACTCAACACGCACTACAATCAGTACTTAAGTTCTCAAACAAAATAATAATTTTTAAAGAGTATATAAACATATATAAATGTATACTGTATAAAAATTTAAAAAAAAAGAAAGATTAATAGCCCATTTTATTCCTTCCAGGGCGAACATCCTTATATAGGGAGGCATATATAGGCAGGTTGCGGTGCGTGGTTTTATTTTCCTCTTTCGCAACTTCTAGTGTCTGACGCGTTTGTACGCATTTCTGAATTCGCGCGTAGCCGGCTTTGTGTTTCTTGTGAGCTGTGGCCTGAACCTTCCTCTGTCTTCGGCACTCTTTGCCACCGGCTCGCAAACAGGGGGAGCAGGTGACAACTGTACATCCGGCTGTTGCTCGACACAGTCTGTCCCACACCACGGGCAATGCACGAGGTCCAAGAGAAATGTCACCTTAAAAAAAAATTAATTAATTAAATAAATAAATAAAAAGAATGTAATAGGAATCGTACTTTCGGATGGGACGGGCACTGTCTCCTCACTCTACCGTGCGATGAGAAAGAGCACTGCGTATTCGTACACACGATCTCAGCTGGGCCTCTCGTACATATGCACACGTGTACGGGCCAGGAGGCCTGTTTTAACTCCATTCTATATCGAAATACTGAAAAACAAATGCAAACACTTTAACTGATCCTTTATTGAACTACCGACAGATTTAAGGATTAGTGGGCGGATAAGGGATTGAGGATTTATTTCACAACTCGATCATATATTAAACAAGCAGGTTTTACACCTGATGATTTATGTCAATGATGTAATTATAATTAATGACATTTTATTTTCATAATGTAATATTCGGGATGTGTTGATTATTTAAAATATTGGGTTGTCCGGAAAATAATGCAGGATTTTGGTATTAAACAAAAAAAAAGAAACTAGTTACTTTAAAGCAATGTTCTTTAATCAAAATAATTTCCCNAAACAAACAATATCATTTGGAAGAGGATTAATAAGTGTTGACATTCATACAAATGAGTAATCCTGTAAACGTAAACAGAATATTTTATATAGATTTTTTTAATGAAAACTTAAAATCCTGCATTATTTTCCGGACAACCCGATATCAGTGAATTGCTAAAGGTGTTTTACGCCATTCTTCCTGTTGTTGTAAGGTGGTAAATTTGTTTAATTGTTGTCAATATTCTGGAAATCTAAATGCCTTCGTGATTCAGCAGCATTGTTCATTTCAGACATTTCATAAAAGTCGATTTATAGACCGGATAGGGGAAAAAAAGGCAAAAATTGAGTATAAATTAATCCATATTTGTATAGAGGTCATAAATGACGACCATATTAATTTTTCTTTTTATGTAAGGTCTTGGTGATGAAAAATTTAGTGTCACGAGTGAGATTCGAACCCACAACCGTCAGCTCAATACACCGCTGCTCTAAGGGCCCCAAATAGCTCAAGTGGTTAGAGGAAAGTGGGTCGTGAATTGGAATCCCGCTCGTGACAGTAATTTTTCATTTCGACCAAAAGCCTTAGGTGAAAAGAATAATTAATCGTGTATAAAATTAGCATATCTCTTTTGGAATATTCTAATATTTTGTCCAAAACTGTCTATTGTGTCTGTCTTAGCTGCATGGTTCAAGGATGACCATAATCCTCAATTTTATTGTTTCTAGTGAACTTCTAAACTCGTAACAGTAGATTATTTCTTGCAACATTGAACAACATTTAACTAAATTTATTTACTTATATCAAAACTACCTTACTCTAATTATTAAATATTACATCCATTTGTAAACATTTATGTTGTTTAAACTCACAGAAATAATTTTTAAAATATCTTAATCGGTAGGTGATATTTGACAAAGAAAATTTCCCATAAAATTGTGGTCATTTCTTTCCTTCTCAGTTTGTCCTATGCGTTGCACCATTTTCGAAGAATGTCAAGTTCAAGGCAAAGAGGTTAAATTTGACAATTTATAGCTAAATAGAACAATTAATTAAGGTTTTTAGTCGAGATAAAAAAGTCAATGGCACGAGCGGGATTCGAACCCACGATCTTCGGCTTGAAACGCCGCTGCTCTACCACTTGAGCTATCGTGACCTCGATCCACTCGGACACCAACTCCACATCTCAACCTATAACCTATCCAATTTTCCCACTTTTTGCCATTTTTCAAAAAAGGAAGGAAAATTCAAAAGGTGCGGTTGAGATGGGAAGTTGGTGTCCGAGTGGATCGAGGTCACGATAGCTCAAGTGGTAGAGCAGCGGCGTATCAAGCTGAAGATCGTGGGTTCGAATCCCGCTTGTGCCATTGACTTTTTTATCTCAACTACAAACCTTAATTAATTGTAATATATTAATTGGTCAAGCGGACCACAAAATTAGTGAAGCTAAATAGAATGGACAAACTGCCGGAAGGAAATTCTTTGGAAGAAACTGCATTAGGTGTAACAAAGCAGGAAGAAGATATGATCTAAAGCAGATTCTCATACTTTATTGTTTTTCATTTTTTCACTTCATTTCTGCATCATTTGGAATCTATATCACTAACAGGACTTATTTCTAACACAATTTTGCTACATTTTTCCATCATACGACATTGGAAGAATGTAAAAATGTGTTGCCGTATAATTTTTGTTCAAAATCTAATCGTTTGTGATAAATATGTTTGTTTTACTTATTGTATATATTTTACAGTTTAATTTTAGAAATACAAGCTTACATTTTTATAATGAAATGCTTCAACTAAAAAATGAGGTTAAATAGGAATAATCTTTAATAAGAAGTTGACTTGCAACACACTATAGCAAACATAAAATATCGCTGATGACCGCAAGAATCCTAGGCAAATCTTGGGGATTAAAAACCGTAAATGGCACATTGGCTACACGGCAGTAATAAGACCCAAAAATAACCTATGGATCGTTAATCTGGTGGATCAAAGCTCAACAAAAAGTCAACGAACATTCGGCAGACTAGCAAACCTATCATAGGGCAATGAGAACATCCCCTACAACTGCATTAGAAACTCTGCTAAACCTACTATTTATACAAGGAGAGGCTAGGAAAAGCTCATTTAGGCTCCAAAAACAATCAAATTGGATAGTAACTAGCTTCGGGCACACAACCATGATTAATAAAATCAGCCACCCATTCTTAGAAATGGGGACTGACTGTATGATCCCGGAAACATTCTTTACATCCTATAAAGTTTCACTGGACTATAAAGGAGAGGAAGAACGCAGCAGAGCATCAGATGCAATAATATGGAATACAGATGGCTCCAAAACGAAAGAACCAGGTCGGGTATTTTTTGTACAAGCAAACATGAACAATCAAACAGGGAAGTACACTTCGATCTTTCAAGCAGAAATACATGCCATCAACGCTTGTGCTCTGGAAAAACTTAATAGATACACTGGCAAAAAAATCCTTGTAAGGTTAGCTGAGCTTATTGAGCTGAGGTTATTCTGATTCAAATATGATTTTGTTCTTCTTACTTTGGCGGTTCAGTAACCAGATAGGTATAGTGCGTTCAGATACCATATCAAAGACGCAATGTAAAACTTCAATATTTCCTCTATTATAAAGGCGAACTTATCTAAGTTTAAAGTTGTATCACCTGCCCCTCTTTCCGTCCTCGGTTGGGTAGGACGTCTACGTCGGGCTCTTTACGCAGATTTACGGCGCAGGTGATCCGCTCCACCTGCCCAATGGTTCGTCGGTCCACCCGGATACCTGGATTGGTCTTCCTCAGTCGGTAGTCGTTTATTCCCATTTTCCGCCATACCCGGGCCCCTTTTTATGACCTGTTCCCAGGCCGAGAGACCCAGGGTGGTCCTTACGTCCCAGGGTGCGAGGGCGTTCCTCTGCCTTCCTCTACCTGGCCCTCGGTCACGCCCTTTTACTGACTTTATTTATTTATTGGGGCCCTTTTTACGAGGGTAGTCAGTCACAAGTCAGCGGGTGTTATCACACTCGGCCAAAATCCAACTTTTGAAGGGAAATGTTACTAAATAATTTAAATTCACGCCAAAAGTAGACTAAAAATTTTACATTTTACTTATAATTATATATTTTACGTTAAAAAAATATATCCTATATACAGGGTGTAATTCGGAAACGGTTCAATTTAGCAAAAAATGGTCTTATACAAGCCCAAATTTAATTTTGGCTAGGAATCGCTTGGTCCTAATGGATTCAACGTAACTTTCTCATCTAGCTGGGAAATGATGCTAACTTTTTTGATTTTAAATGAGAATCCTACATTTTTTATTGTAAATTCACTAATTTCGTGGTCTGCTTGACCAATTAATACATTACAATTAATTAAGGTTTTTAGTTGAGATGAAAAAAATCTTGCTAAATGATCAAAATTTGATCAATTAAATACCAATAAACTAAGATACATAAAGAAGTGGTACAATGCGGCCAATGCAAACATTTACATTATAAGCAACAAAAATCTTTTGTATTAAAATATCCAGTACATGGTTTATTTTGGACAGCCAAGACTCAGTCTGATCAATTGGTTGGGTACACATAATGACGACATACTATGCGAATTGCGCCTTACACAGAATTATCAAATTGATGCCGAAAAGTTTACATTTGGTTAATTTTGGATAGCCAAGACTGCCCCTGTCCAAAGATTCGATCATCTTCAATCCTACTAACATAAGTCATACTTTGTAGACCAATCACTTATCGACATTGTGACCTATTCCAAGCAATTTGATAGGAAGACACTTTCTTATCGTTGAATCTCGAAGAGCCAAGGGTGATAGTGTCAAAGATTCGACCAATTGGTTATGGTCCAATCACTCATCCTATATGACAAATGTCATTCAATTTTCTCTCTAGTTCTGCACAATTAAAATTAAGTCGTTTCGTAAAAAATATAGGAGGTTAACGTCGGAGAGCCATTATTTTGGCCAGATTCTAAAAAATTGTTTGAAGTCAATTCACCTAAATAAGTCAAACTATGTAACTAATGGCATTACGTTTCTTTTTATTGCAAGTTATAAAAAGGCTGATTTTGCAAAGATGTTTTACTGTGTGTCCATTCAGGGTGAGAATGTCCAAATATGATGGAATACTGATGATTTTTCATTTTCTGTTAAACCTCAACAATCCAAAGCCCTTAGTTGATATAAGACAGCCAAGAAATAGTGTAGATCGAAATTAGACCAATTCGATATTTTTGGAGAAAAGCCAAAGTTTTGTTTAGACGTGAAACACAGTAGAGGTACGCTTTGCCCAGGCCCCATAATAAAGGGCTTTTTGGCTGATCGGGCTGATTTTGAACAGCCAAGGTTGGGTAACCAAAATCATATCAACTAGTCAATTCACATAAATATCATACATCTCTCGTGCCATTAACTTTTTTTCATCTCAACTAAAAACCTTAATTAATTTTATTGTAAAATTCGATTCAAGAGCTAATTTCATGCCGATTTTATTTAAAGGAAAATTTTGATAGGATCGACCGTTTATGAGTTAAACCCGATGGAAGAGTCATGAATGCGGTATGCTTGGGGACTAAAACCGAAAATGGCCTATTGGCTATGCACGGCAGTACTAAGACCCAGAATAACCTATGGATCACTAATATGGTGGAACAAAGCTCAACAAAAAGTAGCTACCCAAACATTAGGCAGCATACAAAGACTAGAAAACCTATGTATGGGGCAATGAGAACAACCCCTACAAATGCATTAGAAACTTTGCTAAACCTACCTCCACTGGAAATGTTCATACTAGGAGAGGCTAGGAAAAGCTCACTTAGGCTCTAGAAACAATTAAATGGAAAGGAACTAAACAATTCGGGAATACAACCATAATCAACAAAATCAGACACCCCTTAATATAAATGGGGACTGATTATATGATCCCGGAAACAATCTTCACAACTTCCTATAAAGTCTCAACGGACTATAAATGAGAGGAAGAACACAGAAGAGCATTAGATACAATGATATGTACACAGATGGCTCCAAAACAAACGAAGGAACCGGATCAGGCGTTTTCTGTACAAGCCCAAAACATGAGCAATCAAACTTAGGGAAGTACACTTCGGTCTTTCAAGCAAAAATACATGGCAGTAATGCTTGTGCACTGGAAAATCTAAAAAGAGGTTACACTGGCAAAAACATCTTCATGTGATAGCCAAGCAGCCATTAAAGCATTAGCATGTAAAAGAATCACATCAAAATTAGTCAGTGAATGCATCCAAAATCTCCAAAACCTGGGGAACAACCTGATGATATCTGGTGTGAACCAGGGCACAAGGGAATTTTGGGTAACGAGAAAGCAGACAGACTGGGCAGAGGAGGATCTGCAAGACCATTCATAGGCCCTGAACCTATTCTTGGGATAACAAGAACAAATATAGAATCCTCCATCGCAGAATGGATCCAAGCAAAACAAAAGGATAAGTGGATAAACTCTAGCGGTGCTAGAAATAGTAAACGTATGATGAAACAACCCACACTGAGGCTGGCAAAAGGCTGCAATTGGAGAGGGCCAAACTTAGAGGAGTGGTAGGGCTACTAACCGGTCACTAGCATCTGAGAAAACATCTACACAACATGGGTATATACAGCGATGATCCCATTTGCAGATTATATAATGAGGAGGAGGAAACAACCACTCATATCATCTGTGAAACACAATAACCTGATGATGTCTTGGGTGCCAGGGCACAAAAGAATTTTGGGTAATGAAAAAGCAGTCACACTGGCCAGAGGAAGATCTGCAAGACATAGGCCTTGAACCTGTACTTGGAATAACAAAAACTAATATAGAATCCGCCATCACACAATGGATCGCGCTAGACCAGTAAACTTATGATGAAACAACCCTCACCAAGACTGGCAAACTCACTGCTGCAATTGGAGAGGGCTAGACTCATGAGTTGTAGGACTACTAACTGGTCACTGGCATCTGAGAAAACATCTACACAACATGGACATATACAACGATGATCCCATCTCCAGATTATGTAATGAAGAGGAGGAAACAGCCACCCATATTATCTTCGAATGCGAAGCAACGCTCAATGGAGATTTAACCTAACGTACAGAAAACACCTAAGGAATGAAATTGTAGCAGCAACAGTCAATGATCTGATACATCTAAGAAGGAATGAGTAGGGAATTAGGAAAGTACAATAAGCCAGAAAACTGCCAAATCCCGCATAATAGTACCCTCATTACGATATCAAACTGTTTAATTTTAACTGCTTAAAATGAGGCTACACATACAAAATCCTTGCAACATTTTTAGGTGATTTGAGAATCGGAAAGTTGTAAGGGCAATGCTGAAATAGAACCAATGACAGCAGTGTTTGTTAAAAATTTAATTAATTTCTTTCAAATGTATTTTTTTTACATTGTGTCTTGGTGATGATAAATTTAGTGTCACTAGCGGGATTCAAACCCACGACGTTCGGCTTGAAACGCCGTTGCTTTAACCGTTTGAGCTATCGTAACTTCAATCCACTCGGACACCAACTCCGCATCTCAACCTATAACCTAACCAATTTTCCCACTTTTTGCCATTTTTCAAATGTGTAATCAGGATTCGATTCTCAGCGACTTAAGTAGCCACAGAAAGTTGTTAGTGAAGTTGAGATGAAAAAGAAAGTATCATGAGTGGGATTCAAACCCACGACCTTCGGCTCGAAACGCCGTTGCTTTAATCGTTTGAGCTACCGTAACTTCGATCCACTCGGACACCAACCCCGCATCTCAACCTACCTTTTGAATTTTCCATCTTTTTACCATTTTTCTTCTCAACCAAGACCTTACATAAAAAGAATAAATTAATTGAAATGAGTAATTTATGACAATTAGACCACTAAACAAAAATGGATTTTATATAATGTTGAATCGGTTTTTGATATGTGGTCTTTTTCCAATCTCACTTGTACATGCGTTTTGTTATTGTTTTGTCTAGACCAGTAGTTTTTTTGTTGTTTTGTCTAGTTTAAGGGTTCTGGTAACAAAAAAAAAAAGTTTTAATCATCCTTCCTTACCAATCTGTTTTCAGAGATTTTCTTATAGATTTTGACGCAAAATCAAAACTTTTAAGAAGAAACGTCCTGTTTTTAATAAATATTTTGTTCGACTAACCTTAAGAAAATGGCGCGTGGCCAAGAGATTTTCTTCTTCTTCAACGTCGAAATCCTCCCTACAAAAGGAAAAGTCAGCTTCCTTTCCGTTTCAATATAATACGTTGAAACAAAGAAAGAAAGAAAGAAAAAGGCCTTTAAGGCGGTCGAGTGGGGTAACGAGTATAGAGAAAGACTAACCCTCGTCAGGTAGGATCGAAGAGGCTTTTCAGACAAAACAGGCCACTAATCGAAATTCCAGGGCTTATTTTCTATTAATTTTCCTTTTAAAAACCTTTCAATAAATGTGTAATTTCATAAGAATTTTCCTCCGAGAATATTCTCCTTTTATTGCTTATACATTTCTCGCCTCTGTAATGAAGTTGGACAAAAAAACAAATTTTTTTTTCTATTGTATAAATAAAACTTGAAACCTTTTAATTTAGAAATTTTATAATTTAAAGGTACATTTTTTAAAAATATTTATTTATAATAAATAAATTTGAGTTAAGTAGATAATATCGTGTTTCTGTGAAGGGCGGGAAAAACGCCATTTTGAAACCTAAGCCTGTCGAAAATTTGGCAAATTTTGGCGAGTCCTTTTCAAAATGGCTTTAAATTTAAATGAAAGAAGATCCAATGAGGAAGACAGAGGAATTTAGAGCAATAATCAGAGCAGAGTGTCAACTCGTTATCGATGCACAGTGGATGGGCAAGACGATTTATTTCCTAATTCGGTCTTGTCCACCACCTTTCTAACCAGGTTCGAACAGTCATCCCAGTGAAAAAGTTAAAGACGATTCAAGGATAATTTTTTAATAAAAGGTATCAGGCCTGAGCCCCCTCTAGAACAAAGTTGACATCGACTCTGAAACAGTTCCACTGGTATTTTTTTATATATCAATTTTTATACATGATTATTCGAGTATATTGGCATAATTGTCGACCTTTTTGAACTCACAGATTTTTCTTTGGATTTCTTCTGCTCGTTACCTTGGTTCAACGACTCGAATTCGCTCGGCGCATACTCTTGTCAGGACGAAGAGATAAAAAAAAAGGAAAATCTTTCCAGAAGGAAAAAACAATTCAGTATAACTTCTTTTAAAAATACCATATGTTATATTTTTAGTACACATTTTTAAAACATTCCCTTTAGGCTTTATCAAAAAATTTTTTTTGTTTTTAAATTAATAGTAATAGTTCAATGGAGGATATTAGGGTAGAGGATGTTGAAGAAAGGAAAAAACGCTTCCTGGCGTTTCAAGCGAAATGGATTGCACTGTATGGCCTTGCTTCTGTACGTTTTTTTTTTTTTTTTTTTTAATAAAAAATACTGGTAATTAAAAAAATACAATAAAAAATATTTCACTGAATTTTCTAGCAATTCGGCTTGAAGGAGAGCGCCGGAGGGTTTAAGAATAACGCTTTCAGGTTTAGTTGTGGGTATTAAGAGAAAGGAAAGAAAGAAAAATAAGTTTTTAATTTTTTTCCTCTCCTATAAACTCGCCAGATCGTTTCCTCCAGTTCATGTTCATCTTCCTCGTCCTTCTCCTGTACTTCTTGGGCGCCGAGAGGCTGTGCTTGTGCGACGGCAAGGTGTTCCGGCTCACCGTCAAACTCCTCCTCGTCGCCGTCACTCTCAACCTACTGGCGAGTTTCATAATCGTGATGAGAATGAAGAAAAAAGCTTGAACACGATGAAAAATTTGGTATTCCCATTAAAAAAATCTCTTTAAAGATTTTTTTTTTTTAGTTTAATATTTTGTTTTAATATGAGCCAGGAGTCATTAGTGTTGCTCCAGGGATAATAATGCTTTATTAATTCTTAACAATAAGCTTTTTATAATTACAAAAAAAATCCAATCTGGGTTTTATAATGGTAAAATTAAATCAACGGGAAATTAGTTTTTATCGGCGTGTATAATCTGATCAGAACAAAAGATGCCATCATCGATGACCCGATTTCATCGAGCCATGACTCAGGGATAATCGCGATGAGTCAGATTCTCTCCCACTTTGACCTACTGGGGCCTGTTTATTAAGCGAGCGTCGGAGGGTGGAGGCGTATTCGATTGTTGACTCGTAGACGTGATGCCGGACCCTTGCTGTGGAACAGGATCAGGTAGTTATAAAACAATTGTCTCGCCGGATTGGGATCGTTTGATCGGCCTTAATTGAAGCCAATTGGCTCGGGTATCCTGTATTTGTCTGGAAAAAATTTCAGGAAATGAATGAGTGAATGAATTAATTGAATTAATGAGAGAGAGAGAGAGAGAGAGAGAGAGAGAGAGAGAGAAAATGAGTAAGAGGGCCTGTTAGAGAAAGACTGTGAGAAAAAATAAATAAATACACAATAAACAAACAAAATGATTACAAAACACACATCTTTAGCTTTAATCAATTTTACTAAATTTAATGTGTAGGATGAACCATAAAATATACCTGACCTAACTTGTGTTACAAACAACGCAACATTTCAACATTGTGAATAAACATAAAATCTCAAAGTAGATGCATAAAAGATATTTATTTTTTTAAAGTGAATAGTTGTATAATTATATAATAACCATTTAACAAGTGAATTAGTGAATCAAGGAGTATTTGGTGGAGAGAAAAAAAAATTAAATGAACAAAAACCAAAATAACACATAATAAACTAAGATTTTTTTAAAATTATAACATCAAAAATATACGTAGGCATAAAACTTTGCAGATTGATAGTAATAGTAAATCAACGTGGAAATTCGACTGTATATTCAACCATACCGCCCGTGTAATGTCATTCTGGAAAAAAAAATATTAAAAAAAATTAAATCAACTCGTATTATTATTGCAGGAAGTTGCCAAGGGGCAAACTGCCAGTGTGTGAATTGCAACTGCGGTTCTAATTGTTCATGCAGCTGCGGCAAGAAGAACTGACCCCGTGGAAAGATCGGCGAAACTGGCGGAGATAAATACATGATATTTGATTGATTTTTTTTTCGCTTTTTTTATGTTTATTTCCTCATCCTCATCACAATTGAAAATAAGCCCCGGGATGTACTATGCGTCTAGAAGGAAGTGGTGAAAGAAAAAAGATGGAAAAAAATTCAGGTACAGTTATTTATTTTTTTTATAAGCTTTTTTCTCTTCTTTCTGTTCAATTACACTCACATTTTACATGAAATAATCCTATGATCAAACTACAAAAATGAATTTTTTTTTTTAATCACTCTCCTTTGAAGAAAAAAAAAACCCTTAAATTATATTTAAAAAAAACAACACAAACAGACAAGAGACAAGCTTGACAAACAAAAAGGTTCTTTAGAAACAAAAAGTACCGTATATACATACATAAAAAAACTGACTAGGAAGCTCACACAAAAATACTCAAAATATATCATTATGATTTATATATATATTTTTTTTAAATATGTATATATTCTATATTTAAAAATATATATATTACTATTATTTTTTCTTCTTTTAATTGAGACAAAACGGATTTAAAAAATATTATTTCCTAAAGAAAAAGCCTTCTGGGAATGTGTCGGTTTTTTTTTTGTCTCAAAATACTTTTTATTAATATGCTTTTTTTTTAACCAAATGTAAAATAATAATAATAATAATACAAAGCAAAAATTTATGACTTACTTTAAAAGATTTCTATCATTTCATTAACCCTAAAATAGTTTAACAGAGACATTATGTATATTTGTCTTCTTCTTTTTAAATACTTCTTATGAAAATTATTTAAATTTTCTTAATTTATCAAATTTACAGTCTAAATATTACAAAATAATCGACAAATGTATATATTTACTATATATAAAAAAAAAAGTTCTACTAAAAATGATAAAATTCCCTGGGTGGGGACAAATTTCTCATCCTTTTTGACTAGAAATTAAAACGCACCTCTACTTTGTACATATGTTAAAAAAATAATAATTCTTATTTTATTTTTTAATTTAGGAATTTTGCCTTTTGTTGACTTTTGGCGAACCAATTGACTTTTTTCACTTTGGCACTAGTGTTTTATTTCTATTATCTGGGATTTACTAAAATAAAACAAGCAATAGAGGGTTATTGTCGTACGTGCCGGTGGATAGAATCTTACGGAACATTTGGATTTAGGCTTTGAAAGTCTTCTTTTAAGAGTCAGACATTCATCCTAACCCAATCAGATCTGACTCTGAAACAAATTGACTCATTTAACAGTCAGACTTCTCACCCAATCAAATATGACTCTGAAACAAATTGACTCATTTAACAGTCAGACTTCTCACCCAATCAGATCTGACTCTGAAACAAATTGTCTTGTTTAGCAGTTGGGATATCGAATCTCACCCAATCAACTCTGACTCTGAAACAAATTGACTCGTTTAACAGTCAGATATCAATCTTTCACTAATCAGATCTGACTGAAACAAATTGACTCATTTAACAGTCAAACGTTCATCCTCACTCAATCAAATCAGACTCTGAAACAAATTGACCCATTTGAAAGTCAGACATCTATTCTTACTCATTACAATCTGACTGTGAAACAAATTGACTCATTTAACAGTTAGACATCCATCCTCACCAAATCAGATCTGACTCTGAAACAATTGACTCGTTTAACAGACAAACATCCATCCTTAACCAATCAGACCTGACTCTGAAACAAATTGACTCATTTAACAGTCAGACATTCATCCTCACCTAATCAAATATGACTCTGAAACAAATTGACTCATCTGAAAGTCAGACATCTATTCTTACTCATTACAATCTGACTCTGAAACAAATTGACTCAATTAACAGTTGGACCTCCATCCTCTCCAAATCAGATCTGACTCTGAAACAATTGACTCGTTTAACAGACAAACATCCATCCTTAACCAATCAGACCTGACTCTGAAACAAATTGACTGATATCATCCATTGTCGCACACTTGACTCTCTGAAACAAATTAAGACATCAGGCTTCTATTATTACTCATTTGGATCTGATTTATGGAACCAATTGATCATTTGAAAGTCAGCCATCTATTCTCACTCATTATAATCTGACTCTGAAACAAATTGACTCATCTGACAAAACTGAAACAACAAACTATGAGTAAGAACTAACTTTTTAAAAAAATTAAACAACTCATTCACTCCACCATTTATCATTTTTATTAGACAGCCATTCTCACGCACTCAAATCTGATTCTGAAACAAACCGACTAATCCAGTATTCAGTTTTCCATCCTCACATAATTGGATATGTCTCGGAAACAAATTGACTAATCCAGTATCTGAATCCATCCTGACATAATTGGATATGACTCTGAAACAAATTGACTAATCCAGTATCTGAGATCCATCCTCAAATATTTGTATATAACTCTCCAAAACAAATTGACTAATCCAGTAGTCGGATATCCATCCTCACATATTTGGATATAACTCTCCAAAACAAATTGACTAATCCAATAGTCTGAGATCCATCCTCACATATTTGGATTTTACTCACTGAAAAAAATTGACTCATCCAACAGCTACATATCTATTCTCGCTCATTTAAATTTGACTCACTGAAACCAACTGATGCATCCACAAGTAAGGCATCTTTTAATTCACTTAGATCTGACTCTCTCAAACAAAATAGCCCATCCATATTGGGCATCCAGGCACATAATTTCAACAACCTTACCAAGATTCATCCGATTTATCAGGACCTCCGGACACCATAAAAATACTCGACTCACTGAAATCTTTTGTGTTTGACAAATTATCTTAGTTTGACCTTTAAATATTGATAATTATAAAACTGGGCAGATTTTGTCCACTAATGGTTCTCTTCAAAATAGCCTGTATGTTATAACGGGATTTTTTATGATTTTTTTAAATTGATTACTTTTCTCTTATTGTTCAGTTTGGAAAAAAAATTAAATACTATTTAAACAAAAATCATTATAAACTATTTTTGTTTAGTTTTTAACAATAAAAATGAGTTAAATATATTAGAAATATTCAACAAGACTCATTTTCACTGGTTTTCCTTGGGAGACGCATCACCGTTTTGCTTTGGCGAATCTCGTATTATATTCAGCACGATGTCGTCCATGTTGACGGATGCCTTCGGCGGGACAGGCGGCGGCTGGTTTTCCCTGCTGGGCGAGCTATTTGGGATCTGCCAGTCCTCGTAGCTTACGCTCAAGTTGTTCAGGACCTGCGATGCGTCTGAGTAGCCAGAATCCCTCGTGTTATCATCGTTCCACTCGTTTTCCTTTCGATTGTGTATGAGTCGTTTAGGTGGAGCAGGAGGAACCTCAGCCGAGCTGTTCCTCTTGTCTGGTGCTGGGGGATAAAAATAATACATAAAAATAAAAACAAAAACAAAAAAAGGAGATGGCATTTTGTTTTGACTGTATAAAAATAAAAGAACTGAATATTTACTAAATCCTCTCGGTGGCAACGGTGGTGCCTCGTCATTGCTACTTTGTACTGCTATCGTGCGTGAATGAGACCTCTGATGCCTCCTTGGGCCGTCTCTTAAAAAAAAAATAAAAAAAATAAAATAATAGTAATAATAATAAAAAATAACCATTATATTATAATTGAAATTAGTTAGCCACTTACAATTCGTTGACTGAATACGACTTCGGCCTAGGTACGAACGGTGGTTCATTGGTGTCGATCATCTCGTTCACCTCCTAAAATAAAATATAAAACTTTTTCTATTTTTTAATTTTATTTTTATTTTTTTAAATTATTATTGTATATGATAAAATTTACAGTTGGTTGCGAATATGCATCTTCAGCCATGTGTGAGTAAACGGTGCAGTTTGAATATTCTTCGTGATGTTTCGACTCTTTAGGACTGTGAAATAAAAATAAAAAATAAAATAAAATGAAATAGTTAATGAGAATTTTTCTTTTTAAATATTTCAACTACCAGATTGAACTGATGTCGATTGGCTGGTTCAGATTCTCGGCGAGTTGCACCAGACGCTCCTGGAGCCTCTGGTGAAGTGGTTGCATGTCTGACGGCGCCAGCTGACCGTGTATGACGAGTCCGCTTTGCAGTATCTCGAGCTGTTCATGAAGCAGGTTGTCCAGCTTACAGACGTACTGCGACCACTCAGGGTTGGCGCGGATGAAATCAGGGCTGAAAAATGCCTCCTGGTATTTGGCTACACCGCCCATTACATTGGCGTCGATTACACCCTTAAATTAAAAATTAAAAAAAAATTAAAATTAAATCTATTGTAAAATTTTAAATTGGTTATACTTGAAGACGCATGCTTAGAGGGTTTGTGTGGCGCATCGGCTCTGTGGTATATTGTGCGATGAGGCCTGCAAGGTCCCTGTTTACAGAATGGACCGTCTCGACGGCGTAACGTATCGGCGGCACTTGCTCCGTCGAAGTTTCAACAACTTCGAACCATCGCAGGACACCAGGCAGCGAATGTGCCGTTTTCAACACAGTCCTTTCTACCCAGAGCGTCTGAAACAAAATTTTTTTACTTAAAAAAATAAATAAATAAGAAGAAGAAGAAAACCTTGAATTCATTCTCTTTGTCGATCTGTGGTTTGTGTATCGGCCTGTCGAGCTGAAATTTACAGACGTCATTGACCTGGTAGAACTTTGTGATCTTCTCCGGCACTTCGCACAGTGCCTCTCGTCGATACGGGAGGCGTCCATCGCTCAATGGCTTCACATTGCATATTTGAATGTCTGAAAAATTGCAATTTAGGCAAATGTATTCATTAAAAAAAAAAAAAATTGAACTTACACTGCGTATCCGATTGCAAGATCGCATGGGGTGGAGGCGTATTCTTTGAATAAATCTGTGCAGCGGGGAATTCCGTTTGAATACGCTGGGTAAAAGCTTCCATCCTTTCATATTCCAATCCTCGGTAGATAAAAACCTTATTCTTAAAAATAAAATAAAATGATAATAAATCCCTTGAATAATTTGTATTTTATTTACGCCAAACTCACTCTGACGAACATAGGGAAAGAAGTGCCGTAAAATCCGACCCTGAAGTACTCCGGCTCCTGGCGTGGCTGGTGGAGTATGTTGTCAAAGAATTTTGCCTGTGTACGCAGGACCTTACCGAGGGCGTCATAGTCGAAAAGACGCTCTTCATAAATATAAGCGAGCTCTTTAAGCAAAGGTATACCTTTTTCCCAAATCTGAAAAATTTTGTTTGAATTGTTCTAATGAGTATGTGTCAAACCTTTCAGGCAGAGACTTTTCTTTTGAAAAGCTTTAAACTTTATAAAAGGGTACAGATAATAAGAGTGCACAATAGAGTAAAATCATAAAGAGACGACTCTTTATAACATTTAATATGTTGAAACAAAGGGCTTTTGCAAGCATGAAAGCTTTCAGACCTACAAATATTAGGATATTTTTAAAAATTAGACTCTAAAAGTCCTACAGCATGAAAAATTACTCATTTCTGTACCAAAAGTGTTTCTTTTTCTTTGGGTAAAGCTATAAAAAATAGATTAGGTTAGTTCTAGAGGAGGTTATAATAGAGGTTACATTTCTAGTGTAAAATGGGTGTTTTTGCTTACTGGCTTTATCCCTAATTTTCAATTTAAAAAAAATATATATTTAAAAAAAGGTAAAATTCAAATTTTCTTCATTTATTTTCTATTTTTTAGAAGTTCCCTAAGCCCAGTTATTAATACTTGTGACGAAGTAAAAAAGTGGTTTTAAATTGATTCAGGATACTCGATAGTAAGTTTGAATTTACCCGTCTCTTAACCCTGAGGAAGAACTTTTGCAAAAACTGGCTTTGAAATAAAAGCTTGAAATCTTAATTGTTTTTTTTTTTTTTTTAAATAATTAAGCTTCTATCTTGTTAGTCATAGTTTTTATGAGGACTATGAAGGAGGTTATAATACAGGTTATATTTCTGATATTGCACGGGCATTTGATCTCGTCCCTTTAGATTCAATTACACTTCAAACTATAGGTTTTTAACAATATTAACAGAAATGTTCTTATTTCAAGACCATCTTTACTTGAAAGATTGTATTTTTCTTGGGATGTACCTAATTTTTTTGGTGATGTGTAGATTATAGTGGAGGTTATGAAAGAGTTCACTAATTTCGTGGTCCGCTGACCAATTAATTGTTATGATAGAGGTTTATTTAAAATAATTAAGCTTCTTAAGTCATTATTCATAGTTTTTATGAGGACTATAAAGGAGGTTATAATATAGGTTACATTTCTGATATTGCATGGGCGTTTGATACATCCATTTAGATTCAATTTCACTTCAAACTGTAAGTTTTAAATTATTAAAAGATTTCTGATTTAGATTGGATGTTAGATTTCATCTACTGTAATTTAATACATAAGTTTGAATTAATACGTTCCTTCTTGTTAGCTCGTGGGACTGTTCATGCTAAAGAAAAATTTCTGACCTTTGCCATGCCGAAGTAGGAGAGGATGAGGTGGTAAAGCTCGAGTTTCTTCATGTGGTTGTTCTCCCACGACAAACAGTCGGCATACAACAGTAGCGTGAACCCGGCTTCGGCGTAGCTCTGCGCCGATATATGAAGAGATTCGAGCTTGTATATGTACCGTACGTACATTTCCGTCCTGTTGATTTCATTCTTGTAGAAGTTCTTGAGGAAAGGAAAAAAAGACCATCAAGGTTGGCGTATTTAATTAAAATTGTCAGTGAGATTTACCAGAAGGTTGTAAGTGCACGACATACGTTTGTCGCGGTTCTCGTCGCCGTGTATGACGCTCCTATAGTCGAGGAGCCTTTCGAGAAGCCGAGTCACGGATGTGACGAACACCCAGCCTGTCTCCTTCCACGCCGGCTCCTCATTCTGAACTCTCTCGAGCAATCTATAGAAAAATAAAATATAATTCATTAAATCAATTAAATTTTTCAATTAAAGCATAGAAACATGATTGCTTATTAATAGAAAATAGTTTATAAAATGTTATATATATTTTTTTCTATACTTACACAGTGCTTAAATGTTCCCTGATTTTCAAAAAGAAACAAAAGAACAAGGTTTGTTGAATTTATTATTTATAATTAAATTATAATATATATATTTTTTTAAATTATAAAGTTTATATTTACATTGTGTTGAATAACTGTCTGTACTCATCATCACCCTTGTTTTCACTGATCAGTATGTCCAGTTTCTCGATCAGTTCTGATTCGACCTGTCACAGTTGAAGAAAATTTATTATAATATTCTATTAAGAGATTTTGATCTTTAGGATGTTTTTACCTTTTTGAAATTGCCTTGCACTTTGTACTCGCACTGTATCATGTCGAAGAAAATTCCGAGCGTAGCCTTACGCAGTTCCGGCTCAGGGACGAGAGTTATCTCAAGAAACGGCCCTACCATAGACGGTATGAAGTTGATTTTATGCTCTCCTAGGGGGGAAAAAAATGTTAAAAAATGAAACTGCAAAGAAAATTATATATCTTACCTAAATTCGACCAGACGTCTATTATCTGGAAGCCCATTTTGACCCGCATATCACCATACTTGCTCAGTATGTTTTCTCGTTTGACTTCGGAAAACTTTTCTACCTGGAGCGACGGCTGGGTGAGAAACGCGACCGCCAGGTTGAAATAGTTGCTCCAGACCTGGACGTCGAACGAGCCGAGCGATTTAAACATAACAGTCGATATGTTGCCCATCGTGTTGAGAAGGACCGAATTGGTTGCGAGCCGTACGACTGACCAGTCTTCGGGGAAGACGTCCTGCTTGAGTAGGTCGCGCAGGACGAGGAGCAAATGGAGAAGGAGCTCTTTGAACCTCTTTGGCTCAATCGAGGACAAACATTTGAAATGCGGCTGTTTCATGAGCTGGAGCAATCCAATCAAGCATCCTACTAGGCTCCCCTAAAAGAAGAAAAAAAACTTAAAATATATTTAAAAAATAGAAAAAAAAAATCAGATCTTACGAGGACAGGTGTGGATCTGTCAATTATAATAATGACTGTCTGCACGAGAATATCGAGCATGTTGATACAGACGACCTCGATGTCATGATGTAAACAATTATCAACCTGTTAATTAAACAAAAAATTACTTCAATGTTTAAAAACAAAATATGATGGAAATGTAATAAAACTGACCTTCCCGCCTTCATCGTCAACCCTCTGAAGTTTATAAAGGAAGTTGATTATTTTTCCAAGAATATCCGGAATGAGACGAAGCTCTTCTCTACGAGCTAGGTGGAGTCGTATATGCTTGCAGATTGTATTTAGCAGTATTGATCGTGATTCTATAAAAACGACGATGGTTAATTGTGTTGTTTATCTCCTCTTTTTTTTTTCATAAATAAATACCGTTGTTCTGGAAGAGTTTCCCCTCAACGAGGGCGAGCATGGCGACAAGTTTCGCCTTGAGCAATTGCGGCCTGTTGCTCCCGAGGGTGTCGAGGCTTGTTGCGACTAGCCTTGCGACTTCGACGGGCGGCAGTACGCAGCATATCTGGTCGTAAGTCCCACTCAGGCTTTCAATGAGACCGACCTGAGTGCTCACGATGTTTGGGTTCGACGAGGCGAGAACGGCGTTGAGCCGTTCGACAACACCGTACAGGTCGCGGTTGAAACTCTCCTCATATTGGCCATTCGTCGCTCGAGCGAAAAGTATTCGAGACACAACTATGAACTTGAATATTGACTCGAGCGAACGAAAGCACTTGAGGATCGGCTCCTGCTTTTCAACAGCTCCGACCCAATCGGCACAGTGCTGAACCGAACTCAACAAGCCCCTAAAAAATAAATTTATTATGTATTCTTGCTTTATGATTATTATTATTACTATTATTATTATTACTTATAAACCAATGCAGCTGCAAAGTGATTTTTAACATAGGCATCAACGACGGGCTTGAAATGCTGGAATTTGTTGTCGTTCAACAGGCTAAGGATGCTCACCTGTTGTAAATTTAAAAAAAAGTTTGTTTTTTTTAAAAACATCATATAATGCATTTTGATTAAAATAATAATAATAATAATGCCACTTACAAGAACGTGAAAAACAAGGCCTGAATATTGCGTTGAGTTGCCATCCTCAGTCGAAAACATGGCGAAAAGAGCGTCGAGAACGTCCTGCAAAAATTTGACGAGCTCCTCCCCGTCAAGGTGCAACGCACGAGTCAGTGCTTCTTGAATCCTTTCCGGTTTCGCTTTCCACTGGAGTAGTGCCAGAAGGTCACCTTTGTTAAAATAGAAATTTTTTTTAAAAATAAATAAAAAGAATAGATACTTTTTGTATAATAAAAATTATATACTATTCTGCGTTAGCTTTGTTGAGCATAGTAGGCTTTTGATTACAACGCTCTCCTTGTGCGAAGCAGCGTAATGGACCTGCCCATTGCAAGTGAAGTCTTTGAATGATGATGTCATCATTAAGTAAAGATGGGGCTTCATCTTTGCTGTGTCATCGCAACGGTATACGAGGAGCTCATGAATCCCATCCTAGCAATAAAAAAATATATTATTTTCTGTTTCTTTATGTATTTAAACAACGTACCTGAAGAGTGGCTCCACTCGGCTCCATCAGCCTTGCAAAACTGAACCCAATGATTTTTTTATTGTCTGCTTTGTCTCTTGCTTTATTAAAAAAATAAAAATAAATAATAATAATGATTAAATTTATAATGGAAAAAATTAAAAAAGAAGTACTTACTGGAGCAATGTCGATATTCAAGGCGTAAATGAGCGGCTTGGTACTTTTCGATCGGCACGGCCAGCGTGATCGTCTCGGACCAAATGGGAGAGTTTTGGTGGTACATGATCGCCGAGCGGTACATGTGAGAACCTTCAGTCCCACTCGCCCCCCATACGCAGTCCTTGAAAGACAATTAAAAAAATATATATTTATAAAAAAAAACATTAACAATAGTCAGTGACGACTTACGTCGATCGGATTCCCATGAGCATCGAGGACCATGAGGGAGACTTCGATGTTCTTACCAGTCGACTTGCCACCCCTCTCAAACTCGCCCCTTTCCAACGTGATGTACAGGTCGTTTCTGTTTAATGAAAATACATGATTTTAATACAACAAAACAGAATCATGACATAAACAATAAAACCTGATCTGAATAAACCAAAATATGCTTGAAGAAAAGAATTAAAAAAAAGACACTCATATTTATTAGTTTATTTTCCAACTAGGTATAAAGATGTATAGTTTACTTAAAATATAAAGACAAAATTTGTAACTTGTTTTTTTTTACTTTTACAGTGTCACTGATCCTTTTACACTCTTTAGATTAAAAATAAAGAAAATCAGTTCAATTTCATCCTTTCCACAGTCAACTTTTTTCTTCTTTTTTTAAATAGATTCCTTTCTTTGATGAAACAATAAATTTGTGTAGATTAAAGAAGATTGCTTTGGCCAATGACATAGCATCTGTTACATAGCCCAAGTCCTGAGTGTGCCATACTCTACCATCCATGCGGTTTAGGGTAAACCAAAAGTTTCATTTGAAGAGAAGATAGCAGTCTAGAAATGGTTGTTTTACTACTCTTGCACTATGGAACAGTCATTTATTTTGCTTCCTTGATAGGTAGTCAACCCTAAACAGTCCGTGTAAGGGTGAAGTCTAAAACAATCATCGGAAAGCTTCGTGAGAGACATCAGGTTCTCTACTGGAGAAGCAGTCAAATTTCTCTTGGACACATGAACAACGATGACGGGCTGTTCTCATCAGCGATGCTCGGTTTGGTTTGTGGGTGTACCGTGTTTGGAGAAGACTGTTTCATGTGCCATGTCTGAGCCACAACCTTTTAAAAAGAGTCAGTCATAGAATGGGGTGGAACTTCCATTCCCTTACTGAACTGATTAATATACAGAATAGATCTTTGATCACTCTAATGTACATTGAGGAAGTTCTTCTGGTAGCTGTGGGTCCACTTATTGGGGATAACATTGTGTTTATGTATGATTTGATGCCTCGTTATCCGAGAGTATGTAAATCTGTGCACCTTTATTATTTTTCTAACTCTTGTGCACAGAGCTGGACTGCATGGGCCTCAGCTTGGTAAATTGTCAGGATTAGTCCAAGGGGCTAAGGTACAGTTTGGTCCTTTTACCCCTAGACCTACTTCCTGTCCCATCTTTGATCTGTGTACTGTTACCTTTCTTCAAAGACCTCCATTATCTACGACTGCTTGGAAAGGTCTGTTAATGTTGAATTTTTCTCATCAGGTACCTTTATAGCAATCTAGTTTATTTTAATTCTCTCCAGAATTTTGTGGTGGCTTTTCCTTAGATCTGGCTTTATTCCCTTGGATCTCAGGGGTCATTTGACACTCTCAAAAGCCTCCATTAGTCTTTGTAGCTTATTCTTGTTCAGTGTTGTGTAGGCTAGGGTTATCGTGTTTTGGAGAAGGCTTTGCTTCATGTGCCATGCCTAAACCACAGTCAAAGACAGCCAGTCATGGTATGGGGCGGAATCAACCGTCATCAACATCCATGCCCATTTGAAACTGATTATCATGAATGCATCTTTATTTGCACTAAGGTACATTGAGGAACTTCTGGAAGCTGTGTTCCCAATCGTTCCATTTACTGGGAACGCCTTCGTTGCACCGACACACCTCCCATTAAGTATGTTACAATTATGATATCTAGAAGGTACTGGTAACAAGTTGGAAGCTTATACTTGTTACTGACAGTATATAATAAAATAATTAAGTTTATTAATTAACTAATTTACTATATTTTATACAAAAGTGTATTAATCAATCTTATAGGCGGGGTATGCTACCTTCAACTATCATAACATTAACTTTTACATTATAATTCTTCATTCCTGATGCGTTAATAGTTTTATAATACTGAATATAAGTAAACACTGAAATATAGTTTCATTTACTTCTCAATTTTACAAGTCTGTATTGTAGTATTTTAGTAATTTCTATTTTTGTCCCCAATTCCTTTCATTATTTATTATTGCATTATTTATTTTATTTTGTTATAGCGGAGGCGGTGTGAAGGTTTAACGTGTTGTGAAATTTAGATGGCATTGGTGAAAAAATGCAGAAAAATTGACGGTGGTACTACACAAAGTAGATCATGAGATTTATTAATGACTGATTGTATGAAGAAGAAAAAAAACGACAATCACCTAACGTCGCCTGGCATTATAACGTCAGGAAAGCCGAGCTTCTTAGTCAGTGTGATGTTCTTCAGGAGAAGTGGGTTCTCCTCACGAACCTGTGCCAGCTCGCCGTGCAGAACACGGAGGGATATGACAATGCCGTAGTTCGGTTGGCCGGAAAGCGGCGAATACTTGTTCGTCTGTTTTCTTATTATGAACTCGTGGAGCTGGTGGAAGTCTTTGTCCTCAGTCTGGTACGCCTTGAATGAGAACTCTCGTTCTTCGGCATTCGAGCCAGTCACCGCCTGGAAAATGGTAAGTTTGTAAACGAATAATTTATTGGTTGGTTTCATTTGGCCATAAGTACATCTCCGATGTTAAGCACGGCTACTGCGTGCGGTCGCTTGAAACTTCCTGTGCTCCCACCCACAGACACTCCGCCAAAGCTGGACTCCTTCCCACCGGATAGGATTTTCGCCTTGGCCGATTCAGACGCCAGCATTTTCCCTGCGAGAAAAATATATATGTACTATGTACAAATATATATGCAAAATTTAATATTTTGAAAAATGAAATGCTCACCGATGCGATACACATATGCCACAATATAAAGCTCTTTTGTCAAATCACTGCTACCCAGATCCTGTAATTGTTGAGTTTGTTAAAAAAAGACAAAAAATAAAGAGTTAAAAAAAAATTACAGTGAAAATTGTGCAGTTGCTGTTCAGCTTTTCAATATAATTTGAAAACCCGTCTTTCGATATCTTGACGAGGAATCTCTCGCTGGAAAATATAGGAAATAAATATATAAATACAAAACTATCAGATATACTTTATTAAAAAAAATAAAAAACTCGTACCTTATATACGCTGCTTTCTTGGCATCGTAGAGAGACAAATAGACTTCAGTCGTTTCTCCCACGTTGTGCCCAAAATCCCTCATACACAGGTACAAATGATGCGAAAGTGCTTTGCTGTTCTCACCACGCCTTTTGAGCGTACCCCTCGACTGACGGGAAAGAATGAAATGGAAAAAAAAGCGTATGTTAAGAAACGAGTCTCAAACAGAGCGAAGAATATAAAAATTGACTAAATGTCTTACCGAAGGGCCGATCGAACTTTCTGAACTCTCGACATGCTAAACACACACGGGGCAAACGAGGGAAAAAAAGAAAAGAAAGAGTTTCAGACATAGGAAAAAGTATCAATCTTACGAAAATGACAAACGGGCAAGCTTCAAATCGTCATTATACAGTCTACATCAACTTACGACTTGATGCAGCTCGATGACGCTCACTGTCGAAGGGTCGACCATATCCGACCCGCATCTCGGTACAAGGTCCAGTCCTAATTTCCTATAATTAAAAAAAAATCTTATAACAAATCATGTCATCAATTAACTATCCGGATTCCTCAAGTATGTTTTTTTTCTCTCCTACGAGCAAAGCTTGCAAGTCAGAGTTTATTTACACAATCTACTTCCCATGTGGATTACAGGTACTTTTTCCAAGAAGAAAGTACAATCTAAAATCATCCTTGAAGAAGGCTCAAATGGAGAAAACAAATAGGCAACATTCTACATAAAACCAAGGCTCTAATAAGCATTGGCCAGAGTTTATGCAGTAAATTCTGAGTAATAAAGCCCAGGGTGGCATACTGATTATGTACCACAATGGCCAGATCCATACATGGTGCTCTAGTATGGTGGCTCAAAACACTGAACAAGGAGAGACAGAGTAAGCTACAAAGACTAATGGAGGCTTTTCAGAGTGTCAAATGACCCCTGAGATCCAAGGGAATAAAGCTGGATCTAAGGAAGGAGCCACTACAAAATTCTGGAGAGAATAAAACAAACAGACCATTCCGAGCCGTCGTAGATAATGGAGACCTTTGGAGGAGAGGTAACGGTACACAGATCAAAGATGGGACAGGGAGTAGGTCTAGGGGTAAAAGGATTGAACCATACCTTAGCCCCTTGGACTAATCCTGACAATTTTCCAAACTGAGACCCATGCAGACCAACTCTATGCCTAAGAGTTAGAAAAATAAGAACAAACCCTCAGGTAGCCAGACATCTAGAGTGCCTAAATTGCCTAATGGCTCTAGAAAAACAAAACAAAATTATATTACACGTTCCAGGGTATGATGGTATAGAAGCCGAGATATTAAAAATTTTATTATTATTTATTACATCCAATATGCCATTTTTACCCTCAATCTCAACAACCATTGGTTTTCATTTAGGGATGGCATAAAATTTAACATATATTACCTCCTTTGACCTTGCAGAAGGCCTTAAATCTCCTGAGGCTTCGAGTAAATAAAGCTAAAGGATTTTGTGTTGTGAAAAAGAATCCCATTTTTCAACAAGAGCAGTTTGAAGCAGTTCAATGCTTGTCGGAGGCGACAAATAATGTCCTATAGGAACTGGTCAATTCTTTGTAGTAACCTTCAAGCTAGAGTGAAAACTCGAGCTATTTGCTATTGAGCATAATTACATTAACATGATGTTATCCCCAATAAATAGGCCCACAGCTTCCAGAAGTTCCTCAATGTACCTTAGTGTGGTCAAAGATCCATTCTGCATGTTAATCATTTCAGTACAGGTATGGACGTTGATTCCACCCCATACCATGACTGACTGTCTTCTCCAAGCTTGGTATAGCCATGAACCAAACCGGCATTGCTGATGAGAACAGCCCCTCATCGTTGTTCAAGAGTCCAAGAGAGATTTGAATGCTTCTCCAGTAGAGAACCTGATGACGTCTCTCACGAAGCCTTCCGATGACTGTTTTAGAGCTCACCCTTACACGGACTGTTTCGAGCTGACTACCCATCAAGAAAGCCTATAGTTGAGAGAAAGCAACTGACATCTTAATTTTAAAGAACCAGCAAGTGAACTAAACAGAGGAGATTCTAGCACTCTCAGACATATTAAATAAGTTTCCATGAAGCGCAAGTTCCTTATACTAGAGAACCCAGATGACTCATGATTTCTGCGCTAGACATTTATCAATGTGCATGGTCCAGATACATTGTGCGACTTTTGAAATCAAAATTGACCAATCTGACGTTATCTTGTGAAAATTCAATATTTGGTTGAATTGCTGTGTCATCTCCCTCCAAACAGAAAACCATGATATTTCATACTGTTAATAAGGTTGTCAATAATTTCATAAGGAATTTCATTCCATAGATGCTGCAATGCTGCACCCGGTTGTTGCAGGTCAACTCCCACATGTACTCAATAGTATTGAGGTCTGGTTACGATGAGTGAATTTTTTTTTTTGGAAATTCCCAGGTTTTTTAAACATCGATGTACAACTCTGCCTCTATGAGGTCTGGCATTGTCATCCAGAAATCGAAAATCCATGCCAATAAGAACCATGGTTTGAGGGATGTATCCCTTATTAATTTATTGGACATAACGGACTGCGGCAAGGTCACCTTCAACAATATGAAGTCTAGTTAGTCCTCCAGTGTAAATCCCAGCCCTGACCATTACACTGCTTCCTCCAAACTGCACAAACTGGGGCATCGTATGCATCTCTTGTTCTCAGTACTCTTCGGCACCTGCTATCACATACAGACAGAAAAGTGATGCATCAGTTTTATGAGCAGCAATTGGTGTTCTCTTCTAGGCGTCTCATGGTGGCGGGCTGTTGGTGCAGGTCATTTTTGATAAAGGCCTTGCCTAAACATCGTGTACTTCATTTAGGATCTAGCAGGCACTATGGAAAGGGTTCCGTCTTGCATGACAATATTTTCGTCCTCTCTTAGAGTCTTAATGCGCTGAGATCCACTACCGGGCCTCCTATAGGCACTTCCAGTCTTCTGGAATCTGGCAAAAGCCCCGGAGACTGTGCTCTGACAATCGCTGAGTGCCTCTGCAATAACCACGTGCTGGTGACCTTGATGGCTCATTCTCACAATAATATTGCCAACTTCTGGTTTAAGATGATGCCTTTCCATGGTTCATGAGAATAAAATTGGAGTAAAATGGAGAACAGGTGTTTCTTTCCAAAATGAGTAATCTTCAGGTTTTCTATTCTTAAGTAAATCTGTTATTAAAATTGAGGATTGACATTTGTTTGTTTTTGGTTTGTATTTTTTATTTTATTACAGAATAATTCCTTATATTTAGTGGTTACTTCTTTCAATTATTAATCTTTTTATGTAATGTTTTGGTTGAAATGAAGGTAGCCGAAGGTCGTCAGTTCGATTCCCGCTCGTGACACTAATTTTTTCATTTCAATCAAAACCTTACATAAATAGATTAATTAATTATTAGAATAAGTTACAATTTTTGAGCAGTTTATTAAAATTGATACTGTTTTCGGTTCAACAACGTCAATCAAAGTCTTTCCATTGTAGTTTTCTTTGTCTGCCAGCATGTTTCTTTAAAGAAATTTATTTATGGTTCAAATTATGTAAAAGTGGGTCGTGGGCGAGTGGGGAAGAGATCCCTTTTGTGTCGTGTCTTGCAGGCCTGGAGCTGGAAGCTCAGGTCCCCCTCCTCACTGAGCACGACCACCTGCACGTCCATCTCCCCACCAAGACCTCGACTAGATTTTGTCCCGGACTGTAGTCGTACTGGCACCCGACGCCGGTGTACACCGTCGACTTCTCCCAGTGTAAAAAAAAGGATAAAAGGGGCAAAAAGATAGGTTGAGAGAGAGAAAAAGAAAAAAAAAAAAGGTTGCGTGTCTAGTGTTCATGCGTCTGAGGAGGACCAAGTTTAAACCGGAGGAAAAATAATTCTTCAAAGGAAAACAGGGAAAAAACACAACAGACAAAGTTTATGTAAGTACAGTTGTATATAGCAGTATTACTAAAGCGGGGAAAGAAAGAGAAAACGGATCAACAGGTGGTCCCCCGCCCCCCAAAAAAAGACCGTTTCAAATCTCGACTGTTTCAATTTAAATTTACCCCCAGAAAATAAGAAAATAAACCAACCAGGACACAAAAAAATCGCAGTATCACCAGAATTAGCAATTTAAATTAATATTTTACAGAGTATGCGCGACCCAGGGAGGGCCCGGAGAGATAAGGAAATGACATAATAGCTACAATTAGGATTTAATTTTTTCTTTTAAATAAATAGTAAGTATTTTGTAAATAATTTATACAGAAAATGAAAGCTTAAGAGGCGGCTATCGGTCGTGAAGTACGTTGGTGTTTGAAAAGGAAGTTAAAAAAAATTCAACATACAGGTCAAAAAGAAAAAAAGGAAAAGTATCGAAATCCCTTTTGTACGATCCGAGTTGTTTAATTGTAAACAGAATTCTGTTTGACAACAGCCCGAGAGTCTTAAAGGGCCATTCCGGTGATTTTAATATTGTTCCGTTGTGAAAGTTAAGTTGCCAGTTTTCGAATCTGCAGATTTAAAAAAAAGAAAAGTTCAATTTTTCGTAAATTGTCTGACCCTCCTCGCGCAAATGAAATGTCGACCTGGTTTTTTTACGTCTCCACACTGTTAAAACGTACCGCCGTGGTTTTGAACTTTTGGCTTTTGCTATAAAGGTAAAAATCACTAATAAAAAAAAAGTAGTAGTGTGTGGAGAGAGAGTTACATGACATAAACGGGAGGAAGAGCGTGAGTTGGAGTGATTAAATAAAGAGTGCGTGTGCGTGTGTGTGTGTGTGTGTGTATGTGTGTATGTGTGTGTGTGTGTGAGTGAGAGAGAGAGAGAGAGAGAGAGAGAGAGAGAGAGAGAGAGAGAGAAGCAAATGGGTCACATGACAAAATGGGGGTGAGTGAGAGTGAGTAAATGAATTGTGAGTGAGTGAGTGAGTGAGAGGAAGTANTCAGCGAATGGATAAAATAAAATAGAAATTGTGTGAATTAATGTGTGAAATTAAGAATCTGGGGGTGAGAGAATGAATAAAATAAAGACAGAGTTAGTTAACGTGAGACTGAACGGCATAAAATATAGACTATGTGAATGAGTGACAAAGATTCAGTGAGCGAGCAAGCTAATGAGTGAGTGAACAAATTAAAGTGTGAGGGAATGAGCGAATGATTGAATGATCCATCGAAATAGAGAAGGAAAATTAAAGTTAATCGTAGTTGCTGTACTGGAAAATCCAACTTGAAGTGACAGTTGTAGTCAAATATCTTAGGGTGGTAATGGACCCCTAAACACACTTTTACTCCCAAATGTGATTGAACGAACAAGGGCAATGTTGTGGTCCTCATATAGTTTGCAGAACTAGTTTTTGAGGAAGTGCACATGAGGAGTTGTAATCATTGAAATTTTTTACACTGGAGTGCAAAAGTACTATAATTTCGCCAGAATAGTGATAGGTTTTTTGGTAGAATCTTTTCCTCCCCCGAAGAAAACCCGGCTATAAATATTCGTACAGATCCAATCGTACGTAAAGTAAAATTTCTGTTCTAACTATAAAATATTTCTCTAAATTTAGTTTTTGACCAAATCCTGCGTACCGTTAGGTCGCCTTTGTGGCAGGTATAGGAGGGGTTGTTCAACTCCCTAAAAGGTTTATGGAAAAGTAATCTTGTTAAAAATGTTTTTTTTTTGTTTGAATAACGGTTGGTTCATAAATTGAAAACGTTTGTTTTTTTGTTTTTGTAAAAGAAATCCGGTGAAATTTTGAGGTTTGCCTCTGTGGTCTCGAGGCGTTTCGCTCCGTTTGATTTTCTTTCTCTTTCTCGGGGGGGGGGGGGTTCAGAGGACTCAAATGTATTTTGATTTGTTCGAATTTATTTCGTAAAACGTACGGTCACACCCAGGAAAAAAAAAGGTTGATCGATAATTGACACAGGGTGACTCACGATGTACTGTTTAGTTCTTTTTCCTGTACAAAACGTGTCAGAAATTCCTGAGGCCCGGTGTTCCAGAAATTCCGGACGGTGATTTGAAAATAAAGTCTTTCTAGGCCTCTTCTAAGTATCGAAATTGCACATACAATTTAAGAGGTCAGATTCTAGGTCTATTAGTCCTAATCGGTTGCACTTTAAAAAACAATTATGATAATATTGCGTAAACTTAAATCCTCACTTTTTAGCGTTTCGCAATTGTTTGAAATGTGATTTTTTATTTTATTTTTCTCTCTCCCCCTATTATAACGCCTATTTCCGAAGTAGCTGACGGGAGCCGTATCATTTGTTGTGGTGTTCACGCAATAATTGTGGCATAGGAAAAGAGAAAACTAGGAACGTTGCAAATTGCGAGTTGATCGAATCTCTGTTTAAATCGGAAGAATGTCGAGAAAAAAGGACAAGAAATGCCACTTTTCCCGTTCTTGTCATCGGACAACATAAACTAATTAAAGGTGTGAATGAATGAACTAATGAAAGAATGAGTGAGACGGCGAGCAAATGCAAGAACGAACGAATGAACGAATTAAAGCGTGAGTGGATGAGCGACTGAAAGATGGGCTGTGTGAACGAATGAGTGAGTGGATTAAATAGGGAATGAGTGAATGAACAAAAGAAAGAGTGAATTAATTAAAGTGCGAGTTAGTGAGAGAGCGAGCTAATGTAAAAATGAGAGAGTGAACGATTTAAAAGTGTGAGTGAGAGGTCGAGCAATGCAAAATGAGCATGTGAACGAATATAAATGTGGGTGAGTGAGCGAATGAAAGTAAGATTGAACCAGTGGACGAATTAAAGTGTGAGTGAAAGAACGTCTGAGAGGGTGAGTAAATGTAAGAAGGCGTGAGTGTATGAAAGAATGAGAAAATGAATGAATGCAAGAATGTGGTTACAATAGCGCTTAAATGAAATGGCCTGGGATGGGCCATATGATAATGCAATTCTTCCAATATGGCAGGGAGTAATAAAGGGAGGCCAAAATAGATAAAAGAAAGACATGTAGAAAAACTTAGTAGATGAGAAGAAAAACAAATTAGATTTAAATTCGAAAGATAATGTCAACTAGAAAGAACAATACATTACCAAGATCGTCAGCTTTTATCATTTTTGTTGTATTGTACTTCCTGCTGACGCATAATCGCGATAACTCAAAGTTAGTGCATTATGATCGAGTAAAATTCCTAGTATATACATATGTGTACACATTTTCAACAGAAGGAGGAAGCGCATAATTTTTTTTGTGCAACTAATTTAATATAAATTTAATTTTCAGAATGTCTGTCTTCGCTCTCGTCTCCGCGGTCGCGGGTTTCGTCAAGATCCGCTACCTCGTCGAGAAGGCGGTCATAGACAACATAGTCTTCAGGCTCCACTACAGGGTCACATCGGCGATACTCTTCCTATGCTGCATATTGGTCACGGCCAACAATCTGATCGGTGAGTGGGCCTTTATTTCTGGTTAAAACATAAATAGAAGGTAAACGTAGAGAGACGAGGTATATCATAGTGTATATTTAGACAGATGGGGGTTTAAATTAGTAAAGGGTTCAGCACACCCCTTCGTCAATAGGCGACGGGGTTGACTTTCGTAGTGAAAGGGGCTTAGCTTCTATCACCAAGGGAATTCCGAGTATGGGATTTTCATTTGGGGTGTACTAAACGTCACAAAAATGTAAGATGGTTGGAAAGGGGAAAAAAGTGAGATAGAGTGTATTAATGAAAAATATTTCGTGAACGAGTAAGAGAGATTTTGTGTCATCGATAAGAGAGAATGAAATAGGGATTGTATAATTGAGTGAGCAAATGAAATAGGGATTATGTGTACTAGTGAGTGAATGAAAGAGTGGATGCGCGAATGAAAGAGGAATGGTGTGAATGAATGAGTGAGCAAATGAAATAGGGATTATGTGTACTAGTGAGTGAATGAAAGAGTGGATGCGCGAATGAAAGAGGAATGGTGTGAATGAATGAGTGAGCAAATGAAATAGGGATTGTATGAACGAATGAAAGTGTGAGTGAACGGGCGAATGATATAGGGATTGTGTTAACAAACGAGCGAGTGAGTGGATCGAATCGGGTTTGTATAAATGCTAATGAAATAGTAGGTGAGTGAGGAAATTAGGTAATGAATGAATGAACTAATGACAGAAGGATGTGTGCACTAATGAGTGAATGAAAGAGTGAGTGAGTGAGCGAATAAAACAGGGTGTGAACGAATGAAAGTGTGAGTGGACGGGCGAATGAAATAAGGATTGTGTTAATAAACGAGCGAGTGAACTAATGAAAGAAATATTGTGTCAACGAATGAGTTAGCGGATCGAATCGACTTTATACGAGTTAGTGAACGAATGAAAGAAGGATTGTGTGAACGAATGAGTGAGTGGATCGAATCGGGTTTTTATAAATGAGTGAGTGAGTGATATAACGAAATATAGCAAGAGCTAGTAACATCCCGAATTAAAAGCGACGGTTCTTCTTCACCTCCAAGACCAATTTCATAAGAGGAAACGGACATCATTAAAAAAAATTCAAGTAACATGACGGCTTTTCTGATCTGCACGAGTAGTACAAGAGTATACTGTAAACGTTTCTAAACATTAAAACGCGAGACTTTTTTTTTCATTCGTTTTAACCTCAGCCTGTTAACGCAACGATTGCATTCTCTGTATGTAATCTCTTTTTTGTTTTTCTTCTCTCAATTGGCTTTGCTGGCAGTCCTGTATTCGAATGAGTCAGAACGTCAGGGTCCAGGCTTTATCTTTCATTAACTACGTGGCCAAAATGGGATTTTTTTGTTCCTTTCTTCTTTTTAAAACGAGGTACAGCAGCGAGTTAAACTGTGGATTATCCGTGAAAGGCGAACGTACATCGAAGGAGAGAGGGGGAGCATTTTCTCTCTCACTCTCGCCTTCTTCTTTTTCTCTCTCTCTCTCTCTTTTTTTTCTTTCTTGAGTTTTATTACACCGTCTCCCCCACTGGAAATGCCAGGTAACTCAGGCATCCAGTGTACAGTCCCTCCAACCTGCATAGCCCCTCTCCGGACACCGGGGGGTATAAAAGGGAACGACCTCCCGTCAAACCGGACCAGGCGAAAAACTGCATCTTATTTTGAGATGGTTTTTTTAATCGAATTTTTTCATTTCCCCCCCAAAGAAAATTTCGTAAACATTATGCAGAAAAAAAACAACATTCGGAACAAAAACAAAGGTCAAAAAAAGGAAACATAATCAAACAATTTAAATCTTTAATAGTTTTTTGTGTTATTTTTCAGCTACAATTTTTGTAAGTTGAAAAGGAGTGAAAAGTATTACACAAAAGCCATTTCGCTTCAATCAATTTGTCTTAGGCCTTGAAAATCAATTTTCAGCCTGTTTCACAGCGTCCATAGATTTTCTTGCCTAGGTCTGGTAAAAAAGAACTTTCTCTTAGCCTAGACGTTAAAAATAATCATTTCCAGGGTTTATTCTTTGAATAAAATTTAAATTAGAGAACCCCTTGTCATTTTTTTATATATATAATAAAAATTGTAATTTTTTAATAATTATATGAACAAAAGATGGCCTGGTAGTCAATAAAAGCCTGACACAATTTACAGGTTCTCAGTGCATAATTTATAAATTAAATCAGTCGATTAAAGCCACAATACCTGTATTCAAGTCAATTATTGACATTTTGAGTGCGCTCAATGGTGTGATTTTAGAAATCTTTGCTTTCTCTGCTTTGTTCATTTTGTATAAAACATTGTAAATAATCAACTCCTCAGGGAAACAGAACAAAAGAAAGATTAAGTTAGTTAACGAAAGGGTGAGTGAGCGAATTAAAGAGGGATTGTGAGAATGAAAGAGTGTGCAAGCGAATGTGGTCTGTGTAAATGAGTTGGCGAATAAAAGAGTGTGTGAAGGTAATAAGTATTGGGTGAATAAATGAGTTAGCTAATGGTTGAGCTGAGTAAGCGATTGAATGAAAGAGGATTTTGTGAACAAATGAGTGAGCAAGCGAAAGGCTTTGGGTAAATTAACTAGCCAGCGAATAAAAGTCAGTGAAGGAAACGAAAATAGGATTGTGTGAAAAGTGAGCAAGTGAAAGATTGTGCTAATGAAAGTGTGAGTGAGCGAATTAAATAGGGCTTATGAGAATGAAGAGAGAGCTAATTAGCTAACGAAAGAGTGACTGAGCAAATAAACTAGGGCTTAGATGAATGAAAGATTGAGTAAATGAGTCACTAAAAGAGTGAATTGTCTACTAAAAAAGGGATTGTGCAAATGAACGAGTGAGTGAGGAAATAGGGATTGTATGAATGAACCTGTGAATGTGAATGAGCAAATTAAATAAGGATTGTGTGAAAGAGTGAGTGAGTGATTGAATAAAATAAGGAATATGTGAATGAGTATCTGAATGACTGAGTGAGCGAGTTAGCAAATGAAAGAGTGATTAGGTGAATAAGTGAGTAAGCAAATGAAAGAGATAGTTATCTAATGAAAGAGTGAGTGGGTGATTAAATAAAACAGGGATTGTTTGAGTGAGTGAAGGAGTCAATGAAGAGTGAGTGAGCAAGTAAATGAACGAATCAAATAGGGATTGCGTTAATAATTTAATTAATAATAATAATAAAATAATCATTAAGAATAATATATACAGCTAATAATATATATACAGTTTTCTCTTGCTTTGCTAATATTGTAAAATTTATTTCTAAATACTTAATAATTTTTTTAAACTATATATCTTACTCTATGTACTTGGTCAAATCCTTGTAGATACAAATTATGGAATACAACCAGCTCTTTTTATTAACTCAGTCATTTTGCTTCATTTATTAACTGTTTTTGTTTTTTCTAGGTGACCCGATATCTTGTATCACAGATAGGGCGATACCGACCCACGTTATAAACACGTTCTGTTGGATAACGTACACTTTCACACTTCCAGGGGTTAAGGGGAAGATCGGAAGTGCCCTGGCGCACCCCGGCGTTGCTAATACTCTGCCCGGCTATGACAAACGTTTCCACGCCTACTACCAGTGGGTTCCGTTCATGCTTTTTTTCCAGGGCGTTCTTTTTTACGTGCCCCACTGGATTTGGAAGAACTTAGAAGATGGTAAGATAAGGAATCTCACCGACGGTCTGCGAGGGGCGAATGTAGTCCGTAGCCAGGACCAACAGGCAGCCAAGACGACACGCCTCGTCCAGTACATCCACGAATCCCTTCACAGGCACAATGTCTATGCTGCGGGCTATTATATTTGCGAAATCTTTAACTTCGCCAATGTGGTAAGTTTTTCTCGTCTCACTGTATTAATTGATAATTAATTTTTCTTTTGTATTTTAGATCGGCAATATATTCATGATCGACTCATTCCTTGGAGGCGCTTTCATGACTTACGGGACTGAGGTGATTAAGTTCTCCGGACTCAACCAGGAACAGAGGACAGATCCGATGGTCGAGATCTTCCCTCGTCTCACCAAGTGCACGTTCCACAAGTTCGGCCCGTCAGGCACGATACAGAAGCACGACACACTCTGCGTCCTTGCTCTTAACATACTTAATGAGAAAATCTACATATTCCTATGGTGAGTAATTACATATATATTTTTTAAATATATATATTTTACAATAATTTTTTTTTAAAGGTTTTGGTTCATCATTCTGGCCATACTGAGTGGTCTCGCCCTCGTATACAGCACGGCGATCATACTACTCCCATCCATCCGGGAAATGATACTCATCAGGAGGTTCAGATTCGGTACGCCGACTGGCGTATCCACTCTCATCAGAAAGACACAGGTACATTTTTTTAAGAATTAAACAATTAAATGTATTTTAAAATTAATTTTGTTTTTTGCGTGAAAAGGTTGGCGATTTCCTCCTGCTTCACTTTATAGGCCAGAATCTAAACATGATGTTATTCGGTGAACTGCTCGACCAGCTTTCTCGCAAGCTCCACGTCGGTAACAACTTGCCGACCGCGCCGTCGACTCTTGAGCTCGCACCGATTTACCCATCGGGAAAGCTGAGACACCATTTGGAGACAGAAGCCTGATAAGTCACAGTTGGTTTTTTTTTAAAGAAAAAAGCCCTACGATTTTTTTTCTTCTATTTTTTACTTTAGACACTTAGAATTTATTAACTGTTAAGGATATATTCCAAGATCTTTTAATTATTCAACGAATATTGTGAGGAAGAGAGGATGGGGGAGTAAAAAAATATTTATATTGAATATGCTGACTGAAAGAGGGCGAAAAAGATATGTCCAAACCCTCGTGCCATAAGTCGAAGAAAATTTTTTGTTGTAGTGTAAATTTGTGATATGTAGAAAATTTATAAAATAGTAATAATAATTTTTAAAAAAATTGTTCTATTAGGATTTATTTAAGATTAAATTATATATAAGGGGGAAATATCATGTTTATAATAATAAAGCATAAAGGAAAATCCTCTCGATGGCACCGATCAGTGCATGTTCAAACACTTTTTGTTCTAAATATTCATTTATATTTATAAAAATTTACACAAAATAAATTTTTTTTCTACTCACCTGTTACCCCAGTCAATTTTCGAAGTGACGTTGAGGCGCATCTCACGCATCTGGTCGTGCGTGAGCGTCCCTGTGAGTAGTTCTCGCCTCCAGTCGACCAGTTCTCGCATCACTTTCCTCAAAGTTGTAAACTTGTAATTTTCCCTCGCCTGAAAGAAAGCAAATAAAATAAAAAAATAAAGTTTATTAATTTATTTTTTTGACAGGAAAAACTTACGACAAACAAATTCTTCCATATTGTGTTCCATTCTCGGAGGACTTGTGTCACCTCGTGTATGACAGGGTCTTCCGCCGGTGTCACTGGTTCACAGCAGCTCCTGGGGGGAGGTTATAAAATAAATATAAAATAAAATAAAAGGAAAAAAAAATATTTACACATCGTCAGTCTTGTGTGGTTTTATATGTATGTAGGATGCAGGGAATATCCCTTTGATAGAACGGTTCCTCATGCAGTAGCCCCTGTACCATCCTGAAAAAAGAAATTCAAACAGTAACTCAGATTTATAAATAGTTCAGATTCATTGGATACCTTCGCACTCTTCAAAAATTTGCAATGTGTCACCGATCTCGAGTGGCAGGCCAAAGCGCACTTCTCCTTTCCAGTTGTAGATGGCTGGAGGAGAAAAAAACACTTTGTACAATAACACAATTAAAAATGAACCAATAAATCTGTCATCCAGACCAAAATATCAATAAATATACTCGAAGATGCATAACGTTGCCAAAGTTTGATGATATTGTGTTACTGAAAAGGTTTGTATGTGAGAAATTGTTTCATAATACATATTAAATAACTGAAAAAGTATGATATTATAACACTAAGAATAGGCGAATATATGTGATATTTTGTCACTCACAAGGTTTGACAATTGCATGTAAGTGTGATAATGAGTCCCTCAAAGAGTTTGATGGTTGCGTAAGTGTGATAGTGTCACTTCAAGAAATTTTATTAGCAAATAATTGTGATATTGTGCCGCTCTAATGGTTTGATGGTTGGAAAAGTAGAATATGGTATCGTCCAAGAGGTTTGATAATTGTGTAAGTGTGGTGTTTAGTCACTCGAGAAGTTTTACAGCCGAATAAGTGATACTGTTTAATAATATATATTTGATTATTGAAAGAGTATGATATATCACCAAGAATAGGTCAATATGTATAATATTGTGTCACTCAAGAAGTTTGACGGCATAAGTTCTACTGTTTGGTAATAAATTTAATTATTGAAGAGATGTGATAATTATATCAACAAGAACGGATGTGCAAGTATGATATTGTGCCATTCAAGAATTTTGATGGCTTAATAAGTGATACTGTTTAATAATAAATATTTGGTTATTGAAAAAGTATGATATTGTATTACCAATAATGGGTGAATGAATGTGATGTTGAGTTAGTCAAGAGGTTTGATGGCTGAAATTTATATCACCAAGAATGGATGAGCAAGTATGATATTGTGTCACTCAAAGAGTTTGATGGCTGAAAAAGTATATCACCAAGAATGGATGAGTAAGTATGATATTGTGTCACTCAAAAATTTTGATTACTAAATAACTGATATTGTTTAATAATAAAAAATTAATTATTGAAAAAGTATTACATTACATCACCAAAGCAGGTGAATGAGTGCAATATTGTGTCACTCAAAAAGTATATTATATCACCAAGAATGGATGAGCAAGTATGATATTGTGTCACTCAAAAATTTTGATTACTAAATAACTGATACTGTTTAATAATAAATATTTAATTATTGAAAAAGTATGATATCGTATCACCAAGAATAGGTGAATGAGTGTGATACTGTGTCACTCAAAAAGTTTGACAACTGAAAATTATACCACCAAGAATGGATAAGCAAGTATGATAATGAGTCACTCAAGAGGTTTGATAATTGAATAAATGTGATAATGTTCATCCTAAGAAGTTCAATGGTTGTATAAGTGTGATATTGTGTCATTCAAGAGGCCTGTACCACATAAGTGTGATATTTAGCCATTGATCACTGTTTACGTACAATATATAAGTTCCCTAAGTAGTTTAGAAAAAAGGTATTTTGTCTTTATCTATTCCACAATTTATGGTGATAAGACAGAACTGGCATACTCAAGCACCAGTTGGATGATAATTTTACCCAACGGGTGAGATCAACACAGTATTTTCTGATTATTCAGAAATAGTGAGATGTGGTCTGGTGTGATGTAGGTTTCAGAAAAACATTTTATTTGTCGTGCCAATGTTTTGACCTTTATTGGGACATCTTCAGGGCTCAAAGTGTTTGTTTTCTGCGCAAGTGTGCCATTCTTGCGTGTCATGTTGAATTTGAATTTTCTGAAACCTACATCACACCAGACCGCATCTCTTGATTTCTGAATAATAATCAACTAACGGTGACCAATCACCACACATTTATACAATATTTTCTTGTGACACTCTTGTTCAGTTTTCTAATGAGAAGGTTGAACGATGAGCCAGACACTCCTTATGTGCATTATGTCTTATGAAATATGAAAAGTATCGTATGTCAGGAACGGTGCGGTTTTTTTAAATTGTTTTCAAACTGCGAGAAACCCAACAAAATAGACTTCGGATCTAGAGGAACGAATGGATTTAATTCTCAGTTAAAAAGCTCTTAAGCCGGAGGAGCTTAATATCACCAAAGAAGCAATACGCTGTAATCAATGACCTCAACATCATGCGAGAAGGTAAGTGGATCTGGAAATTAACAGGTAGGGCAGAACGAGAAAGTACAAATCTGAATTGTATCACAGTTAAGACCTGATTAAATCAATTTTTCCAAAATTGTCTGTTGTCAGAAATTTTGTAGACCTAAGTCTGATGATTGACCATCTCTCTGCCTACTAGATGACGACTGATTACCGTCTATATAAAGGATGTTGCAGGAAAGGACCATATAGGACTGCCCTGTTGTGTTTTACCAAAGTTCATCCAAGTCCGGGAGCTTTTTTTTTACAAAACAATACCAAGTTAAATAGTCGGAACTTAAAACAAATACTTAACAGTTTATTTTTTAAAAAATATGGTTAAAACTCACCAATGCCGTATCTTTTGTTTTTGCTAGGTGTCCACATCTTGGTTTTTCTTTTCTCTTTTTCCTATTATTAAAAACTCTTTTCAAACTGTCACCGGTTTTTACATAGTCACGTTTATACTTATTTTTCAATCGAATCTTCCCGAAAACATTTTTTTTCTTTTAATTTATTTATTTACCTTTTCAACGGGACATTGTTTGTAGCCTTTGGTGAAAGACCATTTTGACGGATGCCAGATTAGAAGAGGCATGCGCGGCCTAACGACGCCCGGGAGCGCTCGCCGTGGGGCGATTTCAATTTCGACGTCCTAATCATTCGATTAACGCGTCAATTGGATAATCGCTTCCCTAAATCTTTTTTTAACAAGAGATGGATTTATAGGTGAACTAGATTTATAAAAAAAAATGTAAAATATAATTATCGAAATATTCTTAAATGTTTGGTGTTTAGTGACCGTTAGTTAATGATTATTAGTAGATCGCTAGATGCGGTCTGGTGTGAAGTAGGTTTTAGAAAAACATTTTCTTTATCGTGCCAATGTTTCGAACTTTATTGAGATCATCTTCAGGGCCTGGGACAATGTTTATAAATCCAAGGCCATGAAGATGATCTCAATAAAGATCGAAACGTTGGCAAAGAAGGAAAATGTTTTTTTTAAGCATACATCACACCAGACCGCATTACACCATCTCCAAATAATATTCTTAAAATTGAACCGGGAGCGTTTCGTCCTTGATAACCAGCTTCTAGAATAGCTGCCACCTGACTCATCACATTGTACAATAAACAAACTGCTTTACTCACAAACTTCATTACCCAGGTAAATTTTAGAATATTTATCACTAATATATGTTTAAAAAAGACTGTCGGGGTTTATTTTATTTGTTCATTATTTTTTGTTGAAAGAGCGGTCTTCTTTCTGTATCGGTTCTCAAGACCCACCGGTCTTCTCAATTCTATTGAAGTATAAAGACATAGCAGGTTTACTTGATTATCAAGATAAATTTTAGCATATTTATCACTAATGTACGTTTAAAAAGGTTAGGTCAAATTAAGTGTTTTTATTTATTTATTTTTGTGAATGATAAAGTGTCTTCTTGGTGAAGCATTTAGCCACCGGTCTTGTCAATTCCACTGAAATATAAAGAAATGGCAAATTTACTTGATTATCAAGTAATTTTTAGTATATTGGTCATTAAAACATTTTGACAGGTAAAATTAGACGTTTTATTTATCAAGAAAGGATCAAGAGAGTATGTTCTTGATGTACCTCTTCTCAAAACTACCTGTCTTATCAATTCCATGGAAATATAAAGAAATCGCAGATTTACTTGATTACCAAGGTAAATTTTAGTGTAATGTTAACTAAAACAAGTTTAAAACAATTAAAAAGGTAAAATTAGAGGATTTTTTTTATCAAGAAAGGTTTGAGAGAGTATGATCTCGGTGAACCACTTCTCAAGAGCTACCTGTCTTGTCAATTCCATGGAAATATAAAGAAATCGTAGGTTTACTTGATTACGAAAGTAAATTTTAGTATAATGGCCACCAAAACATGTTAAAAAAAATTAAACTGGTAAAATTAGAGGATTTTTCGCGTGAAAGGGTCGAGAGCGTATGTTCTTGGTGAACCAGATCTCAAGAGTCGCCTGTCTTGTAAATTCCATTGAAATATAAACAAATATCAGGTTTACTTGATTACCAAGGTAAATTTTGAGTATATTTGTTACTAAAACAGTTTGACAGTAAAAACAGACGTTTTTTAAATGCATGAAAGGGTCAAGAGAGTATGATCTCTGTGAACCACTTCTCAAGAACTACCTGTCTTGCCAATTTCATTGAAATATAACGAAATCGCAGGCTTGCTTGATTACCAAAGTAAATTTTAGCATAATGGTCACTAAAACATGTTTAAGACAGTTAAACAGGTAAAATTAGAGGATTTTTTACACGAAAGGGTCGAGAGCGTAAGTTCTTGATGAAAAACATCTCAAGAGTCACCTGTCTCATAAATTCCATTGAAATATAAAGAAATAGGATGTTTAATCGAATACCAAGGGAAATTGTAGTATATTGGACATTAAAACATGTTTAAATCAGTTTGACAGGTAAAATTAGACGTTTTTTTATCCATGAAAGGGTCGAGAGCGTATATTGTTGGAGAACCATTACTCAAGGGCCACCTCTTGTAAATAACACTGAAATATAAAGAAATATCAGGCTTACTTTATTTCCCAGACAAATTCTGGTATACTGCTCACTAATGCACGTTGTTACGGGTAAAATTAGACATTTTTTTATGCATGAAAAGTTCGAGAGCGTATGTTCTTGGTGAACCAGTCCTCAAGAACTACCTGCCTTGTCAATTTCATTGAATATAAAGAAATAAGATGTTTAATCGAATACCAAGGAAAATTTTAGTATATCGGTCATTAAAACTCTTTTAAAAGTCAGGCAGGATAAATTAGCTGTTAATTGTTTTTATTTTTGGGTGAGAAGGATAGAAAGCATGTCTTCGTGCTGAACCGGGTCTCCCCTTGTCAATTTCTTCAAAATGTAAAAAAAATATGTTTTCTTCGTTATACAGGAAAATTTTAATGTAAAGGTCTCTAAATCCTATTTGAAATAATCGGAGAAGTCAAATTAAGCAGCCTCTCTTTGGATTTTTTTTTTTTTTTTAATGAAAAAAGGGGATATTTTGTCTTTTCCCGTTGGCAGCTTTGACGTTGAAAGTTTGAAACCTTCGTCGGAATTTACGTTACGCAGTGTTTGTTTTGGTCGTCGGTCAATCGAGGGAACATGGCAGATGAACCATACCGTTTGAATTTACACGTGCCCAATTCGGTGAGTAAAGAGTTTCACAATGTTTTTATTTTTATTTTTTCAGGTTGAACAAATTCAAATCCAGCTCTTAGTTGAAAATTATTTATAAAAACAAATTCCAAAATTCTCCTAGAATTTTTCCTCTAGGTGGAATTTTCTCCCCCAACTAGGGTCGACTCTCTTGGGCTCCAATTTTTCAAAGATCAAAGACTTGTCGTCACTGTCAGTCATGATCTTACAACCTTGAAAATAAAATCTTCAGAAAACTTTCTGTCGTTTGACATCTTCCGACAATCAGGAAAATCTCCAAATGGTGTTCTATTATTGGATATGTCGTACAAACTTACGTATACTTCAGGGGAGTTCAATGGAAAAAAAAATTATACAGCATACGTGTAAAGTTTGAGGGTACTGGTGGCGATTATTGAGGCGACAATATCTGCAGACAATTTTAACACCGGTAGAATCATTCCGGGGCAACTATGATTCTGTTTGTAAAATTATCCTGATTGTCGATGGATCTGAAGGCTTTTCTAGAAAGCTTATGTGATAATTCATTTCAAGTCCTGTCCTGGGTTGAAAATTGAATCGAGAATAAGAAGCCAGAAGATGTGTTTCAAAGCACCTCAAATAGCCATAGATAAAAAAAATCGTTATTCAGGGTATATAAGTTTAGCCAGGTAATTTCAAGCACAAAAAAAGCCTAATTTGGACTGTCAGACTGTTCTAAACATGCAGTATGGTAAAATTTACCGATTAATGAAGCAAATTTGCTGTTTCTTTACATTTTGACGGAATTGACAAGTCTAATAGCTCCTTAGAAGTGATTCAGTAAAGACTCACACTCTCGACCCTAATAATCTTTTTCAAAAAACCCGAATTTGGCTTGTCAGATTGTTTTAATTTTTTGTATTAGGAATATCGGCCACTTTTTCACTCATGAACACTGGATCCAGGTATAGATTGAATATGTCAACCTGATTTTTTTTTGCTCGATGATAACCTTAAAGTAGGTCGAAAGCTTGGCAGTAACAACTAAATTCGCTTTCTTCTTGAAGGCTGTATCTTTATCCAGAGGGTTCAAGGCTGTATTGACCATTATACTAAAATTTTCATGGGTAATGAATAAAACTTGCTATATATTTATATCTTAAAACAAGTGGCAAGGCTGGTAGATCTTTAGAGCGGTTCAGCAAGAACACGCTCGACCCTCTTAACTCGGATTATTTTAAACACACATTTGTTAGTAATATGCTAAAATTTACTCGGGCATTGCAATAAATTAGCGGTTTGTTCATATTTCTCCATTCATGTCACGACCCTTTGGAAAAATTGACCCAAGGGTCATTAATGTCACATATTTTTCATCATGTATTTAATTTATGGGCTGTCTCTTTGATAGACAGTCTGTTGAAATTAGGGACAAGTTGTTCAGTAAAATAGTAATTTTAAATTAATGAAATACACTCTAAAATGATAGAACGTTATAAAAGTTTTTAAATTACAGGTTACAGTCAATACAGGGGAAGATTTGCAACGTCATCTGCAGAAGGTAAACTTTCATCCTGTCCTTCGTATGTTTCGTTAAAACTTTTTTTAATATTTTCAGATTGATGCCTTTGGAGCTGACAAAGTCTGCAAGCTCATAACCAGCGACCGTGGTGATTTTGAAAATGAGGTATGCATAAAATTAAAAAACAAATACAAAAAACAAAATAAGATACAAATGAGTATTTCAGGTCGCTTGGGTATGGGAGAAAATCAGAAAATATATCAACATGAGCCAAGAGGTGACTTTTTTAATAATTTATTATTAGACTTATTAAAAAATTTTTTAAAAATAAATAATGGAAAATTTTAAGGTTAATTTCTAAAAATAAAATTTGGGTTTTGTAAAAATGTAATAAAGTAATTTTATTACTTGTTTAAACATTTATTTGGACATTTTTGGGGGTTTACACCCATCATCAGCTTCACTTGTAAATTCCCAAAACAACAAAATAAATGTTTAAATAAAATTAAAAAGAAAGGAATTATTTATTAGACATTATATTAATAATTAATTGCTTATTTTATATTTTAAATTTCAGGGTGGTGACTTGACTGAGGAAGAGGTAGTTTTAATATAATTTATTTTAATTTATTATTGTTATTATTATATATTTTTTCAATTTCCAGTGGTCAGAATTAGAGGGTAAATTAAAATATTGGTACCAGACGGTACAGGATCTCGATCTCAGTTTGGGTTCTCCCTCGGTAATTTTGTTTAAAACGTATTTTTATTATTATTTATTTATTTTATTATTTTTTAACATTCAAAATTAATTTTGTATTTATTTTTTTTCTCCTCCAGGAGACAATTAAAAAATTAGATGATACATTTAAGAATTTTAAAAAGGTGAGGTTTGATTTTGAGGTTTATTTTTGTAATTTTTTTTTAATGTTTAAAATTTTATTTGTTTTTTTAGTCGAAACATGAGAAGAGTGTTGTATGTATTTTGTATTTTATTTTTATTGATTTTTAAAAATAATTTTTTAATTTTTTTTTTTAATTTTTAAAAGAGGAAGGACAGTTGTGTGTTCCATTATGCCGATCTGTTCGGCTTGGAACCGTATTGTTTGCCGAACAGGACGCCCTTGGCCAACTGCGCTGTCGAAGACAGGCTCATGACAGCCGACGATTTTGCCCGGTCTATCGTCGAGGCATTGCGCTTTGTCAGGTCTGAGCTCGAGCTAAAGCCCGACATCGTAACATCCCAGGAAATGATCCTGCTAAATGAGATATCCTACATAGTAAACTGCCTGAAAGAAATGGGCCAGGTGCAGGCTAACCACAACAAGGACCACAACAAGCACTACAAAGAGCTTGTGACTAAGGTCAAGATGTTAACGAATAGGTACACCGACTTCAAGAAGTACCAGCCTTCGTATGTCGAGTACCTTGCTGCAACTTCAGCTCTTCTCGAAACGGTCGACCTAAAGAGGGTCAAAGTTGCCAGGCAATTCCTCGACAAAGTATAATATACTATATTTTAGTATTTAAAATAAATAAAATTAAAATGTAATACTTTTTTAAAGGACTTGGAAGAATTGGACTGGAAATTAATGGAAATGGGGAAGGGCGCTGATAAAAAGCAAGAGCCTGCAAGTAAGCATGATTTTTTATTATACTTTTTATTAAACTCATTTGATTATTATAATTTTTATCCTTCTGGCCAGGCTGGAAGCCAATGGAATTACAATTTGCCGACCCGATGTCGGATGAGGAGTTCAACTCGGAGTTGTATGACTTTGCCTCTGCTGGACGAAGTGACCTGGAAGACGCTGAGATTGTCAGATGGGTCGAGGATCTTGGCTTCTTTCCGCACAGTTCTGGCCCAATGCCGAGGTACGAAACGAATCATAAAATACTGTATATAATTTTTTTTTCTTTCATGCTTCTATCCCATTGAACCAGGGATCTGATCAAAAGACTGACACCGTCCGAAGAGGCGATATTGGCTGGTGATTATGACAATTGGGAATACTCAGCAGTACACTCGAAAGGAGATGAAAACGGGGCGATTTTAGACTGTTTTCTTCAGCATTTTTCTGTACGTTGCAGTATTTCACGTTAATAATCTTTTCAATTGATTTTTATAATTTTTTATTTTATTTTTCAGACAGTTTTACAAGAGAGCAGTATGAATTCACTGTTCGAGTTGCCTGAAGAAGGCTCAGTTGATGCCATCACGGCAGCCCAGTTTAACAGAAAAGTACAGAATGGCGAGATACAAATAAATGTAAACCGTCTCCTTAAGATTCACCCTGTATTCAATCCATTTTCATTCGTTGTAAGTATAAAAATAAATAATTATTAAATACTAATTGAAAAATGTTAATTGGTGAATTGGACCATAAACTGTATTGGATTAAATACTATTTTTAAAAAAATAATTTTTAACAGGCTGTCCGGGACGAGGATACAGGGAAAATTGTGGACTACAAGGTCGGCCTGAAGAACATAGAGCTGCGGGAACGTGAGTACTGCCTGAGGGGCCAAATAGGTCGTTGGGTCGATGATACTCGTCCAGATACACATCGTCTGCGTAAATACGGCTGGGAACCACCAGGCTGTCAAGTAGATGAAGAGGTATGTTATAAAAAATAGAAAAGAGAAATCTTTCAAATAAAAGTTCTTCTGTATGAAAGGAAGATGAGGAAGAGGAGGAAGAGGAGGCCATAAATGCAAAGCCGAATGAGCAGAAAAAGCGAAAACGTGACTTTGAAGATAACGTAGACAAGAATTCTTTAAATCAAGAAATAAATGAACTAGGTACATTTTTTAATATATATATTTTAAATTATAATATTTTTTTAATTTAAGAAACTATTAAGATAATGTATTTCTTCTTCTACCCCAGTACAAACTATAAGCGAGAAAAAATTGATCGATGACAACAAACAGACGCCGCTCATGGATAAGGCGAGGTCATGCATGGAGGAGTTGGGCATCAAAGACGCCCGTCTACCTGATTGCGAAGATGTCGAGGAGTTCCTATACGCACTTGACCTGCCATTTTTCAACTGTAAGGACGATGCTAAGGTCTTCAGGGGTGAAACATTGAAGGTAGAGGGACGGCTTGAGCAGCTCATCGATGAGGCATTTGCTGATGTTCAGGGTGTGTGTGATGAAGAAAAGAAAAACGAGGACTTTACACCCTGTATGTATTCGGTCATTTTCGTTCAATCAATTATATAAAACAATTTAATTTAAGAACAAAAAATAAAACCAAAACATTTTTTAATTCTCTAAGTGTCTTATGATGTCAATTCAACTTCATTATTCCAAGAGACAATGGCAAAATTAGAAGGTAATTCAATATGAAAGTATTTTAAAAAATTATTCAGGGTAATTTTTATTTCTTCAAATTAAAGAACTTGCTGAAAAGGAAAATCCTGATGGAAAGGGAGAATGCCTTATCTTTAAAGAAGAAAGTATGGGAGAAAAGAATACAGCCATCAAGGACTACCTGTTAGGTAAGAGAACCATAGTGAGGTCAAGAAAGCAAGTAAGTGTAAGCTATAGTCAGTAGGCAAGTGAGTGTGATAGAGTAGTTAAGTCATTGGCTAGTTTTGTGAGTAGGAGAAGTTTGAAGGAATGCACGTAAGAAAATGAGTGCTTTATTTTGACTGTGTACATCAATGAGTAGTTTGAGTGAGTCATTGTGAAAGTGTGAGGGAGTAGGTGAGCTAGTAGTTGAGTGAGAGAATGTTAGTAGCCGAATGCATGCGAATGTGACTAGGTGGGTGTGTATGAGCAGTTGCATGAGAGTGAGTAGGTGAGTGAGAAGTGTCAGTCATAATGTGTAGGGGAGTGAGTAAGAGAATGTGAGTAGGTAAATGAGTGTGAATGAGAGGATTTGAGTAGGTGAGTGAGGTGTGTGATTAAATCAAGTTCAGTGAGTGAAAGTGAGTAGGTGAGTAAGTAGTTCAGTGAGTAAGAGAGGGTAGGTGAGTGAGATTGTGAGTAGTTTGATGAGAATAAGTAGGCAGGGAATGAGTAGGCGACTGAGAGCATGTGAGTAGTTGAATGACTGCGAATGAGGGTTTGAGTAGGTGAGGTGTGCGAATAGTTCAAGTTGAGTGAGAAAGAGTGGGTAGGTGAGTTGATTGTGATAGTGAGTAGTTCAATGAGTAGATGAGTGGGGTGGGCGAGTGAAGGGTAGTAGGCAAGGTGTGTGAGTGGTTCAGTGAGTAAATCTATGTTCAATTTTGTGTCACGTTCGACCACCTGTTGAAGACTTGAGAAATTTAACTAAATTCTCATATTTATGAAAAATGCTAATTTGTTAAATTAATATACTTTTAATTAAATTTAAGTTACATTTAATTAGTTTTGTCATTAATCAATTGTGTTTTTGAAGCTCAAGACAAGGAAAATGTAGGATTCGTTCAAGGCCACCCAAAGTGTGAAGAGTTGAACAAAAAATTCACCGAGGAGTGGGTGAAGCGCCATGGCGACAAAAAGGGCCTTTACAAAACGTTGCCTGAAGAGAAAGAGGCTGGGGCAAGGTTCAGGATGAATGTCGAATCGTACGAGAGGGACTTCCTCACGTACCCGTACTACAGCACGAACGTATTCCAGCCTGATGCCATACTCATAAGGCGAGTCCTGTCCGAGATACCCGAATACTCAAACCTTGCCTTCTCAGGTACGACAGGGCTGTCGCTCGCCGACCAGGAGAAGATCCTCGATGACATCGACTCGTGCCGAGACGGCGAGTGCAGCGATTCGTCCTTGTACAATGAGTTCAACAGGGATGACACAAAGCTGTTGGCATATTTAAAAAAGGGCGAGTTTGTCGCTGCTAACGACAAAGGCATCGATGAAATAAATCAGTTCCTTCAAGACATAAAATCAGACATTCCAGACAACTGTGAAGGTATATTTTATTTATATTAAAATATCTGTATATATTTTATTTTATTTTTTTAAAAAGATTTTGATGTCGATCAAAATTATTGGGATAATTTGGACAACACGCTAATCCCCGAGTATATAAAACGAATCAACCTCGTAAAAGAGCCGTTTCAGTTTAATGAAGGGATTAAGGAACCTTTGAGCGAGTTCGAACTCGACTCAGACTTCGAGAGTGAATGTTCATCCACTGGTGAAAACATGCATGTCAGCAAGTACTTGAAGGGAAACAATTACAAAAATGCAAAAATTGCCGATAATATCACGGATTGGACGAGCGATGAAGAGTCAGATGATGAGGAAGAACGCGTCAACACATACACCTGGGCGCCTTTCAAACAATTCAATGAATATAAAGGTACATCTTTTTTATATTACAGTTAGTATTTGATTTATAATTTTTTTAAATATTATTTTTATTAATTAATCTTTTTACATAAGGTTTTGGTTGTAATGAAAAAGTTGGTGTGATGAGCAGGATTCGAAACCATGACCTTCAGCCGAACTAACTTTTTCATTTCAACCAAAACCTTACACAAAAAGATTAATTAATTGAAAGAAGTAATTTGGTCAATTGACCACTAAATATAATGGATTATTTTTTATGTTTATTTGGAGATTGTAAGATGCAGTCTGGTGTGACGTAAGTTTAGAAATGCATTTTCTTTATCATGCCAACGTTTCGATCTTTATTGAGATCATCATCTTCAGTGAGTACAAATAAGTTGATTGAGTCCTATCATTGTATAAATTCATTTTTTCACATCCTACATTTATTTGTATAATTTAAACAATGTTTATAAATCCCAGGCCCCTTCAATAAAGATTGAAACATTGGCACGATGAAGAAAATGTTTTTCTAAACCTACGTCACACAAGACCGCATCTCACGATCTCCAAATAATCATTAATTAACGGTCACTAAACACCACATGTTATTTTTTATAATAGGCTTTAAAATTGGAGATAGTTTAAAACTGGCGCTATGTCTGTTGAACACGTCGAATGAGAAGCGGTACAAGGAGAGGAGGATGGAAATCGTGAACCTTTGGATCATGGAGAACTTTGATGTGTCGTACGAGAAGCTTCAGAAGTGGGTGTTAGAGTTCAAAGAGGACATGCCGCACCACTTAGACCCATTTGATCACCCATTGCCCGAGGATGAGGCCGAGCTCGCCAAAGAGGGCGGTGTCGAGAAGCTCCTATCGAAGTTCAAACCGTTGGGACGGGATTTGACAAGGGAGGAGAAAGAAGAGCAGGAGGAGATGGAGCGTACAGCTCGTTTTGAAAGCGATGGACTACTACTGTATGAGAAAGTTGAGAAGGTCCGTTTAGATTTTTTAAAATTGTTTTTCACACTCTTAATAAAGTTGTTTTAGGAACACGACGAAAATTTAAAAATGTGTGATATTGGACGTTGTGAAGAACCAGATGACAGTGATGTCATTAAGCTCGGTGAAGAGAAGGCAACAGCACTCGGCGGTTCTGTTTCAAAAGTATTTTTTTTTTTAATTTTCTTCCCGTTTTCTTTTTCTAACTACACCTTTCTCTCAGATCTTGTATAAGGGGGCATATGCTGTACAAGCGAACACCTACAACCCGGTAGATATGAGCTTTATCAAACAGCCTGCACTCACATTTCCATTCGATCTGGACAACTTTCAAAAACGAGTCTGTAAAATTTTGATCTCAAATATAACAAAAAAAAAAAAGAAAAAATAATGATTTAAATTTCTAATTCACCATCCACAGGCGATTTTGGCGTTGGAGCAGAGCTACCATGTCTTCGTAGCGGCACACACATCTGCTGGCAAGACAGTCGTTGCTGAATACGCCATAGCGATGGCGAAGAGGAATCAGACGAGGGCGATATATACGTCGCCTGTCAAAGCCCTGTCAAACCAGAAGTTTCACGATTTCAGCAAAAAATTCAAGGACATATCGGTTGGTCTCATTACGGGCGATACACAGCTCAACGAATCGGCCAGGTGTCTCATCATGACGACAGAAATTCTCCGTTCGATGTTGTACAACTCGTCGGAGAAGATACACGACCTTGAATTTGTCATATTTGATGAGGTTCATTATCTGAACGATCCTGAGGTCAGTTAAAAAAAATTCTTATCTTTAGTATTATTATTTATTTATTTTCTTAAATTAAGAGAGGCCATGTTTGGGAGGAGTGCTTGATCCTTCTCCCATCGAGGGTTAAAATTGTAATGCTCTCAGCAACGGTGCCGAACGCGATCGAGTTCTCAACTTGGATCGGTAGGACGAAAAGGCGCCTTGTCACCGTCTGTACGACAAACCACCGTCCCGTCCCGCTCAAACACTACCTCTACATGTCGTCCGAGCAGTCAAAGCACTCGCACATCAGCGACATGTCGTGCCTTCTCAAGGTCGCTGACGGTAAGCTCAACCGAGCCAACTATGACAAGTTCATGCAGATATGCGAGACGGACAATGCGCAATCTATGAAGGAGAAACTCGCCGTCAAAAAGGCCGAGTCGGCCAAAAGATACAAGGATAGCAAGCGAAACTACAAGGATGATCCTGATATGGAACAAATTAGGAGAAAAAGGGCAAGACGATAAAGTTAAAACAAAAATAATAAAATAAAAATATATATTTTTTTTATTCCTGCAGGATGAAATGCTATGGACGAGGCTCATCTACATGCTCAAATCTGCAGACCTCATGCCTGTCGTCGTTTTCATATTCTCTCGTAAAAAGTGTGATGAGCTAGCGTCCCTCTGTCGTGTCAACTTGACGACCTCAAGGGAAAAGTGGAGCATACTGACTTTCCTCAAGATGCACATCAAAAAACTCGATGAAGATGACCAAAAATTAGAGCAGGTGATGTTTTAATTTATTTAGCCTTTGATAAATAAATAGATCCTGGGTAGTGTGTAGAGTCCAAATCCTTATTTCCTCATACGGTGGTTGACTCAATGTAGTAAATACAGTTTTAAGGTATAGGGTATGTTCAAAATCTCTTCATCACCTTTTCAAATGGTGAAAGACTGATTTAAAAACTCAATCAATGTCTCCCAGAAACTGAGAAAAAGTTGCGTGGACTTGGTTAGGGTAGTGAAGGAATAAATAAACAGCTGAGAAGATTACATCTTCATAGGTTATACTTTGTGTTTTTATGAAATATTGTATTTAATTCTACATACAGATAATTAAAACTTTCAACACGAAGCCTACCTGTGTTCTGACCCATTTTGACATGGCCTGATCTGGCTGCATGTGGTGTCCTTCGGAACGGCTACCTTTACAATGCTTCAATAAATTTTTGTAAATCAGCAAATGTTTGCTTTTCAGTGTAGAAATTCATATAATTTCAGATGTTTCTGGGTTAAACTTAATTCCGTTCTTGACTGATCATTGTTCAATGAGTAAAGCTTTATTTCCCAATTTAAATTGTTTCTCCGAATGCTAATACCAAGTTGTCAGAAAAAGCAAAAATATCCCCATCTGGCATGATCAGTGGACCTTTAATTACTCCATACAGGTTTTCTTTCTGTTTGGTTAGCCTGGGTGATTGTGAAGGCACCCTTTCTAACCTCGCATGTAACCTTACTGTTTAGGTAACTTTGTGTTCTCCCCAACTTCATCCGGTGAAAGATGAGGTGCATTGGACGAACTCACAGTTACCTCAGTGTCTTTCTGGATCCACATAGGATAATGTTCGTACTTGGTTAGGTGTGGTGGAGGAATAAATGAACAGTCAAAAAGGTTTCACCTTCATAGGTTATCATTTGTGTTGTTTTTATGAGAAACTAATAAATTTTACATGCATCCAATCAACATTTATGATAGGCTGGTAAATTGATTCGTTGACGATTTTCTCGAAACCAGAGTTCAGAAGAGCCCTACTTACCCCACAGCGATTTTTCTGTTGGTGAGATCTTAAAGGCACCCTTTATAACCTTTCATATAACCTCATTGTAGGCTTTAAGATCATACATAATCTCAACTTATAATCGTACATATAATTTTTTTAGTTTTTAATTTTATTTTTAAGATAAGTGTCATGAAAGAGCTATTGGAGAGAGGCATAGGAGTTCATCACAGTGGCGTTTTGCCCATTTTAAAAGAAATCGTAGAATCCCTGTTCCACCAAGGGATTGTCAAAGTAAGATATTTCTTTGGAAGTGTAGCAGATTTTGATAAAAACAGGTGGTTTTTTTCTAAATAGGTACTTTTCACCACGGAGACGTTCGCGATGGGTGTGAACATGCCGGCGCGCACTGTCGTTTTCAACACGATCGAAAAATTCGACGGTTCGAACAAACGCCTCCTGACTCCGGCCGAGTACATCCAGATGGCAGGCCGGGCCGGTCGCCGCGGCAAGGACATGGAGGGCAACGTGTACATAATGAACTGGCCAAAGCAAGTCATACCGTTCCACCACCTCCAGACGGTGATGGAAGGCAATCCGACCAAGCTGACGTCCCAGTTCAGAATATTCTACAGAATGATACTCATCACTCTCGCGAAACGCGAGATGATCACAGTCGACGCGATGATGGCGAACAGTTTCAGAGAGAATGACCAGCAGCTCAAGAAGAACGACTACAAGTTAGTTTTCTTTAAAAAAAAAATTAAACATCCTCCCATCAAAATTATTAATCTCTTAAACAATAAAAAATCTCCCAAAATCATTCATTCTAAAATGCCAACTGTCAATCCACAAGGCATTGACAATAGTCTCAGCATCCTTTTGGAAAAAAAAAAAAAAAAAAAAAACCGTAACAATTTTAGCGAATTTCCATCTGCGGTCAGATAAAGTTATAGTTTTTAATTTTATTGTTTTTTAAGTTTATTTAACGGGAAAATATGAATTATTTTATTACAAAAGTGATGTTAACGCCGTAGCTGCCCTAATTTTCATTTTAACATTTCCTTTTCTATTAATTTCAATGGGTAAGATAAAGGAAAATCGACTCAAGAAACTAGACAGGAGACTATTATTTTAAATATAACTTGATATATGAATAAATTTAAAACCTTTTCAATGGAAGCTAACGTATGAAAAGCACGACACAGCAATTCCTAGTCTTTTTAAAATAGGATACACCTTTTCATTATTATTTTAATTTTTTACTTTTTTTAAATTAATTTTTTTAAACAAAAACGTGACTTTCGGTCGCTCCGGCCTCTTTGATTGTGTGACTAGTGGAAGGGCGATTTGGCGGCCTTTACAAATTTTGAACAACGAATTAAAGGTCCCACAGTTGAATTATGAATTTAAAAAAATTAATATACATACCTTGACGAGAAGTTCGTGGAGTCCCTGACAATGGTCTCCAACGGAAAATGGGGAGGAGCACATCGAACGAATGATGTGAATAAGATACGAGCAGGCTGCTTCCGATGAAAAATCAGCAACCACGATCTTGTTGGTGACAAGGAAGAATTAATTGCTCGTGTGTGTATGAATTAATAGCTCGTGTGTATATGCGAGGTATGAAAATCCCTGATCGACAAAAAAAAAAATATGTACGATCATCTTTGAGCATGAAAGATCATGGTCTGAGCGGTGGGCCTTTGACTCAACGGTACCCAAGGTTAAACAGGTTAAACAAACAAACAAACAAACAATACCAAAAATAGAGATAATTTCTCAGATATTTATTTAAAAAAANTATATATATCTTTTTTTCTTTTATTTTGAAGAACTTCTTAATTGTAACAAAAAAATGAGAAAAGAAGGATTGAAATTAATAGAAAAGGAAACGGAAAAGTGAAAATTAGGACAGCTGCGGTATTAACAAGTGAAGTTTTATATTTAAGTTCGGAATCTGATTTCCATCTTGGTTAAAAGATGGCTTAATTAAAGTTCATTGGATGTCTGTCGATATGGGTGGTGGTAAGCAGGAATTAACCTTAGCCCACAGGCTGCTGATGATGGCCCAATAGCTCAAAATGTCCAAAAAATAAAATCATCACTTTCTTACTACTTCAACTTTCAGGGCAGACTATGAAAAATACGGGATTCGCGCACAAGTCTATGAAATCGATATTGACACTACGATGTCAGAACAGACGAAATCGATGCTTTCCAATTTTTACGATCAAGCTGACAAATTTTTCTCAGTTTGGTACAAGGACAAGGTATTTTTAAAGTTTTAATCTTTTTCTTTTTTAAATTTTAAAATTAAAAAAAATTTTTTTAAAGGAAAATTTCATAGGCAAGTTAGAACTTGAGGAAGGACGTTTTGTCAAAGTAACGTTCAAGAACGAAATTAACAGGATCGGCATTATCCTCGAGGTGAAACGCCCAACGAGGGATACCGTTAATTATATTGTCATAATGCTTAAGGCACATGTGAAAGTGTACACTGACATTGCGCCAAAGGATGAATCTAAGTTCACTGAAAAGGAGCTCAACAGGTGGTACAAAATGGTCTCAATGCTACCATGCTTCCATTTCCTGCAACCGTTCTCCGAAGACTGCTACTTCATTGCGACCATAAAAGCGACAGACATATTCGAGGTGTACAATGTCAAGTACAAGAGGGAGGAGCTGCACATGGCGTACTCCTACATCAAGCGAATGCCGAAGAATTCCTACGGCAACAAGTTCGTACCGGATGCTTACGAACACGATTGACAATTGGCTTGATTTTTTTCTTCTTCCAGAAATCTACCAAGCCAAGTGGCCAACTTGTGCAACAACCTTTTCTTCGCGAATCCGAACAATATGCAGACATTCACAGTATTGTTTAGGAAGACGGATATGGACCACTGGGACTTCCTGGCGAAGCTCAAATACCTCAGTGGACAGCTGACGATTGCTGCTTCAGCGCTGACCTATGCAGACTTTCAGGTTATACCTTCCTTTCCCTTTTTCATTTTTTTAATGCGCAAAGAAACTCATGTATTCATTTTTTCTTTAGAATCACTTTGAAAAAGTTTTCCTCTGGAAGGAGGCGCTCAAGAATAAAAATGAAACGAGAGATATACTCGAGAACCTGCAGAACAAGGCGCTCTACAGCAACATGATCAACGTACTCAAGGAGAAAGACTATATCGATGAAAACGAAAGTACGCAATCATTTCAGCACCACTTCTAGCGCTTAATTTGTTCTATTTTGCTTTTCAGGCGTAAAAACAAAAGGTTACATAGCCGCACGTATATCAAAGTACGAGCTTGTAGTATGCGAGATGCTGATTGACAACATCCTGTTCGACCTCGAACCGCCAGAGGTGGCAGCACTACTCTCGTTCCTAGTACACGAGAACAAGGACAAGAATGACGATGACAGTGACATATCGGATGATATGATCATCGCCGTACTCCCACCTAGACTGACCAAGGTACGAGCGATCCTTCTCTTAACTTTCCTAGTAGACCTCGATTTAGTCCTAGCTTCATTCAAAGCTTGAACATCTTAATATTTTCTCTTCCAAAGAACATGATAGTATACAGACTTGAATGGGATATATCCTTATTACCACTTCTTCGTACATTATACGGATCTCACCTTTGTACACTCCTGTCAAATTCACTCCCACCATTTTGAACTATTTCAGTCCTACTATAATTACTTTTCATTTTTAAGTCCAGAGTTTGTTTTTTTATTTCATTTGAAGTAGCTGAGTAATATCTTTTAGAACAAAGTAACTGTCATTCAATCTCACATCAGTATAACCGACAAATAATAGTAATAAATCTTCATTTGCAAGAAGCACATTACATGTACAATAAAAAAATAATATTTTGGTACATCTCTGCCTGTTGTCAAAAAGCAAAGCTTGTACAAGACAGCAGAAGTTTTTAGAGATCATCAGAGAAATAAACAGGATACATCTTTACAAAATTATAATAAAAAACAAACAAATAAACAAACATAATATATAATAAACATGAAAAACAAACAAACATAATACATAATAAACATGTAGCATGAAAAAAGGAGTTGACTAATGGAAGGGCAATTTGGCGGCCTTTATGAATGTTGAATGATGAATTAAAGGTCCCATAGTTGAATTATGAATATAAAAAAAATATTATACATACATTGAGAATTATGAAAAATGTATAAAAAATATTTTAACAAATGGGTCTGGATAAATGAGTTTCCCCTGTAATTTAATTATGGTGGGCTCTGTTCTAACTTACGTAAACAAAGCGAAGTGCTTCAACCCATTTAGACGTATTGTTAGTTTATAACCAAGAGCTAAGCATGTTCTCTACTTCCTGGTTGCACCTCTCAACTGGACCTTGACTTTGGGAATGCCATGGTTTACCATGGACTATCTTCAGCTCAGGCCACATATTACACACTTCTTTAACCACACCATTTGCAAATTCTCTTCTGTTGTCACTCTGTAGAATGCTTGGAGTGCCAAAAATAGTAAAAATATCTAAAAGATTGTAGGCAACCTCCTCTGCCCGTTTTGTTTCGAGGGGTCGCAGCTGAACGAATTTTGTCAGGTGATCCTGATAGATGAGAATAAATTTGTAACCTTCATCAGCTTGTGACTGCATGTCTATGAGATCCACCTGACATGAAGCATAGCCGTGAGAAAACTAACACACACGAATGAAACCAAATCTATCCGAACAAAAATCTTTCGGATTTCTTTGAGATTTTTATCACTTTGCTCAATGATGCAGTGCTATGCATAATGGCCGGTCAAAGTGAGAAAACACGAAAGAAAACACTAAATTAATCACATTGCCCATTTTCTGTGGTCATTATTCATATTGCCCGGTCATTGTGCACTGAATTGTTTGTTCATTTTGCCCGTAACACATCTGTTTTCAAATTATTCTACCAATGTTTAAGGTAGCAAATTTTTTAGTACTGCTGGTTTGATTCTGCAAAAGAAAGAAATCTACCTCTCACTCCTTATTGCCATGAGGAGTTTTTTTGTTTGTTTATGTTTTATGCTAAAAAATTACAACATAGAACATGATTTTCTTTCATGATTAGATATGTCCTTCTGGTGGTTTTCGATAACCCTTAGGTTGGTGATTTTTTTTTTTTTTTTTTTAAATATTCGTTAATGTTGGCGGCCAAAAACATTTACATTGCAGACAATGACGGAAAAATTTTTTGGAAGTATATAAAAATTATAGTTCCTTTTTGAAATTAAAAACTTTTAAATCAAGGTTTTTTCCATCGAATGAGGAGAACGCTGGAAAACGTGTTGGGCTGAGAAACGATGTGTAGAGTCTTCTCTTGATTTGCACGTTTTTTTAAAATCCCCTGTGCTTTTAAAAAAAAAGATAAAAGGGCATTACGTCTAAACTTTTTACCACCCACCCTTGATGACCGACCTGGATCTGCCCTTGACTGTCTCTGACTATCCCTTATCACTTTTTAGTTAATTTCTATAATAGACTTTTACTGTTTGCAATTAATGATCAAAGCGGACTTTTAAGTCCCAAGGTAAAGTTTCTTTTTCTTTTCAAGCTGAGTAATACTTCCTATAAGACCAATGAACCATGTAACCTCATATTATCAGGATCTCTCACATTTTTTTTTGCTTTGCCTTTAAGGCATTCAGCAAAAGTTCGCAAGAATATCCACCAGAATTAATTACTGGATACCTAAATAAATAAATGAGAATTACTAGACGGGGCTAACAACTGCCTGAAGCGTTTAGAGAGGACAAGGCCCCCCACTTGACAAGTGAACCCCAGATCCAACCCCGGGACCCGATCCCAGATCGAGGCACTTCTAAGGATAAATAGAATTACACATTAATATCACTGTCTTGGATAAATAGATTAACTTATATCATCTTATCGTCCCTACCAGATATGAGCAAACTTTGCCAACTAAATGGCTTGGTGACCTCTTTAATTCTGTGTACTCTGTTGAAAAAAATTTCCCTATTTGCTTCATACTCCGGGCAATGAAAGACATGTGTTTAATATTCTCTGGTTCGCCGCATGTTTCGCAATTTGCCAACTCTGCAGTTGATTCTGTGGAAGAACGACACAAATATAATTTGTTCTAATCTAGTTATTGATGAGAAATAGTTTTTGTTAGTGGTCTACGAAGGATAGGGAAAAGCAATTTGTGCACCCCTCCAGTACTCCTGCTGTTGAACCAGGCACGCCATTCTTCTAACCATTTCTTGTTAAGCGTTTGTTTCGCGTCAGTTTTTTGGTAGTTTAATATCATGATAGTCTCCGAACTTTGTCGCTCGCTTTGCCAATTGGTCAGTTTTCATTATTAACATTTTTTTTTAACTGTAAAAACTTTTAATTATGTTATTATTACATTATTAAACTTTAGAAAATTAATTTGTGATAATTAATGCTGTATTTCCAGGCGGTCAACAGGGTGAAGGAAATAATAAAAGATATTGAACAGTGCGAAAGGCGGAATGGAATCGATGACGCCTCAGGCTGTGAGGTGTTTAGGTTCAGTTTTGGAATAACGAACATCATCTACTGCTGGGCGCAGCAGATGGTATGGTTCCTCGATAATCGATGAAAAAACGTATAATGTTGATTTTTTAATTTTTTAAAGAAATTCACTGATATCCTGAAATTACCCGAAGCGTCGCAGTTCCAGGAGGGCATACTCGTCCGTCGCATACAGCAGCTACTCGAGATGCTCAAGGCCGTCGAATCTGCCGCCAAGGTATACAAGTATATTTAGACATTTTTAAGCGTTTTGCAAATGTTCAATTTTTTCTCCAGGTAATGGGCGACCCGACGATATTGGAGAAGATCCACGCGGCAAGTCAAACGATAAAAAGGGGCATTGTATTCGCCCCATCGCTCTATACGAAAGGGTTCAATGAGGAAAAAGAGGAAGAATAATGCCTTTATTTTTTTTTATGTACAATATAAACTTTTAATTATTGTGAATGTTTAGAATTTCTAAAAAAAGGAAAAAATATAAAAAGAAAAGCCTGGTTAGTTTTTATTCATTAACAATTAGCTTGGAATTTTTGTTAAAAGATATTCATTTATAATATTGTTTAAGTGGAACGAAAATTACTCTTGTATGATTTGTATGATGGCGTATATGACCTCACCTTCTTTGGTATGCTGAGTCTGCTCGTCTGCGAGACCTTCGACGGTCCCGCTGTGCGTGAGAAGATGGCGTTTGAGGCTTCCGGCCCTTGAACAGGCGTGTTCGCAGTAAGGGCACGCGTATGGCCTTTCACCCGTGTGTCTTTTCGTATGGCGTTTCATTGTGCTTCCGTCCGAAGTCCTGAATCCACACAGGGCGCATCGGAACGGCTTTTCGCCCGTGTGTATGAGCATGTGCGTCTTGAGGTTGCCGGCACGCGAACACCTGTACGGACAGTCGGGGCATGAGAACGGCTTCTCGCCCGTGTGAGTCATCATGTGGTTCTTCCAATTACTCGTCTTGTACGTCTTATATTCGCAGTCCGAACAGCTAAGAAGCCTCTTCTCGGCATTTTTCACCATTCTACAAAGAGTAAGAATTGTCAACCAATATAAAAATTATTACTATTTTTTAAGTTGTCAAATGGCAATAGCGATATAAAAAAGATGAATTACACAGAAATACACTGTATTCTTCTGTTAAGGCAAATGTGTGTTCCTTAGTGATCTGCTGTTTCATAATTCGTTTAGGCCGTGAGGAGTGGGCAAGAATGAGGTAGTTTAGAAAAACACGTTTTCCATTTTTTTTTTTTTTGCTGACGTTCCAACCTTTATTCAGGTCATCTTCAGCGCCTGGGTAAATTACAAAACACATGTCGATTTCAAAAAATACAATTTAAGATGTAAATACAGGTTTGGGTACAAACTTGGCCAGTAGTTTCTACATTCAAAATGGAACCAAAAAGAACTAATAACTATGCTCCGAATCTCAACAGTTATTCAACTTTTTCTGATTTTTTAAAATTTCATGACCTTACTTAAAATAAACGATAACTCCAAACTAAAAGATTGATGAATCCGTCGATACCATTGAAAACTATGTTAAATTTCCAATAAGATCGATACTAAACTTGTAAACGTTCATGAAATGAGCGTTTTAATAGCCAGAACTTCGAAAATAATTTTTTTCTTCAAAGTGGATCGGTGGTGTAATTTCTTTTTTAATTAATTTTTTCAAAGATGAAGAAATTCCTTCAACCACGGTTTTTTTCCTTTCCTTCATCAATTTCTTCATCTTGGACAACAGTAATTAAAAGAATTGCACCACTAAAAAGGATATTAAATGGAGTACGTTTGTGAAATTTGCTGGTCTCTAGGCTTCGAAATAGTTCAAAATCGCCATAGTAAATTTTTCCACTTGGAAATTTTTTTTTCCGAACTTGTGGCTACTAAAATGCTTATTTCATGAAGGTTACAAGTTTAGTATCAATCATATCTTATTGGAAATTTAACGTAGTTTTTGATGGTACGAATTTGTCCACAACCTTTTAGTTTTGGAGTTATTTATTTGAAGCTAGGTCATGAAATCTTAAAAAATCAGAAAAAGTGTAATAACTCCGAAACTTGAGATTCGGAGCGCAGGTAATTAGGACTTTTTGGTTCCATTTTGAATGTAGAATCTTCTGGCAAAGCCGAACACCCTGTATAAATTTTGAACCAAATATTTCATACTCATATCATACTGTGGTGCTCACGGTTCATATTGGTTTTGTGTGAAAGTGTTGTGAAACATGAATTTGTATTTGCTGTTTTTGTATCATTGTGACAGGGTGGGCGACATTTAAGGTTTAATAGTTTATTTGCTTCATGATGTTGGCATAGCTCCGGTTGAGTTTGCACATATCTGTTCTGTCATTAACGCTGTGTGTGTTTCTGTTAATGTAAACCGTTTCTAGAAAGTTCCATTTGTATTTGTTTTAAACACATTTAACAACTTTCATCTTCGCTTACAATTCACACATGAAGTCGAAACAGAAAACAAAATACCATTCCTAAATGCACTTGTAATAAGACAAACAGATGGCACACTAATTACAGATTGGTACAAAAAAAAAACCAAAGAACACTGATCGCCACCTCAATTATACATCGCACCACCCCAATATTAAAAACGGCTAAAGGAGGAAGGACAGAATCATATCTGTAAGTCATGAATCCTTTTACCTAAAAAAATATTTAAACATAAATCTTAGTAACAATGACTACCCTAAAATCATAATCAACAGAATCATAATTACCTAGCACTACACAAAACGGCATCCTCCACAGTACACAACACATGAACACAAACATACAAAGACAAACCAAAATACATATCCATTCCATTCATCCACACATTAGTCACACAAATTAAGTAAATTTCTCTCCTCAGAACAAGTTAAAATAGCTTTTAAAAACCATAAAACAGTACACACAATTTTTTTCCAAAGTCAAAGACCCAACACCAACAGCCTACAAATCCGAATTGACCAAATTATTTCTTTTAATTAATTGTACTTTTTATGTAAGGTCTTGGTATGAAAAAGTCAGTGTAACGAGTGGATTCGAACCCAAGACAGCTCAATATGCCGCTGCTCTAACCATTTGAGCTATTGTGACTTCAATCCACTCGGACACCAACTCCCCATCTCAACCTACAACCTTTTAAATTTTCCCTCTTTTTTGCCATTTTTCACTTAATTATATTTTTCCCTTTACCTCGTTTATTGTCCTTAATAATTAACTTCCTTTCAATTATTGAATGCCGAATCACAAATCCAATCCAGAAAATCTCCATTCTCGAATTCCTTTGAGTTAAATAAAACCGCCTATGATAGAAGAAATTTTCCCAAATTTACTGCCCATCCTATCACATACAGATAAAAATAGCAGAATAGAGATACGTTTCACAACACATTAACACAAAAGCAATATGACAACAAGAGTAGCACCACAGTTTATGCGAGTATGAAATACTCGGTTCAAAATGTGTATTTACACCTTAAATTGTATTTTATTCATTGTCATCTTTTGTGATTTACCCAGGCCCTAAAGATGACCTGAATAAGGCCTCTTTCAGATGTCATTTACCTGGTTGACTCTCAACTTACTGCCATGTGAAGACTCTTTCTTCGCTGGTTTCACAATGTTAGAACCCGAGGAAGCAAGAGCAATTCTTGTGCTTGCTCTTCTGCAAAACGAACAGCGAAAAAGGAGTAAACCCAGTAAGGAAAAGTGTCGGTTTATCTGTTGTCATAAAATTGGGAAACGGGCGGTTTCTCACAAATACTATTGTTCTACTTCCATTCAAGTTTCGCTTCTTTTAATTTTATCGCTATACTCACACCTTGAGCACATATAAATCCAGCATGTAAATTATAGTTAAAAGACTCCCACCAAAAAGGCATAAATGTCCAAACTCCCCCGTGTTAATCCGATAAAAGAAGACGGATCATCGTGATGTGTGATTAGGCCGACCCGCACGACCCCGAAGTCTTCCAGGCTCCCAAACTCACCTGTCCCATCCAAATACGGCGATCTTACTTGGATTTTCAAAGCTCCGCTTTTCTGATAAAGTGAGCTCCCTGTGATAAAATTATTGATTTTCTCCCACCCAGATCCGAGGCAAGCGCGCCACTTACAAAAAACCTTTTGGATTTTCCATAATTTTATTTGTTAAAAAAAAGAAAAAAAAAAGATTTCATCCTTTTTCGCTTTTGGAATGCCTCAAACGGCCTTTCCTCCTACGTGGGGCTTCCTCGGACCTCGCCTTCTTCAGCTTGCTCGACAGGTACGTGATAGCCTTCCTTTCCTCAGCTCTTTTGACCGTTTCCCTCGAGTCGGTTTCTGTGAGGCGGCATTTGGAACAGCACTTGCAACACTCGCTGCCGGAACAGATAAAAAGCGTCCTTTGATACTCGATTATAAATAAAAAAACAAAAAGAAACTACCTCTGGTCGATTTGCTTCGACCTGAACCCTTCGATGATCCTCTCTTGTTTCAGGAGCTGGATATGCAGAGCGGCGTTGTTGTAGGCGTACTTGGCCGTCCTTTCCACGAGTTCGTCCATTCTCCTCTAAAAATATAACAAAACTGCCGTTCGATCAAAAACTTAAGTCAAAAATAAAAGGAAAGAGCCTAACTACAAAAACCTTAGTCGGACGGGGGGGACCCCGGTTGATGAATGATTGAGGGAGTCCGACTCGTATTTCCCAAGCTAGCGGTTTCGGGTTCGAATCTAGTCATCATAATACGAAAAAAGTCTTTCCTTCGTCCGGGAAACCTAAGAGGTAGTTTACTTATACCTTTGTTCTAAACATGCGTTAGGCGTTCCAGATGTACCTCAGAAGCTGCCTGCATTTTGGAGGCCCACCTTATAGAGGGGTAAGAATGTAATGTAGTGGTCCGGTAGAGTTGTTTTAGGGACCGGGTTTTTTGGTTGCCCTGAGGAGAGGGCATGTGTGGAGCCGGTGGTCCAAAGTCGGTAGTCTCGGTAGTGAGCGAAGAGGATCGTGCAGCAGGGAGCCTCGTCGGCTGAGAACCTCATTTCCTGGAAGAAGGCCGCGTTAGCAGGGTAATGTGTAACCCGACTTGCAGCACCCCTGTAAATAGGCAGGGGCCCAACCACATCACACTCACTAATGGAGCATGTCACAACTAGCCTCAGAAGCAAGAGAACTCCCAACATCAGCCAGATTTTCATCTAGCTCATCTACACTAGCCATCGGACTCCAACTACTAAGGACCACTGGAAAAACCAGTCAGTAGTTACGTTAGCTTTGGCTGCCACCTACACTAGGCTCTTCGCCTGCTAGCGGTTGTAACCAATCATCGGGTAAAAACAGCCAATCTAAATAGTGAAGAAAGGAAATACTTTTACTAACATATGGTAGGTGTAGACCTGATGTGGAGTGCCACCTGACAAGGTTCACCTATGACCCAGTGAAGATCAGTAGCCAAGGCGGGAGCAGGCCTAATTAGATCCTGTGTGCTAAGGCGGAGACCTATAACCGAGACCTTCGCTAGGGGTTGCTCGTGCTCTTGTCAGTTGAACGCGGTCAGGAACAACCGACAGGGTGAGCTGGGAGAGGTGGTGCTTGACACTGAATAAGGTAGTCGCCCTAATAACAGACCCAATGGAAAAGTCGTACTCAAGAGCAGATTGGTTACCAAACAAATAGGCAGGTCAAGGGGTACTGGAGCTTGCTTTCAAAGAGGATACCAAACAACTTTGGGACTCGCAGAAATGGAAGCAAAGCACGGCCTGACAACCGAGTGGAACAGTAAGTCCTCAAACGTTAGTTAAAATGACCCAAGTATTTTTGTCTTATACCAAGGGACCATTTGAAAACTACAATGACTCACATTGTCCGATCTCGTCCTCTTTTCCGACGTGAGGAACGTAACTCTCGCCTCGGCAAGATGCCTCATGAGCTGTTCTATGACCTGAAAACCCGACCACTTTGTAAGTTGTGTTTTTGTTTTATTTTCTTTAACGTACCATTCCGTAGACGGTCTCGGCCTTCCTGAGCCGCCTCAAGAGGCAGTCCTTGTACTCGCGGAGGCGGACGAACTTATCGCAGACCCGGCACGTGATGACCCTCTGCCTGTAGAACATGGCCCTGACCCTGCGCAGCTCCCCAGCTAAGGAATCACCCTGACACTCGTCTTCTGTAAAGTCGGTCTGCAACGACTTGTCGGACCATCTTTGCTTCGAGCACATCTCCTTCACGTACTCCCACTTCTGCTCCTCGTAGAAGGCCCTTTCTTCTGCCAGTTGCCCTGAAACGCAAATTAAGATTGAACTCCGTTTACAATTGGCCAGGTCGATGTTTCTATACTCTCGAGCTCCTTGATCGCCCTGGCCTGACGTCTCGTTTCTTTAGCCAGAGTCATGTTCTCTCTGAGCAGTTCCTCCTTCTCCTCGTCCCTTTTCACTTCGGCCTCTCCATCGGACCGTTCTCTTGGCATCTTCTCCGGCGAGATGTCCTCCTTCGACAGCGACGCCCTGGGATGCTTCCTCTTCCTGGACAAAACGGGGAAAACTTAGTAGCAGTGACCCGCCTCTGTGAAGGCCCGGCGTTCTCTGACAACCTCACCGTCCTCCTTTTCGGCCCTGGTTTCACCGAATACATGACATCCGTGATAACAATAGTAAACAATATTTCCTAAACTACGATCACCGACCCTATTATTATTTTTAGTCAAAGATTGCAACGGCAAAACATATGTTTAATTTGTTTTCAGTCATGGCTCTAGAAATCTACTCCAGTTGAGTTCCTAAACTAGCAAACCTTTCCCTCCTTTATGAAAAATTGAAAGGTCGTGGTTCAGTTTTTCTCCTTAAAGAAAACCTCGAAAGAACTTGGTGATGATTGTTGAGTTTTCTCTTTTTCGAGTTCTCTACTTTCAGAAAAACTCAAATGATGATGGATGAGTTCATTCCCTTGTTCGAGTTCTCTCCTTTAAAAAAAATCAAAGGATGATGGTTGAGTTCTCTCCTTTAAGAGAATGGATTAATTATCATTTAAAGATTTCCTTTGAAAAAGATTAAATTGAATTCCTTACTGTTGTAAATGTGTGGGCAAATGAAAGACAACTGATTTAGAAGAAAATATATTTTTTATATAATAAATAATTAGGACAACGATAATGACATGGGGGTTTTCTACTCTCTGAACTTGGCTTTGACGAACCCGGGTAGTGGAAGGATATAAAGGACGAGGTTGGCGATGGAAGCGGAGACGGCGAGAGCGAGAGAAGGGCTCGGCCCAGAAAACACGTCCGACCTGGACGTCGACGAGAAGATGACGTTCTCCGCCGATCTGCAGCCCAGGGGGAAGAAGCCGGAAGCGTCCGAGGTACAGTTGGAAGGCAGATCCGCGAAGAAGATGCTCGTGAGGTGGGTCGAGGCGAAATGGGTCTGGGTCATGTACGACGTGTAGAAGAGCCACTCCGGCATACCCGCAAAAGACCTGCAAGGTTTGGTTTAGAATGAGCTCGAAACATCGGGGGGAAATTGTTTACCTCAGGATGCCGGACGCGAGGACGAGGTAGAGGAGGCAGAGGAGAGACGAGGCGATGGCGGCGTTGAAGCTTCTCCTCACGACGCTCAGGAGGGCGATCGTCTGCTGTTCCGCTGTGAAGTAGCACGTCCAAAGGAGGCCTGCGAAGGCCATCCATTCGTCCACCTTAACCATCCCTGTCGCCCTGAACAAAAACAAACAATTTCATTTTTTCCTTCCAAAGACATCAGACACTCACTGGAAGAGGATCCTGGACGAGGCGGCCACGGTAGCGAGCGAGAAAGGCAAGGAGAAGAGGTCGTAGACGATGAGGAAGAGTGGGCCCGAATATATGCCCTCCTGAGCCTCTTGGTAGTACCTCGTCCTGAACACCGAAACTACAACACACCGACACTATAAACAAACAGTCAAAAACATGACCAACAAAATAAGGCACTCAACATACAAGTATAGGATGTTGTGATCGATGAACAGATGTACGAGCCGAAGAGGCTGAAGAAGAGCACGCCCAGCTTGTTCACGGGCGGATTGTCGAAACTCTGAAAAAATCAGCGTGGATTCAGTATATACAGTTCATATAGTGTATGCTCGCCTGAGTTATATGCTATTGTCTAACACCCCTCTAAATATGGGGTTATATTCATGTTTTCTAAACCTAAACAAAAGTTATGTTTAGTATCTAAAACCTTGATATGTGGAGGTTGTATGAAAGATTTTTAGGAAATCTAAACGTAGGGTTGTATTCTCTCCACAACTTAATGCATGGAAGTTATATGAAGGGGTTTTTCCGGCTAGTCTCTTTTTCAGAACTAAAGTTAAGGTTATATGTTTGAATATCTAATGCATATGATATGAAGGTGCTTTTTGCAAGTCTAAGCTTAAAGTTATATGTTTGATTTTCTAAAACTTTGGTATAGGGAGTATATATGCAAGATGTCTAACCTAAAGACGAAGTTATATGGTCGAGTTTTGGCTTTTTGCAAGTCTAAGCGTAAAGTTATATGTTTGATTTTCTAAAACCTTGGTATAGGGAGTATATATGCAAGATGTCTAACCTAAAGACGAAGTTATATGGTCGAGTTTTGGCTTTTTGCAAGTCTAAGCGTAAAGTTATATGTTTGATTTTCTAAAACCTTAATATAGGGAGGTTGAATGGAAGATGTCTAAGCCTAAACATAAAGTTATGCGTACTGTCTAAAACCTTGATATGTGGAGGTTATATGTAAGTTACATATTAAGTTTGTAAAAACCTCGACATAGGGATGTTATAAATTTTTCAAATCTAAACGTAAGGTTATATACTTGTTCATCTAAAACCTTAGAATGGGGATGATATATGCAAGTTGTTCAAATCTAATCATAATCTTATATGTTTGTGAACCGCAAACCTAGATGTAGGGAGGTTATATGCGAATTGTCTAAACCTAAACACGAAGTTATATGTTCGAGTATCTAAAAACCTTGACATAGGGTTGTTATATGTTAATTTTTTCAAATCTACATGTAAGGTTATGAGCTTGTTCAACTAAAACCTTAGAATGGGGATGTTATATGCAAGTTGTTCAAATCTAAGCATAAAGTTATATGTTTGTGAACCCAAACCTTGATGTAGGGAGGTTGTATGGAATATGTCTGAACCTAAACATAAAGTTATGTTTGTGAACCCAAACCTTGGTATAGGGAGGTTATATGCAATGTCTAAACCTAAACACGAAGTTATATGTTCGAGTATCCAAAAATCTTGACATAGGGATGTTATATGTAATTTTTTTTCAAATCTAAACGCAAGGTTATATGCTTGTTCGTATAAAACCTTAGAATGAGGATGTTATATGCAAGTTGTGTAAACCTATACACGAAGTTATATGTTCGAGTATCCAAAAATCTTGACATAGGGATGTTATATGTAAATTTTTTCAAATGTAAGTTTGAGTAACTAAAAAACCTTGATATTGGAAGGCTTTTGCGAATCTCAACTTAAGGTTATGTGTTGAGTACCTAAAAACCTCGATATGAGGGAAGTTATATGTAATTTTTATTGCAAAACGTATGGTTATGTATTTGAGTATCTACAGCGTGAGGTTATACTAGCTTTTATTCCCAACTCAGTCAATTAACTCAACTTGATTAATAGATTACCTTAGTGTTGATGTAAAGTGAAAATACTAGGAGGCTGAATATGGGGAAGAGGGTCAGCCTCAGGACCATATGGGCTAGGCCGAATTGGGTGATGTTGAACGTCGATGCCAAAAGTCTCCTGAAAACAATTAAAAAAAAAATAATGTTATCTTTTTTTAAAGTTTTATGAGGCGTCAGATACTCACTGGTACAAAGTGGCCGAGACCTGGAAACAATTGGGCTTTGCCGGTTTGAACTCAGACTTGATGGTCGAAGGGACGTTGGTCTGACCGGTGAGGTACGAAGCTCCGACAGCTTTGAACTTGTCGACCAGCTCGACTATATGGGCGTGTGACTCCATGAAACGTTCCCTGCTTCTACGATCGACCGTCGAAAGACAGACTAGGACGGGGAAAATAATGTTTTTTTTTCTTCAAATACTGGACTTTTTTGTCGTTACTCACGGTAGTACATGAGAGGGTTTTCCGTCGCCGGACAAGGGAATCCGATCGAGTTGAAGTACTCGAGCATGAGACGGGTCGGGCCGGCGTAGAGGATGTCTCCTAAGCAGAGGAAAGCTGCACGGTCCAGGAAAGGGAAGACGTCCGACCTAGGCTTCTCCATGGTCAGTACGACCGCTCTGCCCCTACGCCTTAATATTTCCCAGACAATTGGTCACAAGATCAAATAAAGAACGTCAAAACACATACCTTGCGTAAGAAGAGAGTATAGAGACTACTAAGTAAGTCGATAGAGGGTCCAGGTCTGCTGTAGGCTCATCCAACAAAAGCAGTGCTGAAGTATTGAAAAAATAGGTATATTAGAGATGTTTTATTTATTTTTAAAAAATGAAAGTTAGGTTACTGGGGTCTTTGATGAGTTGGATGCCGATGACGAGCCTCCTCCTCTGGCTTTTGTTGAGCGATGTGACGGAATGGTGTGCCACCTGATTGAGTGCCAGGTCTGCGAGCATCTGTCTCACCCGGGTCGAACACGTGTACCTCGACACCTTTTCGCCCGAGCTGAGGTTCGCCGCGTAGTAGAGCGTCTGCTCCGTGTTGAGCGATGGTATGAGGTCTGTTCTGTTGGTGACGTAGCCGCAGCATTTCTGGAACACGCTCAGGGTGAGGGGGCTCCTCTCGAACAGGATCTGGCCCCGTGTCGCGCCTCGTGCCCTTCTTGACACGACGTCGAGTAAAGCCCTTTTACCGCTCCCTTTCGAACCGAGGACGGCGAACACCTCGCCGGATTTCACCTCGAGGGTCACGTCTTTGAGGATGAGGCCCGTCTCGACGTTTCCGAACAGCCTCTGTGTCAGGGAACTCTGCCCAACCTGCGGATATATCGGAACATGTAAGGCACAAACTACATTCTAAGAACCGTCCAATCTTATGTTCTGCCCTTAACAGATAAAGGCTGTAATAAAATTCTATCTTGGCAAAGCCACCCCTTCCAAATTTGGTTGTGTACGATCTTGGTGGAAAAAAGTCTATAAAAGAATGAGGTTATGTCCTATCTTGCCAATGTTACCCCCATCCAAATTTGGTGAGTACTATCTTAGTAAAGAACTTACATAAAAGAATGATTTTGAATTCTATCTTGGCATTGTCACTTTCCAACCAAATTTGGTCGAGGACTATCTTGGGCAGGATTAAAAAAATTGTAGTTGGGTAAAAAGAAGTTAATAGAAATTAGGTTGAGCACTATCTTGAAAAGGAATTTAGATATTTTTTTTGTATTTGAATACCATCTTGGTGGAAAAAGTCTACAGAATGAGGTTGACCTCAATGACCTTATTATCTTGGGGAGGATTTTACATAATGTTTTTGTAGTTGAGGATCTTGGAGGCAAAAGTCTACAGAATGAGGTTGAGCACCATCTTGGGCAGGACTTTACATAATACAATTAATTAAGGTTTTTAGTTGAGATAAAAAGTCAATGGCACGAGCGGGATTCGAACCCACGATCTTCGGCTAGATACGCCGCTGCTCTACGACTTGAGCTGTCGTGACCTCGATCCACTCGGACACCAACTTCCCATCTCAACCCCACCTTTTGAATTTTCCCTCCTTTTTGCCATTTTTTTTCTTTTTTTCAAATGGCAAAAGGGAGGGAAAATTCAAAAGGTGGGGTGTGGTAGAGCAGCAGCATATCTAGCCGAAGATCGTGGGTTCGAATCCCGCTCGTGCCATTGACTTTTTTATGTCAACTAAAAACCTTAATTAATTGTAATATATTAATTGGTCAAGCGGACCACGAAATTAGCGAATTTAATGAATTTGAAGTTTTACATAATGTTTTTGTAGCTGAGTAAAATCTTGGTGGGAAAAATTTCATATAAATTAAGCTGAGCACTACCTTGGGCAGGATTTTACATGGTTTTGTTTTTGTGTACTATCTTGATGGAAAAAGGGCTACAGTATGAGGTTGAGCACTATCTTGGGCAAGATTTTACATAATGTTTTTGTAGTTGAGAAAATCTTGGTGGGAAAAAGTCTGCAGAATGAGGTTGAGCACTATCTTGGGCAGGATTTTACATGGTTTTGTTTTTGAGTACTATCTTGATGGAAAAAGGGCTACAGTATGAGGTTGAGCACTCTATTTGGCAGGATTTTACATAAATGTTTTTTAGTTGAGTAAAATCTTGGTGGCAAAAAGTTCATAGAAATTAGGCTGAGCATTACCTTGGGCAGGATTTTACATGTTTTTGTAGTTCAGTACTATCTTAAGGCAAAAGTCTACAAAATGAGGTTGAGCACTGTTTTGGGTAGGATTTTACATAATGTTTTTGTAGTTGAGTAAAATCTTGGTGGGTCTACAGAAAGAGGTTGAGCATTATCTTGGGCAAGGCTTTACATAATCTTTTTGTAGTTGAGCACTATATTGTATGAGAAAGTTCATAGAAATAAGGTTGACCATTATCCTTGGCAGGAATTAAATAAATGCTTTGTAGGTGAGTACAATGTTGATAGGAAAAAGTTCATAGAAATAAGTTTAGCATATTTTGGGCAGGATCAAAACAAGTTGAGTTCTATCTTAGCATGAATCCCTCCCATAAAAACGTGGATGAGCACTATCTTGGGCAGGGAATTCTACACAACAACAAGGCCGAGTTCTATCTTGTTAAGAATCCTTGCAATCCAAAGGTAGTTGAGCACTAATCTTGATAAAAATTTCTATAAAATATGCGGTTGTAATCCAGATAAGACTACCTCTCCAAGAAAAGCGGTCGAGTTCTGTATTGTCAATAATGTTTCAGAGACAAATCTGGTTGAGTACTTTTGAATGTTTCGATTATACTTCGTCGGCAGTGGTTCCCACGGTTGAAATTATTGGTCGAGTTATGTTCCAGTTATAATTCAGTAACGGAACTGGCTGAATGTATGCGAGCTCTGTCTCTCATCCTGAGTCATGCACATGGATTAGAAAGGGTTCAGTTTGAACCTTTTCTTTTAAGAATGACAGGGTTTTACAAGATTTATGCTTTTTCTAAGGCGAATTTTTGTTTGTTTTTTAGTTTTACGGTTATAAGCTGGAAAATGGATGAATGTTGATTAGTTACGCGGTGAGACTTGAACGGTAGGTCAGCGGAGGAGGTTCGAGTCAAAACAATTGAGACAACGAAAATAAAGGAAAGATTTTGATGTTTGTCGTTTATAGTTTTGTCGAATAGGACGTTGAGGTTGGCCAGTTAGCCATGGCATTTAACTCGGTTCCGGTTAACGGGTTCAAACACGGCGGGGTTTGTCATACATTTTACCTATAATATTCGATGAAATGACTTACTTCTGATTGAAGATGTTTTGACTTCTTACCTGGCCCGAGTGTGAAATGTTCCTCAGTTCGAGGATCGTCTCAGTCGCCACCATCCTCCCTGGTCGGCGTTAGGCACGCAGCTGTCAGTGAGCTCTCGGTTCGAGGACTTTCACACAGCGTTGCCAGCTCGGGCTCGACCCTTCCTGGCCGACTTTCGGCTCCGACTGTACGGGGCAGGGGTTAGGCAATACGCACAGCTTGGCAAACGGAAAAAAACGGTCAAGAAGAGAATCCAAGAAAAGACTTGGTAAAACCATCTATTGTAACGGAAATCATGTTGATTTTTAACATGCCCATGATTATTTATATGTCCATAGACCCAGTGTCACGAGAAAACTCACATTTTGGTCTAACGCGTCATCTGCTTTTCTTAGGTGACTACACTCAAAAGTTTCTTCACTAAATTAACATCCCAGAAAGATCGAGTTGTATTTAGGGTGTGCCATGCTGCATAGACATTAACGAGAAAACGCTAATGGGTCCGTGTAAGTCTCGAGCTTTTCCCTTCTGTGACAGCGTTACCGTGCTCGTACGTGTATGACGGATAGCTGCTGCGTTACTGTATCCTATGGAAGAGAAGCCAAAAAAGCCTTTGTAAAACCATCAATTGTAACGAAAATCGTGTTGATTTTTAACATTTACATTACTTTTTATATTTCATAGACCCAGGGTGAGAGAAAACTCACATTTTGGGCTAACGCGTCATCTGCTTTTCTTAGGTGACTACACTCAAAAGTTTCTTCACTAAATTAACTTCCCAGAAAGATCGAGTTGTATTTAGGGTGTGCCATGCTGCATAGACATTAACGAGAAAACGCTAATGGGTCCGTGTAGTCTCGAGCTTTTCCCTTCTATGACAGCGTAACCGTGCTCGTATGTGTATGACGGATATCTGCGGTATATACTGTGTCCTATGGAAGATGATGGATCATAAAATACCTCCTTAAGCTAGCCAAGAGATTGGGCTCTATCTAGGCAGAAAAATGCCGTAAAAAATGAGTTGAGTTCTATATTTGGAAAATACTACCCTATCCAAATGTGGTTGAGTACCATTTTGCTAAGGAGCATAAAAGAATGAGGCTGAGTTCCATTTAAGCAGGAACCCCTCCCATAAAAATGTGATTGAGCACTATTTATCTAGAAATGATTATTTTAATTCGTTAATTCTTGAACTTTTAAAGTAGAATTTATTATAATGTTCCTGAAAAAGTAAAGTTGGCTTACTATGCCGTTTGTTATTAAGTTTTAATAAAAGAGGGGGGGAACTTGTAACCTTTATAGATTTTCCTCTCCCCCGGTCCACATGTGGATTTCTTCCATATGTTCTTCCGCTGTTGCACAGTTGGTAGAGTTTTTCCTATAAAAAAAGGGAACGGTTTTTGTGTGGAAATTTTCCCTGGGAAAAGAAAAACAACGGTGAAGCGGAGACGCCCGCCCGCGAGCTTCATCCATGAGGAGGAGCGAAAGGCTGATCCTCAAATGGGACGAGGAAGCTGATAAAAAGCCCAAGGCCAAAAAACCCGTGAGTCAAAAATGAATTTTAAAAAAGGTTTTGTATAAAGAATTTAAAAATTTTAAACGAGGAAAAAAATCAGGCGAGCGAAGAGAATGGTAAAAAAGTGAAGACACCCCAGAGGGACAGGGCGAAAAGATCTGTTATCAAAGTGAGACATATGATTTTTTTCTTCTTCTATTGTTTTTTGTTTTGCTTGTGTCAATTTTTCCCCTGTGTCTTTTTGACCCCGCGACAAAACGTTCCAAGGTGAAAATCAAAGAGACGTCGAGAAGCGGGGTCGAGAAAGTCACTAGGTCCGGCAGGAACTTCTCGCCCTACGAGATCTACCCTACGGTCTTCCAGAGGCGGAAGGAGAGGAAGGCGATGTTCAAGAAACCCCCCGAGGGGGAAAGCGGGACGGAACGGGCCCAGGAGGAGCCTCCGATCAAGGAGGAACCCTCAGAAACGGAAAAGGAAGATTCAGATTCGTCTTTCGTGAGTTTCGAATAAAGTGTATTCACTTTGTTCTCTTTTTTCTCTTCTTTTCTGTACTTTTAATTATTTTTCTTAGATAATATACGTTTTTTAAATTTTTAAACACTATCATCTTTAAGGGGTTCTCTATGCGCTTGGGTATAATGCTATATGTATTTTTTTTAACCTTGGTTTTTTTTTTTCAAGGAGTTCCCGGACCCTCTTCTTTACCCAGAACACTGGCCCAGGATCAGCCAGGACCTACCGGGCTGTGAGGACATCCGCGATTGGCAGGACGACTCCACACTCGTGGAAGTGGAACACCCGGGCAACCTGAGGACTATGCTGGCCGACACGGACAAATACGCCTTCAGGTGATTTCACCTCCCGCCCCTTTGACTAGTTTATATTTTAAAAAGGCAGTTTTAAGGTCTTGCTTCAACAACATTGCCAAGCAGATAGCGAACTTCGATAGGTACAGGGGGGCCGAGACGTCTCCGGGTGACCCGGGCAAGTACGACGTTCTCGAGGCGCAGAGGTCCGAGGCGAAAAAGTTCTACAGGAAGAAAATCACCGATTCAAAACTCATGGAATGGCACAGGTAAAAAGCTAAAAAAAAACCAAACAGATTTTTTAGTACAGACAACGGTTCCAAAGGTACAACCTGATAGCTTCTAAAAAGTACTCACCGGTCAAGGAAGAGATACCACCAAGGCAGGTGATCAGGGTCAGGTCATCGTACTGCCACGCCGCTGAGATTATCTGGAGGATGAACAGAAATTTCAAACTGCCCACTGTCGACGACCTGTTCCCCAAGGCGCCCCTCAGGATCAGAAAGGTCCAGTTGAAACAGATTAAAAAAAAATAAATACCTTTTTAATCAATACGTTCAATTATGTGATCAAATCGGTCGTAATTACTTATAATTGTGCTTATGAATCATTCAACGACAAGACGAATTGGGACAATTTGACCGGTGTTAATTTTCCCGACATTTTCCCACCATTCAATTATGCATTACGATTGATCATGATTCGTTTAGTCGGCCGATTACATGTCAAAGAAAGGTCGACAATTTACTTCTAGGCCAACGTATATTTGCCAGGATGCTTCACTCGAAAAAGGTCCATAATACACATTGGATTAGAGTTTCCATAAAATTCCATGCATATAAAACATATATTTAGTCATATAAATCGAACAGTAATGTTTTTCCAGCGAAACATTATATCGGTTTATTCACCTAAGAAAAGTTGATGGTTCTTCCACTCGTTTGGATATCAGCTCTCTAATAACCTGGGACATAAAAGTCGTATATTTGTGTCGCATCATAAACCAGCGAAGATGCATAGTTCCACTTTAATATTTCATTAACAAAACGATCTCATGGTGTTCTCACCCAACAAAAATCGATGACATGTCTAACACTTGCATATGATTTTCCATAAAATTCCATGCATATAAAGCATATATTTAGTCATATAAACCGAAAAATATTGTTTTATAAGCGAAACAGTTTCTCGATTTATTCACATAAGAAAAGTTGATGGTACTTCCGCTCAGAAAATTGCAAAATTGCATAACAGCTCGCATGTAATCTGAGGCATATACGTACAAGATTTATATGCCATCATATATTAACCAGGGTGTTTGAATCTACTTTAATAATTTATTATCAAAACAATCTCTTGCTGTATACTCCTAAGAAAAAGCGATTGCATGACTAACACTTGCATATAAGTTTCCATAAAATTCCATGCATATAAAGCATATATTTAGTCATATAAATGGAACAATAATGTTTTATAAGCGAAACAATTTCTCGGTTTATTCACCTAAGAAAAGTAGATGGTACTTCCACTCCTTAGATATCAGATCCCGTGTAATCTGAGGCATATACGTATATAACATATATGCTATCATATAGTAACTAGGATGTTTGATTCTACTTTAATAATTTATTAACAAAACAACCTCTTGGTATATGCTCCCAAGAAAAATCGGTAGCATGAGTAACACTTGCATATAAGTTTCCATAAAATTCCATGCGTTTAAAGCATAGATTTAGTCATATAAATGGAACAATATTGTTTTACAAGCGAAACAGTTTCTCGTTTATTCACCTAAGAAAAGTTGATGGTACTTCCACTCCTTAGATATCAGATCCCGTGTAATCTGAGGCATATACGTACATGACATATATGCTATCATATATTAACTAGGATGTTTGATTCTACTTTAATAATTTATTATCAAAACAACCTCTTGGTGTATTCACCCAAGAAAAATCAATAGCATGACTAACTCTTGCATATAAATTTCCATAAAATTCCATGCATATATAAATATTTAGTCAGATAAATCAAACAGTAATGTTTTACAAGTGACACAATTTCTCGGTTTATTCATCTAAGAATAGGTTTATTCCATCCTTTGGATATTAGCCGTGAATAATGTGAGACATAAAAGTCGTATATTTGTGTGGTATCATAAACCAGCGAAGATGCTAAATTCTACTTTAATATTTTATTAACAAGACAACTACCTGTTGTATTCACCTAAGAAAAGTACATACTACGGTCAACCTCTTGAATATCAACTCCCAGATAGTCTGAGGCATGTAAGTCATATGCTTATATGGCGTCATACAATCCTAAATTTTTTTGATTGTACTATTTAAAGTAAAACAAGCTCTTGTTGTGTAATCTGAGGAATATATGAACGTGATTTATATACCATCATGTCACGTTTGATTCTGCTATAATATTTTATTAACAAAACCGCTATTCGCTTAAGAAACCTAGTTACGATTGTCATCCCATTTGGATATCAGTTTCCTTATGCCTAGGCTAATATTTATATGGGATTATATATAATCCAAACTGTCTGATAGAACTGTAATATTTTATTAGTAAATTATCGGTTGATGTGTTTACCTAAGAAAACTCGATGGTCATCCCTTTGAATATAACGTTAGAAGGTATTAGACAACATAAGAAATGAAACAGTTTTGAAGAAGTGTTTTATTATATGACTTGTGTGCGCTGTGCCTAGTTTTTAAATTAGTGTACAGCTTCAATTCATCGATTTGAGTACCATGAAGTAGGAATAGCTCGCGTTGACCACCTGAAGACAAATTTCTTTTTTATACAGGGTACCGCTTAGAAAAAAAAAATGTCACCTTACATCCATGAGAGTGACGAAATTAAGGGGGCTCCAGCCCTTGTAGGTGATGACCAAAGGTTTGACGGCCTGGCACATCATAATGCGAATCGCCTTACGTTCCTTCTGGGGCATGTTGTACCACGGGGTGTCGTATAGGCTTTGGAAAAATCTCACACCCTAGAGAAAAAGGATATAAGGTGGTGGTATTTAAAAAAAAGTTAAAGGTCTACCTCGTCTTCAAGCCTGTCGCCGACGTAGTTGGCAGTCGCGATGACCAAGAATGTCAGGCCGACGGAAAGACCGTTGACTATGACGAGAAAGAGGTCGGTTTCGTATTTCTGTTTTGTAACTTTTGTATTATTTTGTCTGTTTTGTTGAGTTTCGATTTATTTTTTTGCTTACCACTAAGACTGTATAGGCGAAGATGGTGATGGCTAGGGATCCGACTGTGTTCTGCGATGCCATCGGACCTCCTAGTAGTTCGATCATATCATCTGTCAACCTGAATGTATTTTTATTGTTTTGTTTTTCCTCGTGGTTTGGAGTGGACTTACCTGAGAACTTCGTTGTGCTCTTCGATGATTTCGCGAAGTTCGGCCGGGTCCGCACCTTTCTCCCCCCAAGACTTGACCCTCTCGCTTATTATCTCGACCTCGATGCAGGTGTATATGACAACCAAGTAGGTGAGGGAATCGAATCCGAATACGATCATGGCAAGGTCCATGCACCAGAGTGTCGTGAAGACGTTGGAACAGTAGTAGTAGAAAGTTCTCTTCGGCTCTTTGTCCATGAAACCCTGGTTCGGGATGGGCGTCATGAAAGGCTTATCCGAGCCTGTGAACAAGAAAAGGTAGGCGTCGTAAAAGTATGGCATGATCTCATAGAAGAAGACGAAAAGGAAGGTGAAAAGTGCGTAGACGGCTACGACGATCCATATGGGCCTCGACTTAGTTTTGAAACGTTTGATGTGCTCTTCTGAATCCCTTCTCGCCACGATGGCCCTGAGCCTCGTGTATACCTTCTTAGCGAGGTCCCACTCGAAGAAGAACGAGTACGCCATCGGGTCGATGAGGGTCGCACCAACGGCGAAAAGGGCGTATTTCGACAGGCTATCCATGAAACCCGAGAGGAACATTGAAGTGAGTGGTAGTGGGGAAAGGACCATGAGGTACGTGACGCGGAATTTCTGGAGGAAAATCTTGAGACGAGGGTATGTCGAGAATTCCTGCCACTGTCCCGCCCAGACCATGATTTTTCTTATCATGTCGAAATCCTTCATGTTCTCGTTCATCTCGTACCGCCTGCCAATATCACAATAGTCCAAATAAAATAGAAAAGTCCTTAAAAATTAATCAGCTCGAACAATTAATCCAATATCACCTACAATTTTCTGATCGATAGTCATATTTTATAAACGCACATCAATTAATTTAAATTATTAAACCGATACAATAGGGGGAAATATATATATACAATACATTACATATTCTACGACATGGTTATCACGGGGTTTTCTTGGGTGAAAACAACAAGAGCTTGTTTTACTAGTAAAATAGTACAATTCTATAAAAAATTTTAGGATTGTATGACACCATATAAGCATATGACTTACATGCCTTAGATTATCTGGGAGTTGATATTCAAGAGGTTGACCGTAGTATGTACTTTTCTTAGGTGAATACAACAGGTAGTTGTTTTGCTAATAAAATATTAAAGTAGAATTTAGCATCTTTGCTGGTTTATGATACCACACAAATATACGACTTTTATGTCTCACATTATTTGAGGGCTAATATCCAAAGGATAGAATTCAACTATTCTTAGATGAATAAACCGAGAAATTGTGTCACTTGTAAGACATTATTGTTTGATTTATCTGACTAAATATTTTTATATGCATGGAATTTTATGGAAATTTATATGCAAGAGTTAGGCATGCTATTGATTTTTCTTGGGTGAATACACCAAGAGGTTGTTTTGATGATAAATTATTAAAGTAGATTCCTCAGATTACACGGGATCTGATATCTAAGGAGTGGAAGTACCATCGACTTTTGTTAGGTGAATAAACCGAGAAATTGTTTCGCTTATAAAACAATATTTTTCGGTTTATATGACTAAATATATGCTTTACATCCATGGAATTTTATGGAAACTTATATGCAAGTGTTAGTCATGCAATCGATTTTTCTTAGGAGCATACAGCAAGAGATTGTTTTGATAATAAATTATTAAAGTAGATTCAAACATCCTGGTTAATATATGATGGCATATAAGTCTAGTATATGCCTCAGATCACACGGGTGTATGCAAGGCATCGATTTGTCTTCTTCTTCAACACAGCTAGCGGTTCTTTTTGCTAATGTAAAACGACAAAAGTATCAACAATTTGTGACGTATTACTTAACTTTTGCACTTAAATTCGTCCATTATTTCTCACGATCTAGAAGAAAAAGTTTATTAAAAATTCTCTTAGTTTTCTTTGTTTTCCCTAATTGGGCTTAATTGCGCCTCGGCGGTTGGTCATCGATTAAGCAGTTGAAGGTAAGTTTAGATGTAATTGACGTTCATTAAGCCCCGAGGAGCCGAGGAGAGATGAACGAAAATTTAAAAAAATTGGAGGTCATCAGGTTCATAATGAAACTGAGCGGCCAGTGGCAAGAGTTCGACTCTTTCTCAACGGTCAAGGTGTTCCTGCAGAGATTCAGGCTCTGGTACATGATCGCCGTCACGCCTTTAACTTTCATATCCCTTTTCTTGTCCGGTTTCAAAGAGAGCCTGTCGAAATATTCACTTTTTAGCGTTTCGGCAGCTTTCATCGGGCCGATGGCGTACGCTCAGTTGGACTGGGGCAAGTCCAAGTCTGTATACGACAAACTGAAAGAAATGCTGGCGAGGAGGGACCGCCAGGAGGAGATCGACTTCATCAAAGAGAGGACTAGGTTGATCTGGTTCTGCGTCAAGATTTTCGGCACGTGTTCGACCTGCTTCATAACGACATTCGACATCCTGCCTTACTTCTACGACTTCTATCTGTACACGGCCGGGGTCGAGAAGCCTTTCATGGTGCCCTTGCCTAACACGGGCTATCTTGGGGAAAATCCCAAGAGGAGCTTTTATTATTATTTCGTCAACGTCGTCACGTCTCTCTGGTGCGCCAAGATCTCCGTGGTAGCTTTTGGTTACGAGTCCTTGGGCTACTTGTCCATCTCTTACGCCTGCGCCGAGCTCGAGATAATAAGCATGAGGATCAAAAAATGGGGAGAACTCAGAAAAGAGAGCGGCATCGAGCTGAGAGACATCATCGATGAACACCGTCAGATTTTAAGGTAGGAAGAAGAATACACAAGCAAAAACGAACAAAAACCAAGTATTTGCAGGTTGGCTCATGAACTCAAAGAACTCTTCGGTATGGCTATGGCGTCGCAGAACGTCGTGGGCGCGCTTTCCCTCACCCTGTACGCGTACACAATCATGGTGGTAAGCCCCAACAAAACATATCCCAAACAAAAAACTAAAACCACTTTCCAAAAAGGAACTGGGCGAGGATGTCCTTCAGGTCGTGGTGAACGCCTTCTGCCTCGTGATCGTGACAGCGCTCATTTCCGCGGCTAACTTCATGGGTCAGAACCTCCAGGACAAGGTAGGCCGACCGAACCGATCGCAAAACAGCCAGTAACGTTTATTTTCCAGAGCATGGAGCTGTTTAAAAGCTTATGTGACGTGCCATGGGAAGAGATGGAGCCGGCGGTCCGGAAGGATCTCAACATGATGATACGGCAGGCGAAGAGGCCGATGGTCGTCGACTACCGGGGCAGGAGTCCACTCAACCTCGTCACACTCATGGGGGTAAATTCGATTTACCAAAAATCTTGTTCTCCTACTCCATCAACAACCGAGCTTCACCTAATCCATATCCAACTAAACTTTTCCTTGTCCGTGAATAGCCGAACATCATCTTCTCCATATCCAACCAAACTTTTCCTTGTCCATGAATAGCCGATCATCACCTTCTCCAAATCCAACCAAACTTTTCCTTGTCCATGAATAGCCGATCATCACCTTCTCCATATCCAACCAAACTTTTCCTTGTCCATGAATAGCCGAACATCACCTTCTCCATATCCAACCAAACTTTTCCTTGTCCATGAATAGCCGATCATCACCTTCTCCATATCCAACCAAACTTTTCCTTGTACATGAATAGCCGATCATCACCTTCTCCATATCCAACCAAACTTTTCCTTGTCCATGAATAGCCGATCATCACCTTCTCCATATCCAAATAAACTTTTTCTTCCCCAGGAAGAATGCATCTTCTTCTCTTTCTCCATCGACAATCAAACTTCTTTTTACCTTTGAACCAACAATCCTCTCTTTTCTTTCTCCATGAACAGTTGAACAACACCTCCGTGGCTAATCAAAATGTTCTTACGTGACCAACGCATCTTCACTCTTTCATTCATCACCTTTCAAGGTTCTCTTTCTCCATGAACAACGCACCTTCCTCTCGATCACCAGGAACCCTGAACATCACCTTTTCCATACCTTTTTTCTCCATCATTCTTCTCCCGGAAAAGTCGGGGTTCATGTCTACTATGAACAGTCGAACTTCTTTAATCTTTTATTCTATAAGCGACAAACTTCTCCTTTTGCCAACAGGAAAAATTCCTTTAATCCTTCTAGAAAATTTTGAGTAAATAAAATTTTATTTCTATTTCATTGAAAATCTTTTAATAATTTTTTGTTTGTTTAGATATTCAACGCAAGCTATTCGTACTTCATGATGCTTAAATCAATGTATTGAAGGTGACGAAAAAAATAGGGCAAAAGGTTTTTATTAAGGAAAATATGTAGTTCTAGATTGGCACACTTATAAGTGTAATAGCAATTATATATTGATTTGATGGGCTTATGAATAGAAAAATAAACTTGATTTTTTTAAATCTGAAAAGTGACTATGCCCGTTCCAACGCTCAAACTTTTAAACTGTGGAAAACACACCGCTGAAGAGACGTGTTGAAAGCCCGAAACAGCGAGGAACGCCGGACCGTGAAAAGACAAAAACAAAACAGCACCAGATCAAGCTGTTTATCGTTTATTTGACGCCATATAAATATATGCTTTACACGGCTCAGATCCCACGGTATGTAGTATACAAGGGTTGGGCGTGTCATGGGACTATCTTAGGTGAATACAACTACCGGCTGTTTTATCGCCACATTAGTACTGATCGATCGAGCAGTTTGGAGTGTATTTATTAGCGTGTAAATGTTTGTGTTATACGTCTAAGATGAAATAATACCAGGGCTGAAGTTTGGTGATTTGACTAATGTACTTATTTAGATGAGTAAAATTGGTCTGGAAGTTTTCTCCGTCCATTATTTCTCATGACCTATAAAAAAGTAGGGGAGTTAGATTAAAAATTCGTTTACTTTTTCTTGTTTGAACTAATTAGGCTTAATTGCGCTTCGGAGGTTGGCAATCGATGAGGATGTTTTATGGTTGGTTTTACCAGTTATTATAGTAGAGGAATGATGAATGACTATTTTAAAAACGTGGTGGTCATCATGATTCAAAATGAAACTGAGCGGCCATTGGAAGGAGTTCGACTCTTTCTTACGTCCTGCAGAGGTTCATTGATCCTCCTGTTCAATTACTAAATCCGGATGCATAGCGATAAAGCATAAGCCATAAACCAATAGTCTCTTTCCTAAAGTGTGATGAATCATTAATGATTGCAAATCCTAAAATTTGAATATCAAGGGTCAAGAGTGGGGAGAACTCGGAAAAGGGAGCGTCATCGTGCTGAAGACATCACCGAATAACTCGGTCAGATTTTAAGGTAAGAAAAAACAAACGAAACCAAGCTTTTACAGTTGGCTCATGAACTGAAGAAATCGCAGGATGTCGTGGAAGCTTTGTTCCTCACCGTGTAGGCGTATACAGTTATGGTGTAAGTACATAAAAACAAAACCTCCGCAAAAACCTTAATTATTTTCAAAAGGAAACTGAAAGATGTCGTGCTGGTCCTGTTGAATCATTGCTAACTTCCAGGACCTCCAGGACAAGGTAGGTTGACGGAACCGATCGCAAAACATTTATTTACCAGAACATGGAGCTTTTTAAAAGATTGTGTGACGTGACTTGGGACGAGGATCTCAACATGATGGTCAGGCGATGGTTGTCGACTACATGGGTCCGCTCAACCTCGTCATTCTTCTGGGGGTGAAGAGCAACGATACATCCATATTCACGAAACCCTATTCTTCTTCTTCCCACACAAACGCTTCCTTCTTCACGATCAAGACATCTCTTACTACGTGCAACAAATGTAAGTTGTTCTACTTAAACCTGTAAACCTCTCTTTCTCCATGAAGAAACCTTCTGTATAGCTGATCATTACATTTCCTTCTGCCCAACTACATAACGAATATACCTTGTTCTACAAAACTTCTTTAATAATCGAGCATCCCATTCTTCCTGAAAAATGCAGCTTCTTTTCCTAATTGCAACACCATACAAAACCTTTTTTTGAAAATATAACTTTTTACTTCTCTATAACCAACGCATCTTCCATTCCATGAACCTACGAACATCAACTTCTCCTTATTCAATGTAACCACTCATACTATGAACTTACGAACAACACTGTCTCGATAATGTAACCTCTCTTTCTCCATTACCTACGAACATCACCTTCTTCACTTCCAATGTAATCTCTTTTTCTATGAACGTACGAATATCACCTTCTCCCTATCCAATGTAACCTCCCTTTTTTCATTAACCTACGAACATCACCTTCTCCTAATCCAATGTAACCTCCCTTTTTTCATTAACCTACGAACATCACCTTCTCCTAATCCAATGTAACCTCCCTTTTTTCATTAACCTACGAACATCACCTTCTCCTAATCCAATGTAACCTCTCTTTCTCCATTAACCTACGAATATCACCTTCTCTACTTCCAATGTAACCTCTCTTTCTCCATTAACCTACGAATATCACCTTCTCCATATCCAATGAACCTCTCTTTCCATGAACTTACAAATATCACCTCCTCCATATTCAAGGTAACCTCTCTTTCTCCATTAACCTACGAATATCACCTACTCCATACTCAACCAAACTTTTCCTTTCCAATGAACAACGCATCTTAATCTCCTCCATAAACAGTGAAATAGCCTTTTTTCATGAACTGAGCAATAGATTTTCTTCTTCTTTATGACCAACGGACCTTGTTCTCCTATTCCGTCTATGAAAAAGTATCTATCTCTCTATCTTTATGAACAGCCGAAAATCACCTCGTTCATCCAATCAACCATTTACTTCTCCATGTCAAACGGACCTTGTTCACCTAATCCATCAAAAATTCGGCTTCCCCTTCTCCACGAACGACCCGACCCATCTTCCTCTGCATACTTCATGATCAGCCTAACATCACTTTCATCATATTCAATTAAATTTCTTCTTCATGACCGACGTATTGAAAAGAACAGGAAAAGTAAGAAAAAAATAAAAGAAGTATTTTAAAAGCATTTTATTAACAAAACAATTTTTCAAAAAATTTGTTATTAATTTCAAAATTAGCACAGTCGAATCATTTGAAAGATTATTACTTTTTGTTAATTTTTTAATAATTAGAAAATAAACTTTTTTAAAAATCTATCCATAAACAATTAAATAATGAATAAATAAATTTTTTTTACAAGCTAATCATAATAATACTGATACAGTATAACGGTCTTTTTCTTTACAATTTTAATTTTGTGTGCTTTTTATTCGGTTTTATTTTACATATTTTCTTCTTCTGTCAAAAATAGACGATTGATCTGCTAACTCAGCGTCTGTTCCTTGGTGTCTTCGTCGTGCTGAGGGACCGGGGACGGTGACGGGTTCATCGCCTCTTTCAGGATGGCCCTGATCTCTTCGATCGGCTTGATGAGGGCTATGAGGACGTCGTCGTCTCTCCTCTGCACCGAGGGGAAAAAGGAAATAAAGAAAAAGAATATAAAACTGATAGAAAATTGCCTCCCGGGCCGAGAAGGGGCTCGGACACCCACCTGGAAGAGGATCTCCTTCTCGAAATAGACGAAACCCTTCTTTTTTGCCGCAATGAGGAGGCCGACCACTTTGTCATTGATCCTGGTGTAAATCTGACAAAGAAAACAACGAATTAGAAAACAACAACAACAATCAACAGCCGCAACCGTACGAAAATGTATGTAACGTTTCATATTTTAACATGATCGAACACCGGGCAAACAGAGAAAGTTCTTTTTCAATAAACTTGGAAAATTTCAGCTTATCTCATCTAAAAAAAATCTTGAAATTTGAAGATTAACTTTGGGCGAAGAGAGAAAGTTTTTTAAAAATAAACTTGGAAAACTTGAAGATTAACTTGTTACTAACTTTGGGCGAAGAGGGAAAGTTTTTTAGTAAACGGGAAATTTGAAGATTAACTTGTTACTAACTTTAGGCAAAGAGAGAGTTTTTTTTAGTAAGCTTGGAAAATTTGAAGATTAACTTTGGGCGAAGAGAGAAAGTTTTTTTTAGTAAACTTGGAAAACTTGAAGATTAACTTGTTACTAGCTTTGGGCAAAGAGAGTTTTTTTTAGTAAGCTTGGCAAATTTGAAGATTAACTTTGGGCGAAGAGAGAAAGTTTTTTTAGTAAACTTGGGAAATTTGAAGATTAACTTGTTTCTAACTTTTGGCAGAGAGTGAAAGTTTTTTTAATACTTTTTAAAAGGATAGTTCCTACTCGCAGTAAGTTGTTTTGCAACGATCCGGATTTCGAGCCTTTTAGCTCATCATCAGGTTGAAGGACTTCCACAACCACGTCTCTCGACATGAATTGCCAAAGTGGTCAAAAAGTATTGAACACCACACTCACTCCATCATTTATCATTTCTATTAGTTTTTTTTAGTAAGCTTAGAAAATTTGAAGATTAACTTTGGGCGAAGAGAGAAAGTTTTTTTAAGTAAACTTGGAAAACTTAAAGATTAACTTGTTACTAACTTTGGGCGAAGAGAGAAAGTTTTCTTTAGTAAACTTGGCAAATTTGAAGATTAACTTGTTAATAACTTTGGGCAGAGAGTGAAAGTTTTTTTAATAGTAAACTTGGAAATTTGAAGATTAACTTGTTACTAACTTTGGGCGAAGAGAGAGTTTTTTTTAGTAAGCTTGGAAAATTTGAAGATTAACTTGTTACTAACCTTGGGCGAGAGAAAAAAGTTTTTTTAGTAGGCTTGGGAAATTTGCAGATTAACTTGTTACCAACTTTGGACAGAGTGTTAGTAACTTGGGCAATTAGAGGATATTTTTAGAAAACTTTGCAAAACTTTTACTTAACTTGTTAGTACTTTTTTTGGAAGTGAACGTGGAAAGTTAGTACCATTAAAAATATTTGTTTAAAGTTTTTAGTAAACTTGTAAGATCAGAGCTTAACTTGTTAGTAAAGGTGGGTAAATAGAGAATTCGTTTAGTAAACTTGGGGCACTTGAAAGCCTAACTTTGGGGAATCTTCTTAGTACGCTTGGAAAAATACTAGATTTAACTTGTTAGTAACATTGAGAAATTTTAGCTTTGTAAACGTTGAAACCCCCACCTTAATTTTTTATTACTTGGAAAATTTTAGTTCATCCTAAAAGAACTATTAAAAAACAAACTTCGCTTAAAGTTTTTAGTAAAATTAGAAATTCGGAGCTTAACTTGTTAGTAAACTTGGGCAAATAGAGAAGTCGTTTAGCAAACTTGGGGCATTGTAAGCTTAACATGTTAGTAACTTGGGAGAATCTTAGTTTAACTCTTAGTAAGGTTGGAAAAACACTAGGTTTAACTTGTTAGTATCATAGAGAAATTTTAGCTTACACTCTTTGTAAACGTGGAAAACCCCAGCTTAATTTGTTATTAAATTTGGAAAATTTTAATACATCCTATTAGTACTATTAAAAAAACTGCTTACAGTTTTAGTAAAGCTTAGCATGTTAGTGTTATGGGGAATTTTAGTTTAACTGTTAGTACTCTTGGAAAATACGAGGTTTAACTTGTTAGTATCAATGAAAATTTTTAGCTTACCTAGCTAACCTCTTAGTAAACGTTAGAAATCCAAAGCTTAGCTTGTTGGTAGCCTTAAGCAAATAGGGAAAGTTTTTTGTAAACTTGAGAAATTTGAAGTTTTTGTTGTTAGTAACCTAGAGGAGTTGTCAGATAACACTCTTAGTATTGTTGGGAAAAGTAAAGTTTAACTTTTTAGGGTGAACCCTGCCACACTGCTTAATTTGTACTCATCCTATTCCAAGCAGAAAAAAGGCCAAAATTTTGAAAGGTTAAAAATTCATGTTTTTTCTGACAAAATGTTGAAATTGAAGGGGGTTTTTAGACCCAATTAATAGCGAGTTGGCAGCGGGATAGATGACGAGAGCCGACCAATTTCCTGGTACCAAATAAAAAAAAAAAATAAAATAAAATAAAGAAATGCGGCGATCAATTTGGTGGACGAACGGCGAGAAAAGCCATGGTGTAATTTTAGCCTTTTTGGCCCCGAACCCACTTCGGATATTATTCTGAAACCGAAGGTCGCTCCGGGTCAGGAATGCACGGACGAATCCAAGGCTTGGGGGTTCTAATTCCGACCCGAGGAAACGGCCTTCCGCATCTTCGACATTTTTCTCATGTCAACAGGCTGACTAATCTGGACATAGCAAGAGACTGCCATGGAATTACTTTTGACTGGTCAAATCACCTAGACTAGGCAACCTTTCCAAAATGTTACAACATGGAGTATATGACCTCATCTAACCATCCCTAACCATATCCTTACCTGTACGCCGTGGTTACACTTGTATTCTATTTATCAAGGGGATGAACATAAATCACAAGATTTATTTCGTCTTTGGCTTGTCATTTGGAAAACTTGGAACACCTCATTGGGTCTGGTCTCTTTATATATGTTTATTAAGAAAAAAGGACTCTAAATCCGGAGGAATGCCATCTCCCGGTTGATGCGTCTGGTCCCCTGTTTCCTCTCTCACTCTCGTCCTTTTTCTCACTCTTAATCCGTCTAATTCTCGCCCTATTTAATCCGTTTTGACTGAATTCTTGGCACCCGTTTTCGGATTATTTCACAGCCCGGCTGTGAGGAACGCCTTAAAGACCGGACGATCCTCGAGGGAGGCCGATCGAAACACGCCAAACCCAACGGTTCCAAATTTTCTAAATTCGTTTTTTATTTTTAATTTCTCCACTTCTTCGAACACATTACGCGAATTCCCTGCCTACGCTCGGGGTTTTTTTCTCCTCCTGTTTTAACCGTTTTGCCCGATGTCTTCTTGGCCGAGGCTGCCGGTGACCGGCTCATTAATGCAATTATAACGCGGAGAACAAAGAGCGCCTGGCGGTGGGCCACGTTCGCTCGTCGCGGGACGAGTCATTCACTGTCTAACCGTTTCGTCACGCCGAGGTCAATTGATCAAACGGTATAAACCAAAAGATAAAAAGGACCAAAATGTAAAACGATGGAATTAGGGCGGAAACGATACAGTTACGCAACACCCCTAAGCCAATCTGTACCAATTTAACCTCCATGTGTATGTAAATATAGCGTTTGTAACGGACGTAACATCTTGATCATCATAACCTGTTACGTTAGTTTGAGCATGTGACTTGGGCTGCTTTGGTACACAAAATATGACGAAATAAAATAAGGCTAAGTCTTGACGATTACACATGTAACGCAGATTTTCTTTGTTTTGTATGTGATGAAATTGATGAATGGCTATATCGTAAGAGGTTAGATTGAGCATGAGTCTTGGACTGCTTTGGTACACATAATTTGACGAAATAAAATAAGGTTAAGTCTTGACTATTACACGTGTGACGTAGGTTGCTTTGCTTCGTACATGATGAAATAGATAAAGTATGTTTTACATATGATGATATAAAAAAAGGTTAATTCGCGACAGGTTATATTACACGTGTGACGTTGGTTGCTTTGTNCAATATATAACTTAATTAAACTTCTATTAACTCGTCATATGTTCAACAAAGGAACTATCACATCAACTATATATATGTATATAAAACAAAGCAACCAACGTTATATGTGTAATATAACCTGCCACGACTTAACCTTCTTGCATTTCAAGCCTGATATTTGCGGTTTTTATTTTGGACTTTTGGAAGATCATATAGAAATATCACATTTGATTTTCTCTTGATTAGGGTCGTATTTTTTCCAAGTTGTTATGCTTTATTCTTGTTGTTTTAACTTTGCATATATTCATTAAGACAAATTTAACATGAAAACCCCTGATATTTGTCCTTTTATTGAGTACCTTTCGAAAATCATGTGGAAAAATTATATTTGATTTCATTTTTATGTTTCTCTTTTGTTTTGGTTATATTTTTGACTAGTTATGAAGCTTTATTCTTCTTGTTTCGGCTGCGTATATGTTTTATGTATACATTTAACCAGAAAAAGCTTGATTTTTGCGGTTTTATAAGACTTTTTTGATGATCATAGAGAGAGAGATCAGAATTGATGCCATTTTTAGGTTTTCCTTGACTTTGGTTGTACTTTTTCCTACTTGTGATGCCTTATTCTTCTTGTTTTGACTGTGTATATGGTTTTTGTATATAATTGTATCCAAAAAAGCCTGTTATTTCCGGAATTATATCAAATTTTTTGATAAATGTTTTTCCCAAAGTAGCGTACATCACACGAGTAACATAACCTATCAAGACTTAACCTTCTTGTATTTCATCATATGTTTAACAAAGCAGCGTATATCACACAAGTAACATAACCTGTCACGACTTAACCTTGTTGTATTTCTTCGTATGTTTAACAAAGCAGTGTATATCACACTTGTTATATAACCTGTCACGACTTAACCTTCTTGTAATTCATGGTATGTTTAACAAAACAACCTAAATCACATATTGAATATAACATATTCTGAGAAAGCCAGAAAGTTTTCCAAGTTGATTATTTTTGATATGGATGTATGAAACAAAGCGACATGTGTTTTATGTTGACTATTTCGGCCAATGTACCTCTTTGGTGCGATGTCGAATGCAACCCATTTTGTTTAGTGGTCTATTGACCAAATAATTACTTGTTTCAATTAATTATTCTTTTTATGCAAGGTCTTGGTTGAAATGAAAAAGTTGTGTCACGCGCGAGATTCGAACCCACGACCATTCAGTACGCTGCTGCTCTAACCTCTTGAGCTATCGTGACTTCGATCCACTCGGACACCAACTTCTCAACCTACAACCTTTTGAATTTTCCCTCTTTTTGCCATTTTTCAAATGTCATGTAATCAGGATTCGATTCTCAGCGACTTATGAAGTGGCCAAGGGAAGCTGTTATTGAAGTGATACTTATTTTACCGTCGTGGGTTCCAATCCCGCTCGTAACACTAACTTTTTCATTTCAATCAAGATCTTACATAAAAAGAATAATTGATTGAAAGTTGAATATAACTTTTGGTGTCATACTTTTAAGCTATATCTAAATAAAGTAAACATATGAACCATTGCCAATTCTCGTCACTATTGTACTGACTCACTCACCTCAAACAGTTCGCCGAAGGAGACGATGATTGTCCCGTCGTCGACGTAGTCCTCGCCCTCATCCTTCTTCCGCACCTGGTTGTTGTAAGTGCCGACGTCGTAAATGCACTCGCAAAGTTCCAGTATCTCTCGGCAGACGTGGCTCTTCGCCCTGATGCCCCTTTCTTCGGTCTTCGAGCCGGCGACGGGCCTGAAACCGGTGGAAAGAGTCTCGAATGAGTCAGACGAGAATATTTTTAGTTTTCGGTTTTAGATGCAAGGTCGAGGGTTCCGTTCAGGGTGAAATATTGGTATCTCGGCCCGCTATGTCTCGCTTGTCAACAGTCCCTGGACACAAGGAGAACGTGGCCGAGTGTCGCCCTAAAGATTGGATTTGAAATTAAAGTTTTAAATTTTGCCTTCTTTCGCCATTTCTGATGCATTTCTTTGGCCTATTTTTAAAACTTCTTTCCCACTTGAATAAAAACAGGAAACCAATTTACGTCATTGCGCTTATTTACTTGAATAGATAAACATAGACTGTTCTATTGATATTACAATTTTTCTACAAAAAACCTGGGAAAAAACAGGATGAATGATAAGATTAGGTTCGAGTTTTGAGTTGGATTTTTTCATAGTTGGCATTTGTCATTCTGCTTGTTTTAAGTGTGATTTCTAATATAATTTAACAAGAAAAAGCCTGATATTTGCCCATTTATTGGGTATTTTTTGAAAATCATCTGGAAAGATCATATTTTACGAGATTTTTAGATTATTTTTGTGTTTGGCCGGTTTTTTGCTCACTTGTGAAGCTTTATTCTCCTTGTTTTGTTTGTGAATATATTTGTTAAGCCGAATTTAACAAGAAAAAGCCTGATATTTGTCCATTTATTGGGTATTTTTTGAAAATCATCTGGAAAGATCATATTTTACGAGATTTTTATATTATTTTTGTGTTTGGCCGGTTTTTTTTCTCACTTGTGAAGCTTTATTCTCCTTGTTTTGATTGTGAATATATTTGTTAAGCAGAATTTTACAAGAAAAAGCCTGATATTTGTCCATTTATTGGGTATTTTTTGAAAATCATCTGGAAAAATCATATTTTACGAAATTTTTAGATTATTTTTGGGTTTGGCTGACTTTGGTTGTGTTTTTCTTAGCTGTGATGCTTTATTCTTCTTGTTTTGACTGTGTATAGGTTTTGAGTGTATAAACCTACCAAAAAAAGCCTGAAATTTGCGATTTTATTGGTAATTTTGAAAATCATGTAGAAAAAACAGATTTGATGGTTTTATTTAGATTTTATTTGTTTGCACTGTACTTATCTTAGGTCTAATGCTTAACTTTTCTTTTTCCATGTGTGTTTATGTTTTCTGTGATTAATTGTACCGGAAAAAGTCGATGATATTTGGGTTTTTTATTGGGGATTTTTTTGATAATCGTATAGAGAGATCAGATTTGATGGCATTTTTAGGTTTTCCTTGACTTTGTCTTAGGTGTGATGTTTTATTTATCTTGTTTTGACCATGTATATATTTTCTGTATGTAATTGTACCCAAAAAAAGCCCGATATTTGTAGTTTTTATTTGGGATTATTGAAAACTCATATGGAAAGATCAGGTTTGATGGTATTTTTAGGTTTTCCTTTATTTCGGCTTTATTTTTTCTTAGTTGTGAAGCTTTATTCTTCTTGTTTTGACTAGGTAAACATCAGTTAAGCCAAATTTAACACGAACAAGCCTGATATTTGCTCTTTTATTGAGTAGTGTTTTGAAAACCATCTGGAAAGCTCGTATTTTAAGAGATTTTTAGATTATTTTTGGGTTTGGCTGATTTTCTTCTCACTTGTGAAGCTTTATTCGCCTTGTTTTGACTGTGAATATATTTGTTAAGCCGAATTTAACACGAAAAAATCTGATATTTGCCCATTTTTTAAAAATCATCAGGAAAGATAGTATTTTATGACATTTTTAGATTATTTTTGGGTTTGGCTGATTTTCTTCTTGGTTGTGAAGCTATATTCTTCTTGTTTTGACTGGGTAAACATTAGTTAAGCCAAATTTAACACGAAAAAGCATGATATTTGCTCTTTTATTGAGTGTTTTTTGAAAATCATCTGGAAGATCATATTTTATGAGATTTTTAGATTATTTTTGGGTTTGGCCGATTTTTTTCTTAATTGTGAAGCTTTCTTCTTCTTGTTTTAACTGTGTCTATATTCGTTAAGCCTAATTTAACACGAAAAAATCTGATATTTGCCCATTTTTGAAAATCATCTGGAAAGATAGTATTTTATGACATTTTTAGATTATTTTTGGGTTTGGCTGACTTTCTTCTTGGTTGTGAAGCTTTATTCTTCTTGTTTTGACTGTCTATATTCGTTAAGCCAAATTTAACACGAAAAATCATGATATTTGCTCTTTTATTGAGTATTTTTTGAAAATCATCTGGAAGATCATATTTTATGAGATTTTTAGATTATTTTTGGGTTTGGCCGATTTTTTCTTGATTGTGAAGCTTTATTCTTCTTGTTTTAACTGTGTCTATATTCGTTAAGCCAAATTTTACACGAAAAAGCCTGATATTTGCCCCTTTATTCTACTATTATTTGAAAATCAACTTAATTGCTTTTTTTAAAAATCTTTTGGAAAGATCAGATTTGATGAAAATTTTAGACTTTCCTTTGAACGATTGTATTTCCCCCTCATTGTGATGCTTTCATTCCCTTTTATTTGTCTGTGTTTATGAGTGTGAAGTAAAAACAGAGCAATCCTACGGCTTTTATTTTAAAAAAAGTTTAAAAAAAGGGGAATGATCCTATTCGATTGTATTATCTTTTTTTTCAAGATTTTGATTGTATTGTTCTACGTTGTGATTCTTTAGTCTTTCTTGTTTTGACTGTATATGTGCTTGTTATGCATCAATTAGCCCGCAAAATGCTCATATTTGAAGTTTTATTGTATATTATTTAAAAATCATTTAGAAAGATCAGATTTGTTGGCATTTTCATGTTTTTCTAGGTTTTGGCTGTGTTTCTACTGATATACGATATATTTTTCCTTAGCTGTAATGGTCCATTCTTCTGGTCTATGTGTGGTTGTGCCTTTGAATATGCTTTAAGTTAAAAAGGCTCAGGTTTTTGACGTTATATTGTCCATTTATTGGAAAATAAATAGAATGCTCAGACATGAATGGCATTTTCTGCTATTTCTTCGTTTTGGCTGTATTTTTCCGAGCTTTGATACGCGGTGATTGTTGTTTCAACAGTGCATACGTTATCAATACATAATTTAACCAGAAAAAGCCTGATATTTGCGGTTTTTACTTTGAATTTTTGGAAAATCATGAAGATTTGATGCATTTTTAGGTTTTCCTTGACTTCGGCTGTATTTTATCTTAGGTGTGATGATTTATTCTTCTTGTTTTGACTGTGTATATGTTTTTTGTATATAATTGTATCCAAAAAAGGCTGATATTTGCGGATTCATATAACATTTTTTGGTAATCATGTAGAGAGATCAGATCTGATTGCATTTTTAGGTTTTCCTCAACATTGATTGTATTTTTTCTTAGCTGTTGTGCTATATTCTTCTGGTTTTGACTTTTTTATGTTTTTTGTATATAATTGTATCCAGAAAAGCCTGATATTTGCGGATTTATACAACATTTTTTGATAATCATATAGAGCGATCAGATTTGATGGCATTTTTAGGTTTTCCTTGACTTTGGATGTATTTTTCTTAGCCGTGATGCTTCATTCTTGTTGTTTTGACTGTGTATATGTTTTTTGTATATAATTTAACCAGAAAAAGCCTGATATTTGCGGTTTTATTGGGAATCCATTTGAAAATCTTATGGAAAAAACAGATTTGATGGCTGTTTTTAGGTTTTTTTTTACTGTATTTTTCTCAGGTCTAATGCGTCATTCTTCTTTTTCTGTGTGTGTTTATGCTTTCTGTGAATAATTATACCCGCAAAACTGTGATATTTGTGGTGCTATACGACATTTTTTCATAATCATTTAGAAAGATCATATTTGATGGCATTTTTAGGTTTTCCTTAACTTTGGTTGCATTTTTTCTTAGCTGTAATGCTTTTTATCTTCTTGTTTTGACTGTGTATATTTTTTGTGTGTATAGTTTAACCAGAAAAAGCATGATATTTGCGGTTTTTATTTTGGATTTTTGGAAGATCATATAGAAATATCACATTTGATTTTCTCTTGTTTAGGGTCGTATTTTTTCCAAGTTGTTATGCTTTATTCTTGTTGTTTTAACTTTGCATATATTCGTTAAGACAAATTTAACATTAAAACCCCTGATATTTGTCCTTTATTGAGTACCTTTCGAAAATCATGTGGAAAAATTAGATTTGATTTCATTTTTAGGTTTCTCTTTTGTTTTGGTTGCATTTTTCCTTAGCTGCGATGCTTTTTTTCTTCTAGTTTTGACTGTGTATATGTTTTTTGTGAATAATTTAATCAGAAAAAGCCTAATATTTGCGGTTTTTAAGATATTTTTTGATAATCATAGAGAGAGAGATCAGATTTGATGGCATTTTTAGGTTTTCCTTAACTTTGGTTGCATTTTTCCTTAGCTGCGATGCTTTTTTCTTCTAGTTTTGACTGTGTATATGTTTTTTGTGCATAATTTAACCAGAAAAAGCCTGATATTTGCGGTTTTTAAGATATTTTTTTAATAATCATACAGAAAGATCAGATTTGATGGCATTTTTATGTTGTCCTTGACTTTTAGGTACTTTGGTTGTACTTTTTCCTACTTGTTATGCCTTATTCTTCTTGTTTGACTGCGCATATGTTTTCCGTATATAATTTAACCAGAAAAAGCTTGATATTGAATTAAAAGTGACGTAATTTTTGTTTTAGCCTGATATCATTTTGTAGTTCTATATAATTATCCTTGTTACTCACTTTCCGTACTCCTCTTTGGATGGGCGAGGTGAGGGTGACCTGCTGAACCCGCCCGAGAAAGGGTTGAGGCTCTGGGACTGTTGGTGGGCGTTCGCCTGAGCGTTGAACTTGGATATCATGTCCCCCAAAGACATCCTGCTCGTCTCTTGTGTCCTTTGTCAGACGTTCAACTGGACGTCGCAGCGACGGGGGTCGATTTTAAATAGCCGCCCCTCTCGTCAGCCGGGGCTTGGTCAGAGTCCAAAAATACCGAATTGGACCCAAACATGGACCCATGGTCCCGACCAATTGCGACTTTTTGGACGGGACGGCCTTAAGGAAGTAAACAACTCCGGCCCTTTCAAGATACAGCCAAAATAAACAAAATTCCTACAATTTAGTCATTCCACTGCTTATTTACTTTTTTTCAAAATGTGACAAAAAATTCCTATATAAGGCGTTTTCTGGTTAAAATACATACGGAAATCACATACACAGTCATAAGTAGAAGAGACAATCATCGCAGTTTAGAAAAAATACAGCCAAAAGAAACAACAACCTGAAAATCTCATCTAATCTGACTATCCTCTTTGTTTTTCAGTAAATGGACAATAAAATCTGAAATATCCGGATTTTTTCCATTTTATACAGAAAACATAAACACACATAGAAAAAGAATAATAAAAGATGCCAGGTAAGAAAAATACAACAAAACTTAACAAAAGAAAAAGGCCATCAAATAAGTCATGCCGGATGAGTAAAAAAAAGCCTTTAAAATGTGAAATATCAGCCATTTTGTGCTTGGTTTTATACAGGAAAGATATACACAGTCAAAACAAGAAGGATGATGCATCACGCCTAAGACAAAGTCCAGCCAAAGTCAAGGAAAACCTACAAAATGCCATCAAATCTGCTCTTTCTTTAACATTATGAAAAAATATAAAAACAACATATAAAACCGCAAATATCAGGCTTTTTCTGGTTAAATTATATACGAAAAACATATACATAGCTAAACAAGAAAAATAAAGCATCAAACCTAAGACAAAATACTGCCACAATCCAGGAAAACCTACAAATTCCATCAAATATGTTCTTTCTATATGATTTTCCCAAAAGCCCAAATAAAAACCGCAACTATCGGGCTTTTTTGAGTAGAATTATATACAGAAACCGTATAGACAGTCAAAACAAGATGAATAAAGCATCACCCCTAACACAAAATACAGCCAAAGTTTAGGAAAATTAAAAATGCCATCAAATCTCATCTTTTCATATGATTTTTCAATAATCCCAAATAAAAACCGCAAATATTGGGCTTTTTTTGGGTAGAATTAAAAACAAAAAAACACACACGCAGTCAAAACAAAAAGAATAACTTATCCCAGCTAAGAAAAAATACAGCCAAAGTCAAGGAAAACCTAAAAATGCCATCAAATCTGATCTTTCTATATGATTTTCCAAAAACCCAAATAAAAACCTCAAATATCGGGCTTTTTTGGGTAGAATTATATACAAAAAAACATACACACAGTCAAAACAAGATGAATAAAGCATCACAGCAAAGACAAAATACAGCCAAAATTAAGGAAAACCTAAAAATTCCATCAAATCGAATCTTTCTTTATCATTAAGAAAAATTGTCATATGAAACTGCAAATATAAGGCTTTTTTGGTTGCAATTATATACAGAAACCGTATAGAAAGTTAAAAGAAGAAGAGTAAAGCATCACACGTAAGAAAAAATACAGCCAAAATAAAGGAAAACTTAAAAAATCCATCAAATCGTGTCTTTCTTTAACATCATGAAAAATTGTCATATAAAACCGCAAATGTAAGGCTTTTTCGGTTACAATTGTATACAGAAAACATACAAATAGTCAAAACAAGAAGAATAAAGCAACACAGCTAAGAAAAAATACAGCCAAAATCACGGAAAACTTAAAAATGCCATCAAATATGATCTTTCAATACGATTTCCCAAAAATTCCAAATAAAAACCGCAAATATCGGGCTTATTTGGGTAGAATTGTATACAGAAAACATACACACAGTTAAAACAAGAAGAATAATGCGTCACACCTAAGAAAAAATACAGCCAAAATAAAGGAAAACCTAAAAATTTCATCAAATCTGTTCTTTCTATATGATTATAAAAAATATCATATAAAGCCGCAAATATAAAGATTTTTCTGGTAAAAATTATATACAAAAAAGACACACACTGTCCAAACAAGAAGAATAAGGAATCCCTGGGAAGAGAAAATACCTCCAAAACCTAGACAAACTAGAGAATAGCATCATGATCTTTTCAAATGATTTTCATAAAGCATCCAACAAAAAGCCAAATATCAGCCTGTTTTAGGGTCAAATTGAATAAACACTAAATATACAATAAGTATGTACATAGCCAAAATAAAAATAATAAGAAATCTTTGGATAAAAAAAGTACAACCAAAATCTATAAACATAAGAGAACGGCATCCAATCTAATTATCCTCCTTGTTTTTCAAAAAGAGACCAATATAATGCCATTATACTTCTGCGGTATATGTTTTCTATTTATAATTTATCCAAAAAAGTTATATATTTGTGGTTTATTTGCAGTTTTATATTACATTTTTTTTAATCATATAGAAAGATCAGATGGATGGCATTTTTTTGCAAACGTGCTTTTTTTAGATTTTATTTGTTTGGACTGTACTTTTTCGTAGGTCTAATACTTCATTTTTCTTTTTCCATGTGTGTTCATGTTTTCTGTGATTAATTGTAACGGAAAACGCCTGACATTTAGGCTTTTTATTTGGAATTTTTTTCATAGATCAGATTTGAAGGCAATTTTAGTTTTTCTTGACTTTGGTTGTACTTTTTCTTAGCTGTGCTGTTTTATTCTTCTTATTTTGACTGTGTCTAAGTTTCGAGTGTATAACCCTACTAAAAAAGTTTAAAATTTGCGGTTTTATTGGTAATTTTGAAAATTATGAGGAAAAAACAGATTTGATGGTTTTTTTTAGATTTTATTTGTTTGGACTGTACTTTCTCTTAGGTCTAATACTTCATTTTTCTTTTTCCATGTGTGTACATGTTTTCTGTGATTAATTGTAACGGAAAAAGCCTGACATTTGGGCTTTTTATTTGGGATTTTTTTGATAATCGTATAGAGAGATAAGATTTGATGGCTTTTTTAGGTTTTCCTTGACTTTGACGGTATTTTGTCTTAGCTGAGATGCTTTTTTTCTTCTTATATTGACTGTGTCTAAGTTTTGAGTATATAACCCTACCAAAAAAGTTTAAAATTTGCGATTTTATTGGTAATATTGAAAATCATGTTGAAAAAAACAAATTTGATGGTTTTTTTAAGATTTTATTTGTTTGGACTGTACTTTTTCTTAGGCCAAATACTTTTTTCTTTTTCCATGAGTATTTATGTGTTTTTTATATAATTCTACCCAAAAAGTCCGATATTTGCGGTTTTTATTTGGAATTTTTGGAAAATCATATAGAAAGAACATATTTGATGGCATTTTTATTTCTTCCTTGACTTTGGCTGTATTTTTTCTTAGCTGTGATGCTTAATTCTTCTTGCTTTGACTGTGTGTATGTTTTTTGTATATAATTCTACCCAAAAAAGCCCCATATTTGCGGTTTTTATTTGCGTTTTTTGGAAAATCATATAGAAATATGAGATTTGATGGCATTTTTAGGTTTACCTTTACTTTGACTGTATTTTTTCTTAACTGTGATGCTTTATTCTCTTGTTTTGACTTTGTATATAATTCCATCCAAAAACATTTCGATATTTATGGTTTTTATTTGGGATTTTTGGAAAATCATATAGAAAGATCAGATTTGATGGCATTTTTAGGTTTTCCTTCACTTTGGTAGTACTTTTTCCTACTTGTGATGCCTTATCTTCTTGTTTTGACTGTGCATATGGTTTTTGTATATAATCGTATCCAAAAAAGCCTGTTATTTCCGGAATTATATCACATTTTTTGATAATCATATAGAGCGATCAGATTTGATGTCATGTTTAGGTTTTCCTTCACTTTGACTGTATTTTTTCTTAACTGTGATGCTTTATTCGTCTTGTTTTCACCGTGTATTTGCTTTCTAGCTATAATTTAATCCAAAACTGTGACTGTTGATATTTCGATGACAATTTTTATACAAAAACAAACAAAAAGAGCAGCGTGATCCTTGTTGAAAAATTGCTTCATATTACAACTTACAGATGGCGCCATGAAGTTGCTTCATGAAATCCAATTTTTACTGGCTTGTAATTCTTCTCTCATATTTAATATTAATAATAATAATAATAGTAATGCCTTTTTTTAACGGCTTTCGCCGAAATAAGAAAACACGGTTTCTGCAATAGATAATAATTTGTTCTTAAAATTACCAAAAAATTGACAAATAAATCTATATCGTATTGATTCATGAGCCTCTTATGATGCTCCATGATCTTATCATGCGCTTATATTTGGTCCATGATTTAAAAAATCAAGATCAACATTCCTAGTATCATAATTTGTTGTTGTTGTAATCATAAGTTGTGAGTAGACTCGCGCAACATCCTCGCAAAATATGTCGCATTTTGAAGTTTAAAAATTGATCAAATTTGATGGCATTTTTAATTTTCCTCGACTTTGGCTGTATTTTGTTTTAGGTATGATGCTTTATTCATCTTGTTTATATGATTTCTGTATATAATTCTTCCCAAAAATTCCATTATTTGCGGTATTTGTTTGAGATTTTTGGAAAATAATAGAGAGAAATCAGATTTGATGGCTTTTTTAGGTTTTCTTTGACTTTGGCTGTATTTTTTCTTTGGTGTGATGCTTTACTGTTCTTGTTTTCACTGAGTGTATGTTTTTTGTAAACAATTCTACTCAACAAAGCCCGATATTTGCTGTTTTTATTTGAGATTTTTGGAAAATCGTAGAGAGAAATCAGATTTGATGGCTTTTTTAGGTTTTTTTTGACTTTGGCTGTATGTTTTCTTAGGTGTGTTGCTTTATTCATCTTGTTTTGACTGAGTATATGCTTTTTGTAAACAATTCTACTCAACAAAGCCCGATATTTGCTGTTTTTATTTGAGATTTTTGGAAAATCATGGAGAGAAATCAGATTTGATGGCTTTTTTAGGTTTTCTTTGACTTTGGCTGTATGTTTTCTTAGGTGTGATGCTTTATTCATCTTGTT